GATCGATGCGAATTGACTGCCTACAATGCGCTTCCGGCCACCGGTTTACAACCGATTGGTGGGCGCATCAGTACATCGCCCAGACCAACCAACCGATATCGCATGTTGTCCGGCGCAGTCCGTGGTTCAATGTTGGCGGTAACGCTCAGACATTTGGCTTGGAGCCGAACTACCCTTGTTGCACCGTTAATCACCCGCAAGGGTTTCCAAAATTCATCTCCAACATGTTTGTCCGCCTGGGCGCAGATGGTATTGCACATGCGTTGTTGGGGCCGGGATCGGTACAAACCACGACCAAATCCGGCTCTAGGGTCAAAATAACGTGCGATACGGGGTATCCGTTTGGAAAGGTGTTTTGGTATAGCATCGAGGCCGAGGGAGATTTTGTTTTCCATGTTCGGGTGCCGAAATGGGCGAACACGGACCGTTCCTGGATCTCTGTTGACGGCGGACCACGGCACCCATTATCACCAAATACCAACGACGGCATGCAAGGACTGCGCCTGAGTACTGGAAAGCACGTTGTGATGTACTCGCTAGACACAGAGATCCGAGTTGTTCCCCGGGCGAACAACACCGTTTCAATCTACCACGGCGCCCTCCTGTATGCGGTCCCGCTGAACCCGGAAGTGACATACACGCAGTCAACCTATCCAAACGCACCCCCGCTAGCAAGGGAGTATACAATGACTCCAAGGAAGAAATGGAACTTGGCGATCGATCCATCGAGCCTCCGCTTCAAAGGCCTGTCCGACCCGCATGCTCCACTGCCAAAGCCCGTCTGGGGCGAGGGGAATTCAGTCACGACTATAGCAGCCAGGGTCTGCCAGATTAAGTGGGAGCTGACGGAGCCTCGTGGCCATGCGCCAAATCCTCCTCGTGGGTCAGACAGAGAGTGCGTTGGTGAACCTTTTACGGTTGAGCTGGTCCCATATGGAACTGCTAAACTGCACATGGCAGAATTGCCGGTCATGCAGTAGGAGCCCTACCGTTTAACTCTATATAGTGAAATCTACCTTGGATAGGAAAGCCTGGGCACGTTAACAGGAACAGTTGGTATATAGTTGAATTATATTTATACCATTAAAGTGCAGCCCCTATGCTAGGCCGCGAGCTGCTATTTTCCAACAACAACGGTTCTTCCTAGTTGGTTAGTTCACTAGCTAGTTAACTGCATCACTTGTCCACTCGGCGCCCTTGTACGTTGACGCAGATGGAGATGTGATTTTCGTATTCTTAAAGCACATTTTTCGCTGACAGTACTCACACTGTTCTCTCACCTTCAGTGAAAACGTCGTCAAACCATCCTGCTACATTTTATTCCCCGCCCAACAAAATCCCGAGCTAGGTTGGAGCGAGCGTTGGGTAGCTTCTATCCAGAGACACCTTACGCCTCTCAATAAGATTCTATGACCGTGATGCTTTTCATTTGGGACAATGACCATCTCGATCTAGATTGCAAACATGAAGTTGGACGCTTGCATGACGTGTTTCAATGCTCGTGTGGCCCAATGACGGGCTTTTAGACGATATTCACCCGCACTTTCTCACTAAGACGGAGAGGGTTAATATATTAATTTATTACGCCGGACATGGAGGGTCCAACAGCAAGAGTCCATGTCTCTCGGGGTAAGCTTCTAAGTTGCATCTCTTCACCGTTGGCAAACTGGTTAACTCAACACATGATATGTAGTAAAGCGAGAATTGAGTACCTGATACTTGTGCATCAGGGAAGACGCGAGTACTGCTAGCAGTCACGGTTCGAATTTTCGCATCCCCCGAGATTTCTGGTGCGCTATAAGCGCTTGGTTTCTCTTTCTTCTCTGCCGCCACGCTGCCGGTCAAGCAACTGGTGAAGGAAACGAGTTGCTTGCCGCCTGTGCCACAGATAAAATACAACGAGCAGCAGGGTACAATTGTTTTACAGCCGCCCTGATACAAAGAATTAGAAAACACTGCTTCGAACGGACAATATCTTACGGTCATCTCTATGCAAAGCTACTCCAGATAACATGTTAAGGAAGTCTCGCCAACAGACCCGTGCACGTTGAGCTTTGGTATTGTCTCCACGCGAGTTCGGCATCCAGTTTCATTGGCATCCACGTCCTCGACCGTCATCGTTCTTCTTGAGCCGGAAGTCAGCATTCTCAAGGATACCCAGGACGAGAAAACCGGCGTCCATTGCAACGGTTACGGCCAAATCCAGATCTCGAATCACAATATACCAGGGGCTCTGCATCATTTCAACTGTTTCCGGGGCTCTTCAACTTCTGTTTTGTTTCGTGGGTGTATCAACTTCTCACAGGTTCAAACGAAACAAATGAAACAAACAAAACAAACGAAACCCTTGATTTCCCTTGCTTGGCACCCCGACGTCACTCATCACGTGCGGATACTGCTCCGACCAATCGGAACGGCTGGAAGAATCAAGATCCGACCGCCCGAGCCAAGCCAAACAGAGCAAACACCCCCTGATGGAAAAAAAAGGGCCCAAACCGCGATTTGAATCTCAGCAACTCGTCTGTACTGCAGCGCAAATCTGAACGCCTGGTGGCTCCACGAGAGGTTTGGCGATAAGGGAATAATAGATTTGCGAGTGACTTTGCGCTCTTTACCCTCGTTTTGCTTCACAACCGTCATTTCCCCGACTCGATAGGAAATCTCGGGAAGGCGGAGCCAAGTGTGAGGTGTGGTCCTCGCGTAAGCCCAGCTCGTTTGCTTCTGAATTTCAGCTTTAGCACCAACTCACAGGATCTTCTTCTCCCAGGCTGTTGCATGTTAGAAATCTAAAAGCAACAAAGTGCGTCTGAAAAGAGACTGAACCCTCGGCCTTCCGGCTCGTTTTCACAATGGCTACCGCTACTTCAGAATCTCCCAAGTCCCACAAGGTGGGAGAAATCTGCTCTTGCTCCCAGGTATAATATTGCTGATTTCAGTTGATAGAGCCGCTCTCTTCGATCGCCCTCTGAAAAGACCGTACACACTCACTCGAAACGACGGCGTGCGAGATCTGTGTTTCGCCAGCTCAAAAATACTTGCCTTAGGCACACATGGCTACTACCTCTCATCCTATTGACAATTATACTCTCAGCATATCTGGTGAACCCGAACGAGTCTAATCCAATCCACAAGCTCCTTTTCCTCTCTTATGCGCTTCCGCCCGAGACTCCCGGTGGCCCTGTGATGTATGGGAAGGGCCCAGCGGACTTAGCGTTTTTCGGCTTCTACATCATAGTCCTTTCCTTCACGCGTGAATTCTTGATGCAATGCATGATTAAACCCTTGGCACGTCGATGGGGAATAAAGGGAAAGGCCAAGACTGCGCGGTTCTTGGAACAATTCTACACAGCTATCTACTTTAGCGTCTTTGGGCCTTATGGACTATACGTTATGAGCCGCACCAAAATTTGGTACTTTAACACAACACCCATGTTTGAAGGATTTCCACATAAGACGCATACGGCGGATTTCAAGGCCTATTACCTGATACAAGCGAGCTACTGGGCGCAGCAGGCCATTGTCTTGCTGTTGCTGTTGGAGAAGCCAAGGAAGGACTTCAAGGAGCTTGTGGGGCATCATATAGTCACATTGGCATTGATTGGGCTCAGTTATCGCTTCCACTTCACCTACATTGGCCTTGCGGTGTATATCACTCATGACATATCGGACTTTTTCCTCGCAGTGGGTTTAACCTTCTCCCCGCGCCTTTTGAGGTTTCGGAGAACTTTGCAGACTGACTTGCACATCTAGACTTCGAAGACTTTGAATTACCTGGATTCTTCGTTCATGGGCCCGTACTTCGCACTTTTCGTTTTCGTTTGGATTTACATGCGGCATTACCTAAACCTCCGCATAATCTGGGCTGTTTTGACCGAGTTCCGTACCGTTGGGCCCTTTGAACTTAACTGGGACACGCAACAATACAAATGCTGGATTAGCCAGTATATTACGTTCTCCCTTTTGAGCGCACTCCAGGCGATCAATCTGATTTGGCTCTTCTTCATCCTTCGAATCGCCAAGAACTACGTTTTCAACAATATAAAACAGGACGAAAGAAGCGACAATGAAGAAGACGATGAGGTTGATGATATTCCCGTACTCAACGAATCTCAGAATTCGACGAGCGTCCCAACCATTGTGTTAAATGGGAATAATCCGGCAACGGCCAGAAGAAGAAACCCCGACAAGGAAAACGAAGTCCCGAACAACTCTATCACGAGCCGAGCTAATGGTGCTATGATGAAATCTCATGTGGAGACCACGACGGCTGCAATGAACGGCAATAAGGTGAAATGATCTTGAATGAATTCCAGTGGCCATGGTCTTGAAGCTGTCACCACATATACCAACTGCGTATTTGGATACAGTATTGACGCAAGTGCCGGATTTGATGTCGGGAACACGATCAAAGTACCATTGAAAGCCCGGTGCTTTTTGCCATGTCCAATTTCTACAAATCACTGGTGGCTTATCGTTCATTACTTGATGTGCTATTGGGCTTAGCTTTGGCGTTCTGGTTAAACTGGGGTTCATCTGTACAAATTTTTTAATTCTTTTTCGATAACTGCATAAAACCCCGAGTTGAGACTTCTCACTTACACCTGACATTGGATTCTGGTTTGCAGTTCCATGTCTACAGGTATCTTCTGGTTTCTAATTAAGCCATGCTCCATGGATTCTTATTTTTACTAGGGCATGTCTCCCTCTTCTCTTCTCTTTTCTATTTCTTTCTTTTCTTATTTTCGGGATCGTTCCTGAAATGTAGATCTTTGTTCCAGCTTCCAAGTTGGCATTTGGTTTATATCAGGCGCTGCGGCATTATTTTATTTGTTCTGAAGATAATGCAAGAGGAACCTGGTCTGACTCCTTACCTTAATCAACATTTCTGGTTTCCACTCTTCCCAGACGATACTAGCAACCCCTTTTGCATTATAGCTCTTTACTACTTTCTTACGAATGTTCTGTTGCTTTTGGATACATTGCTCTTGCCTGTACCTACTAATATAATCCCTAATGAGATGTTGGAACACAAGGTGACAACTAGAAATCACCAAAACTGCTGGATTTTTGAATTACACAATTATCTGTACAGTATGCGCACTCTCATTCTATCCCAGCTTTGGTTTGTTGCAAACCAAGCTTTTGCCCAAATCAGGCATGGGACAACGGTCAGCTCGCCGTATCATATCTGCATTCCCAAATACTTGGCTGGGCATTCCATGGATCGGCTACAGCTCGATGTTGTTCCCTTTGCCCGCTAACGATTTCGGGGGCCGTTTTTCGTCTAGTCGGCCTTAGCCTCGCTTTCGGATTTGGTGTGTTGCGCGCTATCGCTTGAGACGGTCCCCTTTGCACGGGCCGACTCGACGTTACCCTCTGCCAATTCTTCTTCCTTGAGTATAGGATGGTGCGTGTCACCGCCCGTAAGGCCCGCTTGCTTTCCGGACATGGAGGCGTATGATCCAGGTTCCTTGATATTGCGGGCCTGTCAAAGTGTTAGATTCAGTGGGATTTACGGCGTGGGTTATGGGTTGAAAAAAACGCAATGGGAGTCACAACACCAAAAAAATGTAGAAATTGATAGGATGTTATTGAACGGGAATCCAAACAAGGGATAGTAGTTCACGCACCTCGTCAGCTGCGACCGGAGCAGCCTTTTCTTCTTCAGAAACTGGAACGTGGGGAGTCTCCTGCTCCTGCGCTTGCTCCTCTAGAAGCTCGGCCTTTCCAAGCTTCTCCTCTTCTTCAGGCTTGGCAGCATGCGACTCGACATGGGGTTGTCCCGAAACGTGTTCAGCATGACCGGACGGGCCGTGGCCGTGGCCTTCATTGGAAGGACCGGATTTATAGAGGAAATACGCGCATGGCACAGTTACTACAACTGAACCAATAAGCCTGTTTCAGTTCATTTGAAAAGATTAGCATAGTTTTCTAGCTCAATCGCTCAGAACTAAGAAGTTTCTCCGTCCTGGCAAAAGCGGAGAAGGAATATTGGGCTAATGGGTACAAATCTTGAATTGAATGAATTGAAGATTTCCTTTGAGAAAGGTGGCTTTACCATGGCATATCACTACTGGACTTATGCGCTGCGGCGCCCTCCGTGGCATAGTTTCGCCAGCTAGCCTGCTGCCAGGCCCGGGAGGACCGAGCAGTGCGGGAGGCTGCTCTCGTCGATTGCGCAGAGAAGAATGTGCGAAAGGCGGCGGTGGAGCGTGGGAGGACCATTGTGATAGTTGTTCGAGCGGGGAAAGGGACAAAGGAGGGAGAGGTGCAGCAGAATTATCCGCAATCGACTGGAATTGAGTACGGTGAGGTCGGGATTTAGAGGTTGGAAATGGCGAGATACCTGTTTGTTTATCGTGCATTCAGCAAAATCTTATGTAAGCTGAGTTGCCGTGCTTACGTGATGTAGACCGTTCCCTCTCCGCCTGGGAGCCTGGGGGAGGCAGCAAAGACGAGGAATTCGCTTTCCAGTTTCGAAGAGCATAAGGCAAAGAAGAAGTTGTTTGCTTTGCCTAGTTACCTTTGACCTCCGTGTTGAGTGCCGACAGTTGAGTTGAGCTGGAAGCAGTGCTAATGGAACTTCCCCCGACAGCGCGATGTCATAGTTCGAGCCATCCCACCTTGATATAAATGCAAGAGGCCCACGAACCAACATCGTCACCTTGCTTTGCAACAAACCACTCACATATTGCAGCTAGATGACTTTATGACCTGATCAGATATTAGAATATTAACACTTGTACCCGCAATCCTACGCTTCCGGCGGCCCTTCCCTTCAACCCCACTCGAGCTCCAACCCAAAGCAGAATGGAACGGAGGTCCATAACATACAGTCTGGGCGCCCTGCTCCCAAAATTTACAGACCCCGATCCAGATCTTCGATATATGTCCCTAAATGACCTTCATGGCGTTCTCGAAAGCCACGGCTCAGCCTTCCTTCCTCAAGAGCCTCATCTTCTCGGGAGGCTAACGGAGGGACTTTTGAAAGCACTGGAGGACCAGCACGGAGAGGTACAGAACCAAGCTTTGAAGTGGTATGTGACCTCTTCTATGGCTGTTTCCCAAACTTACTAACGCTTATTGTTGTGGTTTCATAGCTTTTCACCCTTGGCTCGTCGCGTTCCAGATCCTGTTTTGGGTTACTTATTCCAGAAGCTCTGCGAATTGACGGAATCAGAGTCCATCGATACATCGGTCCCAAACACGGCACTTAAAACCATCATAGCCGCGCTTCCACATCCGACCGTTGGCGTAGCAGTCTCCTCCGACATCCAAACGTGCTATAACGTGATATCTTCCGTATTAATCCCTCGTTTAGTAGGTTCCAAGGGTGCAAAGCCGCTGATAACGAGCCATGCAGCAAAGGGATATAACAGCGACACTCTTGACGTTCTTGTCGACGTAGTAAATTCATATGGGCCGTTGCTGTCCGAGTCCGAATTAGGAGAACTACAAGGCGTGGTGCTTGGCGTGATTGAGAACGAACATGCGGGAACTGTGGCCACAAAAAGAGCGTTTTCCGCTATTTCAGCACTCGCTGGGTACTTTTCGGACGATCAGCTAAGCCAAATTGTTTCTATGCTTATAGAAAGCTTCCGGTCTTTTCATTCTACAATAACCAAACGTCGACACCTCATTGCGACTATTGCTACCCTAGGAATGTCAATTCCTGCAAAATTTGGTCCATACATGAAAACGCTAGCGCCGTTTATATTTTCTGCAGTTAGTGAGCGGGAATTGAACGAGATGGAAGATGACCAGTCTGATACCGAGGAACACGATCCTAAGGAGGACGAATTACGTGAAACCGCACTGGTAGCCCTCGAAACCCTTGTTAGCTATTGCACCAATGACATGCAACCTTATTTGATGGATTCAATTGATGCTGCTTTGCGATGTCTCAAGTATGACCCGAATGTCGCGGAATTCGAGGACGAGGAGATGGGTGGGACGCAAGACGAAGGAAGCGACGATGGTGCTACCGAAGAACCAGACGAAGATAATGAAGCATACGAAGATTTTGAGGAAGAAGAAGGCTACAGCGATATTGATGATCAAAGCTGGAAAGTCCGCCGCTGCTCCGCCAAGTTGCTACTCGCTATCATTTCGACCCAAGGTCGTAGTTCGACACGGCCAGTAGACGAGGACACCATATATCAGAAAATCGCGCCGGCCCTTCTTGCAAGGTTTACGAAAGAAAGGGAAGAAAGTGTTAAGCTAGAAGTCGTCTCTACGATGACAGGCTTAGTCAAAAAAGCTACTGAAATATCTGCAAGTATTGGTGGTGCGCCTTTGATACCCGAATCTCATGGTCGGAATTCTCGCAAAAGGAGGCGTCAGGATAGTGACGTAGGTCTTCTCGGCTATGAATGTGAGGCTCAGGCCTTTGCAGCCCTGGACTCGCCTGCAATCACTCCCCCGACTCCACAGACCGGACCCATTGGCGAAATCGTTAGGTTGACGCCGGGGATTGTTCAAGGCCTGGTTAAACTATGGAAACATGCGTCGATACCATTGAAACAAGCCGCGATCAACTTAATGAGATCCTTAGCGCTGGTGCGTTACGGCGGCCTTGTTGATTTCCTTCAGCGCATAGAGGACCCTGTCGCGGACGCTCTGAAAAGCTCAACTATGTCTGGGGGTGTTTCTGTGTCCGCTGGCACAACGTCCGTTACTGCCGGGAATCTGCAGATTGATACCCTTGGTCTGGTAGCGGCTATTGCCCAGACACATACTTCAAATGCACTTTTACCGTTTTTGATTGCGTTGATCCCAGGAGTTTTGGCAGCGGTTCAGGAGCGAAACTACAAAGTCGCGAGCGAAGCTCTCGGTACCATTGAAGAAATCGTCAAAGCAATGACCCCTCCTCGAGTTTCACCGGAGGGTCAGGATTTCAAATTGCAGCTGGGAAAATTGTACGATGTGGTAATCGGTAAAATAATGGATAATAGTGCAGATCTAGAAGTCCGCCAGCGAGCACTTCATGTCCTTGGCGTCCTTCTAGCACGGACGTCCGGGCCGAAGGGGGCCAAATTTGTTCCACCTGCTGAGAGAGCGAAAGGAATGTCAACCCTTGTTGACCGTTTAAAGAACGAGACGACCAGGGTTGCGGCTGCTCGTGCTGTTCACGACGTTGCCGTGCTTGCATGCAGTGATTCGGACGTCACTCCAGCATGGCTGGCCGATGTCACATTAGAACTCGCAGCACAATTACGAAAGGCTGACCGTGCCTTGAGGGATGCGTCTATTGGAGCATTGAAGGGGTTAGCTATAAATCGATATTGCCGACAACACTACGACCAAAACACGGTTCAAATCCTAACCAGCAGTTTCCTTCCGCTTCTCACTGCTAGCGACCTCCACCTCCTAACTCCTGCTCTTGTCATTCTTTCGCACATCATTCCTGGCCATGGAGCTCAGCTGGTAGATGCCAATATGATCCAAGCACTGTGTTCTGTTATCCAAGCGTCTCCGAGTGGCGTGGCACTGAAGGTGTATCTTCACCTCATTCGCGTCATCGGAGAACAGGGCGCGGGAGCTCTGCTCATGAAAGCTTTATTACAAAACGTTGGCGTCAACGGCGACCCTTCAATAGTTGGCCGGTCAATCGGAACATTGGTCGTATATGGAGGGCCGCAAATAGGAGTCAAGACACAAGACTTTTTGAACGAGCTTCAGTCGCAAGAAGATGCCCAGCGCAAATGTCTTGCGCTTGCGGTCCTCGGCGAAATTGGCCTTTGTCTAGGATCGAAATCGTCGCTGACGCCCGACCTTTTTATGTCCCACTTTGACTGCAAATCAGACAAAGTCCGATTCTCGGCCGCTGTTGCACTTGGCAGTGTGGGTGCAAGCAATATCGAAGCATATTTACCCGTTATCCTTGCGGAGCTAGAGAAAGATCATTCGTCAAAGTACTTATTACTGCATTCGCTGAGAGAAATACTCCAGCATCCAGAGAACGTTCGTACGGACGTTGCACCTTTTGCTACGAGGCTATGGGAAATTCTCCTCAATGCCTCTGATGACGAAGATAATCGCGTCGTGGGCGCGGAATGTATCGGACGACTTGCTTTGATTGAACCCAGCTCTTATATACCACTTCTTCAGGTACGCAAGCCGCTACAGCAGAGGGAAATATGCCGATGACATTGACTCATTCTATTTAGGAATATCTCGACCGCGATACCGCTGCCACAAGGGGAACCATCATCTCGGCATTCCGCTACACGCTTGCCGACTCTGGCAGCGTCTACAATGACGTTCTGCGCCCTCTTATCATCCCAATTCTAGCCAAGATGCTTAGTGACACCGATCTGGGTAACCACAGGCTTGCATTGACTACTGTCAATTCGGCAATCCATAATAAACCAGACCTCGTTCTCCCGCACTTGAACCAACTGCTTCCAGTGGTTATGAAAGACACTTATATCAAACCAGAGTTGGTACGAGAAGTGCAGATGGGGCCATTTAAACACAAGGTGGATGACGGGTTGGAGCTCCGAAAGGTAAGCGACTTTCTGGGTTTCTCTTGACGCATTTTAGCGAGATTCGATGCTGAGTTGAAGTTTTAACAGAGCGCATACGAAACGCTGTATACTTGCGTTGATATGGCGTGCTCCATTCTTGATATTGCGGAGATATATGACCGAATCTTGGCCGGGATTAGGGATGAACAGGACATTCGCACGCTGTGCAATTTGATGATCTCCAAGTTGATCACACTTGCGCCAAAGCAAACGGAAAGCCGACTCGATTCGCTCGTGGATCCATTCCGGGCCATTTTATCGACGAAGCTCAAGGAGTCGGCTGTAAAGCAAGAACTGGAAAAGGCGCAAGAAGCGTCATTGGGGGTGCTGAGAATCAGTCGCGAGCTTCAAAAGGCATTCCCCGCAGCAGAGACGTCGAGTGAGCATCATGCGTGGAAGCAATATCTGGATTGGATGAGCAGGGAATATACCCAGCTTCTGCGGATTTTGGGCAATAACTCATAGGCAGCTCAAATTTGGGCCATATTGGGTTTGTGCACACGTCTGTGGCTGGTTTGCCTTGATTCGGGATGCCGTTAGCCGCCCGCCTAGCAGACCATGCATGCTCGTCACAATCTGAAAAATGGGTCGGGATTGCTGGTAGTCGATCCTCCACAAAGCGGTATTATTATAGTTGACGTACGGAGTATCGGAATACACAATTTTCGTCTAGTGACCTGAGATGTGATCGTATATCCCATTCACCTGGTTCTAAAAAGTAACAGTCTGCGTCAAAGTAAACACAAGTTGCGAGGCAGGGTATGCCTCACTCGACAACACGGCCTTGTCTGTGACATTGGAATCATTCTGCTGCACGTCCCCATGTCGACGGAGTAATCTGCATACATCGACGATCCGCGCAGAGAAAAGCAGCGGGCGAGGCCTGCAAGTGACAAATCTCCTTGTAAGCCGCGACCAGGGTCTGCAGGGATGGCTTGTCGAATGTCCGTTCCTGCGCGATTGACCAGCAGGCTGGGAACTCGAGAGAGGGGAGGAGGGAGCAAGCATCTGCGAGCATCGTGAATTGGCTCGCGGGCTGAGTGGTCAGAGACATGGCCGCTTGAGGATCTCTTTGTCCAACCAGAGGCCTCAACGCTCCAAAATGCCCTGCTGATTCGTGATCCAACCTGCCCTCGATCGATCGGGCTTCCGCTGTATCGTGCCCCTGTCCGGAGTGCGAAGTCCCCGACGCTATTTGACGCTATCGGCCTGCGTATCTTGATTGTTCCCTGGTTGCATCCAACGGAGCCTGGCTGTGCTCATTATTTTTGGCGTTGACGGCGGGGCCCATCCTTGAGGGTAGGCGGGCGCGGGCCCGTGATTGGTGGCTTGGCTCTGTGTAATACGGACGTCACGAATAGACGCGGTAATTTACCCTCTCGGCGGGTTTGCCGCGTTTGTGCTGTTTGGTGTGTTTGTCCCCTGGTGAGAGTCAACAGACAGCAGCGCAGAACGACAGCCTGCGATGAATCATGAGAGTCTTATTTCACCTGGTGTCTGCGCAGTGGCAGGACGCATCAAATTGCAACAAAACACCGCAAGCATGGCTTGTCGAAGCTAGCCGCAAATATGAAGTGATCTGTTTCCGGCTTCTCTGCTGTTTTATTTATATAATCTAGGTTTTACAGCCCGATACTAGCGGGATGCGGCCAAGACGCATCCTCTGGTTCTCTTGGGGGCACAGCCGGAGCAGAAGGTTTCCAGTCGCTCGTTGTCTTCATGCGATTTGTGTCGCGTTGGATCACATCGCTGATGGCTTTCTGCTTCCTTTTCTCTCTGCAGATTCGAAAGGGTCCTTGCGCCTCGCTCGTTACCCAACCACCGCAAAAGCAAAACGAAGCAACCGTCCCCAGAGCCGTCGACAGCTGAAATGGCCTTGATTGCTGGCTCAAGACAACTAAATCTTTACTAGATCCCAAACAGCTTATGGTGCCGTCGCAAACCTCTCTTCGACAATGTCGAACCCGCAGCTACACCTTCAGCCGGTGAACTCAAATGCTGCACGACACAAGCGATATTCATATCTCCCTACCCCGTCCGAGTACCAGGCTCCCACCTTCCCGCCTCGCAACAATGAAAAGCCTGAGGAGGCTACCAAGGCATCGGCACTGGACGACTCAGTATCGTCACCAGGGCCCCGAAGTCCCCCGCCATTCTCATACAATGTTAACAACGCTCCGACGCAGACACCGTCCCCTTACCGCCAACCCCATATAGCATCCCCTCCGCCGCCTCTATCGGAACATCCGGCGCAGTACGCACCATACGCCGACCGGCCAGCGTTTCCCCAACAGCAAACGCAACCGATTCGGTATCAGAGCCCTCCTCCGGCGCCTCCAGGCTCGCTTCCGCCTAAGCAGTTCCCAGATGTGCGCTCACATCGACCAAAGGAATACACAGTCGCCCCAGACAGCAACCCACTGCAACCGCCGCCTTCATTATCTGCGCCCAAACCGAGCTCTCTCTCTGGAGGCCAGTCACAGCTAGGAACTAGGATCACATCCCACGAGCTAAACCATGCGCCTGGCCAGGTGGTGCACCCCAGACAAGAAATTAAAGGAGGGACCTGGAGCTATGGCTTATGCGATTGCAGAGATCCTGGTGTTTGCTGCACCGGCCTGTTGTGTCCATGCATTCTGTACGGAAGAACCCAATATCGACTGTCTCGAAAATCCGAACAAAAGGATCCGACGAATTTGCTAGGTTATGAGACTTGCAATGCACCGTGCACTGCGATGGCACTGCTCTGTGGATGTCAATGTATGTCTGGCCTGCACCTCCTAATCTTCAAAGGGTCTTCTAGGCTTTTGCTAATCGACTGTCTGCAGGGCTATTAGCGACGATCCAGCACATCCGAGTCAGGAGAGCGTACGGGATCTCGAGCGACGTTGCCACCGATTGTGTCCGGGCGTCGTGCTGTACGTGCTGCACACTGATCCAGGATGAGCGGGAAATCAAATATCGGGCAGAAGCTGCCCGAATTGCAGGCGGTGTTCCTGGATACACGCCCCCCGCCTATGCCACCCCGGGACAAATGACGTTTAGTCCTCCACCCCGATAGAAGTTTGCGTAAATTCTAAATTCCGTACATCCAGCAAGCGTCAAAGGATATTATGAATGCTTTATTTACTTGCGATACAGACTATATACCCGGCCCAAAGCAGGCCATTGAACCCACTTATGCCACGCCTGCGGCAATTTCCTTCGTGTTGTTTTATTTATTCGAGCCTTTTGATATTTAAATGAACCGGTAGCGGGCACCATGCTACCCATGACGCGTGCACCCGATGTCGCACAGCTATGACGAAGGACGTATTAGGCGAAGTGGGTGCGGCGCACAGAGTTTAACCATTCAGAATTCTGTTTCTTTTTCTCAAAACGGTTCAAAAATTTACTTTTGCAGTGGAAGGGAGGAGGGGTGTCGTTCATATGAAGAGACATTATAATTGCTGCTGGCAACAAAGGCGCACATGTGCAACCATCAGATGTAACGAACCGAGTGTTTCTGGATGACGGATGGGCGTTTGAATTTGGCCAGCGCACAGTTTTGAGGAGTTCTGCTAATACTTGCATCTGTGGATATTCCTGAATCTATTTTGGTTTGCCTTGTATTACCACCAGGACAAATTCCATACCCTTTTCTCAGTAGACACCTACTTGCAATGCATTTAGCTGGATGTGTATGAACAAGACCATACAGACAAGGTCAGCCCCAAGCCAACTCCACCCTTCCATCGCGTCTCCCATCTATAATCTCCTTTGTTATCCCCCTTCTTCCTGGCATCCACTCGATCTGATGCCAAGCCCCACGGGCCCCAAGAAGTCTTGGCTCCAAAAGCTTATTCCGTCTAATTGGCCGATGACTAAGCGTTTTGGCACCCTTGTGTCACGTGCATAATCCTTAGCAAACTTGGCTTTTGCTTGGCACAAAGACGTGCCCGCCTTTTCGATGGCTCGCTCGAGGCCTGGAGAACGGAGTTGTGCTGCAACGGATTGGCGATCTGCTTCTTGCCGTGAACCCTTTTTTTTTTTTACGCTGTCGAACAGGGCAGAGAAGCATCGCGTCCCCGCCTGAAAGAAAAGCGGGTGGATCTGGAGCGATTTTATGAAAAGGACAGGATCCCGTTTGCGAAATCTTGCCATTGCGCGCCTGAACGACTCTCTTCCCTCCCCCCCCTATCCCCGGGGGCTGACGCCTGCGTTATATAATATTTGCTCGTTTTATGTGCTACGGGACATCCGTTCAAGCGCTTCGTTCGGATTCTTGGGGTGGCTCTGCCACGTTTCGTTCTCGTCGATATACTCGGCCCTTTTTCGATCCTTGATTCTCGACAACCGAACACCCCTAACGCTTTCCCTCTCGCGCTGTGCGTCGAGTCGCCCCCCACCTTCGATCCCTTGCAGAACGGCGTGTGATTTGCGTGGCGAATTGAGGATATTCTGCGGCAACTCTTGGACGGGGCCACTTGATACAGAGGAGGATTATCGGTCTAGGAGGCTGCTAGGGGGGAAGAAAAAAGTGGTGGAATTGGATCCGTCGGGCCAATTTGTCGCGGATGCAGTGGATTAATCTGAGTTTACTTTCGTCTAAAGAGGGATGAAGTGAATGGCAGTCGAATTACACGACCTAGGGCATTGTGACTAGTCGACGTCATGCCTGGGCTGTTCATGGATTACGGCCACCACTTGCACAAGAATAGGACGAGAGGATGTTTGCCCATTGCTTTGGTGAAAGGAGGTATGAGCTCAAAAATCTTTCCTGGGACCCGCGAAAGAGGCATCTGGATGAGCATTACGCGTTTATGAAATGGTTACTAACGCATTGGACTCCCCCTTCCAGGAAAAATCACCTTCAACGACACTTATTCTCTGACGCTGCCCCAAAATGCCATTTTTGAACCTCTCTGTAGGGATTACCCCAATGCACGACCCGTCGATCCCTCGACGGTAATTAATATGCATGAACCGTTCTACGCCTCTACCTTCCCTCAGATGTATGCTGTTGCAGCCGCAACGGTCATCAGCTACCTACTCCTTATAATGCTATTTATAACCCCTCGGACATTTTTTATTGGCGGACGTGGAGGTGGATTTCTCAGCCGGCATGGAATGATAAGTGGCTCTTACGGCAGCTCCTCTGTCATTGGTGTTGGCGGGCGCCCATGGCTGCAAAAGGTCGCTGCTCTAACGGTCGTCATTTCACTCACCATCGCAACTGCAGATTCGTTCGCAGTAGCTAAGCGGCAGTATGACATGGGTTTTATGGACTCGATGGCCTTGACAGATGAAGTCGTGAGTGGCGTGGAGATTCGCACCATCCGCGTTATTTCCAGCACGTTTCTATGGCTGGCACAAGTCCAGACTCTGATTCGTCTGTTCCCACGACATAAAGAAAAGGTTATCATCAAGTGGGTTGGGTTTGCCATGATTATGCTTGATACAATCTTCAGTATCCTCAACAATACAATTCGCCAGGCGACAACCATGCTGGTCCAGCCGAGGCAGATTGTGGACGCGATACCTGCCCTGAACTACCTGTTCGAATTGGCTCTGAGTTTGCTATATGCCGCATGGGTCATTTTTTATTCCCTTTCCAAACACCGATTTGCGTTCTTCCACGTAAATATGCGGAATATCTGTCTCGTGGCGTTGTTGTCATTGGTTGCAGTATTGATACCCGTTGTCTTCTTTATTTTGGACGTTTCGAAACCCGATGTCGCGGGATGGGGAGAATATATCCGTTGGGTTGGAGCGGCCGCGGCTAGCGTGGTTGTGTGGGAATGGGTGGAGCGGATCGAAGCTCTAGAAAGAGAAGAGAGGAAAGACGGAATTTTGGGTCGAGAGATATTTGATGGAGATGAAATGCTGGAGACTACTCCGTCCGAGGAAGTTGACTCGCCACATGATCGTCATGGCGGTGGTACCGGTGGGAAAAAGGGCGTCGGCGGTAGCATCTGGACAAAGATGATGGGCTTAACGCCGCGGCCGCTACGAAGCCGTGTTAGGTATCAACACAGATCCCATCCCCGGCGAAAGCGTCAACAGAGGGCGAAAACTGAGGACACACCAGAGTCCGTTGAGAGTGAGCATCCGACCCCTCCGCCCCAGGCCATAACGCCCGTGAGCCGCGCGGACACAGCTAGTACAGTCTACCGCGTACGACATCATTCCATCGGAAGCCTATCGCCATCAATGCCTGATATGATGGCGAATGAAGAGGCTGAGAAAGGGTTTGAACTGGTTCGAACCAGGGACAGCGACCCTAGGAGCGGTCACGCTATATCAAGCCCAATCCCCAGCATAAGACACGGAATCGACTGGCTTCATACACTTAACCCATTTAGACGCCGTCGCGGCTCACCTCCCCAGGAAGTTGCAAGTGCGCAAGCGGAGGAAGGGAATATCCGCCATCCCACACCGGCAGGCTCCAAGGATGAGGCACAGGCCGGCTCTACCTTGAAAGGTCATATCGGCAGCTCGTGGAGGTCCTTTTTGCACCGCGACTGGGGAGCCAGGGATGAAGACGTTCAGCGAAGGGAGTCAGTTCTACCAGTTACAGTCATTCCAGCGCGGTCACGCCGAGAGCGGACCGCATCACACGGTGCAGTTCACCGATCCGGATCGCAACAATCGAGAGATGGCAGCAATGATCGTGGCGCAACGGGAACACCACTTCCCGTGGTTGTAATACCTGCGCGGCCAAGAATAGCCAAAGCTTGGGATTCCTCCGCCTTTGAAGAATACGTTCGAAACCAGCCGAATAATCTCTCTCCCGCTCTGCAGAATGACCATAACTCGACTAGCCTAGGTGTCCAGCAACCGCAGACCACACCCTCCGAACAACAGGACGTAAACCCACTAAATCAGCTTTCCTCGGATTATGAAGCTGACACGGGCGGAGCACAAAGAAGCATAGAGAGCACGACTCGATTCCCAAGCTCTCGATCCTCATCAGGTCGGACACTCACCGGTTCCGCGCCGCTGACCCTGGACGACACGGGGCAAAGGATATCTGTACCAGAGCGACGAAGTCCATCAACACAACATCGTCGTGTCTGGGATGATTCTGGAGGTACTGATGGGGTGACCTGAGGTTTCCAGGTGTACGGGGTTTTCTTCCGTTGTTGTTGCCGATATTAGCAAGGAGTTTGACCTGGTTACTGGATCTAAGCTGGGAGCCCACAGGGTGTTAAAAGGCCATTTTTTTCATCATTTTTTTATTTTTTTTTATGTATATTTCCTGTCTGCTGCAACCTCAGGCTGAGGCATGAAATGACCATATATCCACCCAAGGCGACCAGAATTTCCCATGTAAATTCCACGTATTTTTAATTTAGATAAACTATCTTGAGTATTTAGCTATAGAATAAGGATGCACGCCATATGCTCGAAGTCGGACAACGTTTTCTGCAAGGGCGCGAGTGCTTGGATGACCTGGTGGCGCAAACAGTTAGCCTCAGCCAAAATCACATCCCTTCAGCAAGGCCGCAACCATTTCTCTTCTCCATAGTTAGTCCCTCAGCCCCAGCCTCGCAAAGAGTCGATTCTGAGAAGCACCATCACGTTATAAATGATCCATGGCCCATGGCAGCTGTCAACGTGAACATGTTCAATGCGGCTGTCCGCGATGATCCTGCGCCTGAGCCGCGGTCGCTGATGACCCTCCCACTGAACCTCATAGCACTGGTTCTGTCATATGTGAGACAACAACGATTTCCCCTCCCCCTACCGTTTCCATTTGACTAACGGCTTCATTATTATCTATGCTTTCGTAGCTCGACGATGTCGGTGACCTTTCGCGGTTGTGTCGGACGTGTCGCGTGCTGAATTATATGACTCTGCCGCAACTCTATAAGAATATTACATTAACCTCGTACGATAAGATTCGCTATCGCGATGACCTGCCTGAGGGGTGCGGGAGCGCGAGCCCCTTCTCTATGGGGCTGAATGCGATTGTCACCAGGAATTCGGCCCCGTTGGTTCGCTCGTTCACATTGCGGGGAGACTGGAGGGAGGACGGGCTAGATGAGCACGCGAGAGTGGGCAGAGTCCCCGATTCCTCGATGATGTTGAATATCGTCGTTCGAGCGGCGATAGACAAGATGACTAGTCTGGAGAAATTCAGGTATAGGGCTTCCCTTTCCTCCTCGGTCCGCCCTCGGCGTTGTTACTGGGTTCTTTTTGCTGACCACGGAGGATCTTTTAGTTGGGAGCTTAATACGAAAATGCTGGAAACGGCGTATATTGGCCTTGCACAGTTGCCCAAATTGAAGTCCTTGACTGTTCGATTCCCGTCGAGTCGGCACCCTCGACCCACTACCGTGATCCCTCCGATGCCTCACCTTCGCTCCCTCAAGATCACGGATATAGATCCGCTTTGCTATCCGGATGATATATCGACACTACTGCTACACAGTAAGAAGTTGCGGGAACTGAAGATGCATTGGTCGCCACGGATGAAAGAAGCCCAGGAACCCAGCGTGACGTTGCATGATTACTTTCGAAAGTGCATCGCGGAAAAATCGCCTTTACGCCTCAGGAAAGTGGCTCTCCAGAATTTCTATGCCTTGCATACCGATGACTTTGAGGCGGCGATGGATCCCAGCGTGCTTGAGGAGATCACCACCTTGAACAGTCCTGGTGTATACGATGAATCCGTGACGGCGATGACATTTGTGGAGAATAGCTGGCCTCCTCCCCCCAGATTATGTCGGAACATCAAGAGTCTGCGGAACGATCGCCTGGAAAGAAAAGGCTGTGAGTTCCTCGCTAGCCTGGTGAGCCTGGAAAGACTATATTTTGTCACACCCATCCGGGATGCATCCGATTCCGTTAACAGCCCAAGGCCAGCAGGTTCAGCTCAATCTTCTGCTTCTTTGAGTCCTCCTTCTCACACAACAAATCACAACGCTGGTGGTGTTCCAGGAGTAGCCTCAACCTCCCAGGCGCAAACGCCTCCTAGCCCACCAGTTAATCTGGCATCCCACATATCCCTCCGTGATAGTTATATTCATACGATCTCTACCATTATTGGGCCTAATCTTCGACATCTTCTTCTTTCCTCGCGGTGGACTCTTCCTGGGCCATTGATAGCTCGATTGGTTCGATCGTGTCCTAATTTGGAGCAACTCGCTTTAGCCACCGATATGTCTAGCTTTGAAACTATGGCCGTCCTTATCCCATTTTTAAAGAAACTCGTCGCCATTCGTTTACTCATCCCTACTGGTCCCGCTGCTCAAACATCCGCACCGCCCAAGCCGCAAGGGAGGGATAGCGGCACCAACGGCGCTTCACGGACCACTGCTGGACTGGCTCCTGGAATTCTAGATACCCAATCATTATCAGAGATTGTGGAGCTCGATGATCGCATTTTCAATGAGGCCATGGGAGCGCGGCTTGCCGATAAGGAGCTTTACAGCAAGCTCAAAGTCTTAGGGCTGGGATGGAAAGCTTGGGAATTGGGCGAATTCTACACGATTCCTGTGACGGAAGGAACAAAAGTATTTGATTTAGGCTTGTCGGCTTTAAACGGTACCGATGCCGGGAACGCCATCCTACCTAGTTTGATTGCAACCCCAGGAGCCGCCCCCATCGAGGCAGAGAGCACTAGCAGCCAAGTTCAAGATCCACAAAGACCAAATGCCCAAATGAGACGCACCTGGAATGCGCAGCAAAGTGTCGGGACCCCATCCGCAATCAGTCCGAGCAGTACAAGTACCGTTCTGGGAAAACGAAAACAGCCGCCATGTTCCCGACCCGAGTCATCGAGAGGCCCGGCTGAATTCTCCACATATGCTACCCCAGACTGCAGCCAAACGAGAAACTCCACGTCTCACATTCAGAGCCAACAAACGGACGCTGCTGGACTGTTGGAAGAGTTGGGATCGAAGCTGTCTGAAGATACCAGGGCCAAGATAGTCCAATGCATTCATGAGCCAGCGGTGTATTCAATCGGAGGAGAGAAAGTGCTTTGGAGGCGAAAAGTGCGCCGGGTGGGTTGGGAGGTTTTGAAGCACTGGGAGATATGGGGGCTGGATGTTCAAGAGATCTAAGCGTGTATGTACGTGTGTATATTGTTCATTAAATACCTTCCCTTTGTTCTTTTGGGGCAAGGCAGAACATACTTGGGCCCTTTTTGTGCTTATCTGGTGTACGATTTTTTGGGGGAAACAGTCACAGGGGGCTTGTTTGGTGTTTTATGTTTCTCTCTTTCGCACGGAGTTGGCGGCTTGTGGGAGAAGACTGGACCAGTGAACCGGGCTGTTTTGTATACGTGGGAGTCGCATTTGTTGCAAGGGGATGCTGGTGCTGCTCTAATTATCCTATTCTTGCTGAATTCTAGTACCGTCAGGCCGGCTCTATCTTCGGTTCGCCCGCTCTTGATTGACAATGACGGGTGTGCAGCGTTTTCTCCTTGAATCAATCAAGCCTTGTTTGTCTGTCCAACGAGATATGTGTGGTTCACGAGCAATCGCAGCGCGTCAGAAGACACAGATACGACACCGTCCGTGTTCAGTCTCCGGCTCCTTGATATTGCTCTGTTCAATTGTGTTCTTCACTCAGATAATCAACTTGGGAAATTCATCGAAGGGCAGGCCGTTTTTAGCCAATCTCTTCCAGACGTTTTTTGCAAGGACTGCTTCATTTCTTCATCTATGCCTTCTTCCCGCCGACCAAAGCATATCGGGCCTTGTGGCGTAATTGGCAACGCGTCTGACTACGAATCAGGAGACTGCAGGTTCGAGCCCTGCCAAGGTCAGATTTTTTGCGGTGTGGGCTGAAATCTCAAATTTGAATTTGTGCGGCAAGATCTTTGTATCATTTTTGCGGTTGAAGAAAAGTGGAAAAAGTGAAGAACGATATACAAAAAAAAGAAAGTTGACCTTGGCAGGGCTCGAACCTGCAGTCTCCTGATTCGTAGTCAGACGCGTTGCCAATTACGCCACAAGGCCCGACTTGATGGTTGGATTTCAACGCTTAGAACTTCAAATATTAATCTAACTCGGCTTCACTGAAAAACCGAAAGATCAAAAATATATTGAAGTTGCACAGATACCCAGGATTTTGCCAGAAGCACGCAGTCAAAACAGAGTCATGTTTGATTAATGCAAAATCCGGCAGTTCGCTTCTCAGGCCCATCCCTCGAGTCTCTTCGCAATGCCTTTTCCTACGTCTGCTTCACCTCTGATCACGTCTTTTAGATCTCTCCTTGGGCATGGATGCCACCCCCCAAGGAGCCACAATCCCCCTTCCCAATCTTGAAAGGTGATCTCCCGGGTAAACACAGCCCATAGCACCGTGCTCGTGCCATGCACCATGTCATAAAGCAGAATCAGCTCAAGATACCAGACCGTCCAACGCGAGATTCCGTCAAACAGGCTCATCCGCAGCGTCCCCGCACTTGCAGTACTACTAGCCACCCCTTTCAGGACCAAGTTGCTTTCACAAACCGTGCGGCAAGAAACAGTTTCCCACTTGCTGATGGCATAGTTGCGAACTGTATCCTGCGCGGGATGCTCGAGTTCTGCCGGTGGCACGCCAGCCATCCGAGTCAACGGTCAAGCCACCATACCAGAACACGCGCACGCTGGCTGGCGGGCGTATTTTGGTTTGCACCCCGTGATGGCGAAGACCGGCATGAGCAGTTTTGTCAGGAGATAATGCCCGACGCAATTGGCGCCGATTGCGCATCTCCAGGCCTTGCGACGTGGTTCCCCAAGACGCCGGTGGCATTGTTGAATAGCACATCCAAGCGTGTTTCAGCTTCGAGGAAACCCTCGATGAAGGACGGGATCGTGCTAGGATCTGCAAGGTCAGTGGGCAAGAAGATGATGCCACCGGCATCTATCAGTATCAGGGTGGTTCGCTGCCGTGATGTTTTGAATGGCTGCAGCTTCCGCCTTGGTTCGGGAACGAGCCGCCAGGTAGACGGTGGCGCCGGCTTGATAGAGCATTTTGGCAAGGTCGGATCTAAAGGCCGGCGGTGTTCGCTGTGGCAATGACGACCTTCCCCGTCTGCGAAAACAGATTCGCTGCGGTCAGGGGTGCTGCCAGGGTGGGCCATAATTGCGGCCATAGGCGTTTCAGTGTATCCATTGAGGTTAGTATCTTTGATGTTGTGACTTTAAGATGGGATACTCATATGAATCCTGGATGTGAAAGCAGGAAGCCAAAATTGTTGTCGGCCTGACTAAAATAAAGATATTTATGATGACTAATACAATCATTGGTGTGAAATTGATATGGTCGCTACATTTTGGCCAATGATACCAGGAGTAGTTTCTTAAGCCGCTTGTTAAGTCAAGCCAAGCCTTTAAGCTCTGTGTTATTTACCAGGAGCTGCCATCAACATGAGACAAAAAGCGCAATCATAAACAACAAAGCAGACTCCACATTCTTGACTGGATCAAGTGTCATAACCATCTCTGTTGAGGGTAGCCATCATGTGGCAAGCATTTCAGCATGAAGTAAGAATAAAAGCCGTTTGCACGCCAAAGAGCATCAAACATAATGTGCATGGAAATCCGATATTCCCAGAGAGCCGCATCCCTCATATCTAATTCGCTTCCTTATTTTCCCTTTTTAGCAATATGCAAGGCAACCCAAGCGGGGTATATATGTGCTGCGCCGTAGAACAAACAGTGATTCATCGTCACAGGAATTGCGACGGCAGTCCAGTGCCATTTGACCCGCTTCCACCACCGGATCCATTAGCACCACCACCACTGCCGCCGCCTCCTCCATTGCCTCCACTGCCGCCTTCGGTATACTGATCCTTCAGCAAGACTTCCAGCATATCAAACTCGCCAACCATGGGCCCCGTACCACCGAGTCCTTGATCGACGCCTGCTGTGGAGCTATTGAAGAATTGATCCAATGGTAAAGCAAACCAATCGGACATGGTGTTCGAATTTGATCCCGCCCCGCTGGTGTTAATTGTATGCGGAGCGATCGTGGAGTCATCGACTTCCATTTTCGGAGAAGTGCCGTGATCGTAGAAGTTGTAGTAAACAGAGGGTGGCGGCGGCATAAACGAGACGTTGAGATTGGAGGAATTGATAGGCTGTGCGGGAATGCTGGCGAGGGGGTCGTTGGTAGTCGATGGCGCCGAACTGGTGTCAAACTGGAAGTTACCTGTCCCTTGGCCGATGGGATTTGAATGCCAGCGAAACTCTTGCTCCCGGGCTTGTGGAGACTGTTGCCTACTAGAAGGTGGCAAGGGCGTGCGCTCTCGGCTGCTGCAGTCCACACGGTCAAATGGTGCGAAGCGGAGAAACCTTGTCCGTATATTTGAAGTTAGCAACTGTAGAAGATCCGCAATGGTGACACTGAGATGGACGTCATCGACAATGCAGGTTCGAAGGCTTTCAATGGTGCGGTCCTGAAGCTCCAGTGATATTCGCACATCGTCTTCTTTTGCACCCAGAGTAAATGTCTAAAAAACCGTCAATATTGTCCCGAAAAGGGTAATATAATCCAGCAGTCTGACCTTCAGAATGAAAATCATCCCTGAAAGGATCCTAAAGAACGTCCGCACTGGCGCGTGCTTCAGGTGATCCCCAGGGATCATACCATCCAATACCGTCTGCAATATTTTCCGAGACGCATCAACCACCTCCTGTATATATGGTTCATTTACTTCATATTGGTCCATAAGTACACGTAATGGAACGGTTCCAGTGCTCGAATTCTGGCCGGAATTTGGCCCGTTAGACGGATTTTGAGCCAAATTCGAGGAACTCTCATGGGACATGGTGGTCCATCGATCAACTACAGCTTGCAGCGCTAAACAGTTGACATACACCCCTACAATACGTTAGCCTGGTTTGCAGAGAATTGTTTTGAGTAGGGAGAACTACGGGTATATTCGTACTCAATCGTCAAAATATTACGCATATGCGGAGACACTACGCGGCAAAAAACATTAGCAATAGCGCAGGCTTTCGGTGATGGATCGCTCACTTGGTAGCCGATCTAATTTTTGTTTAAATTCCCTTAGCGACGGGATAAATTCAGCTATCCTGTCGCGATACTGGCCGGTCTTGATCAAGTTCGTCGTGTACTCCTTTGACGGGAAAAGCACTTGGTTGCTTCTGTACATGATCTTCGAGATGTCCAGCCAGCAATCCTGCATCATATCCACAGCAAGATCTTCCTTGATCTCTCGTGACTTAGAATCCGCGCCAAGCGGTTCGATATTCTGGCTCCATTGTGGTAGAGGCAACATTGACGGGATCCCGAGCCGTCCACTGCTTTGTGAGACATAAACCAGGATTAACCGACGTACACGACGTTTTCGCACATGTTCGAATGAAGAATCGCTCGGGCCTTTTAGCTCATTCTTTTGGTCAAAAACACCTAGTTCAAACGCCAATGCTTGTGCTGTACTCAGCAGCATCCAGGACATACGGTCCGAACGCCACACCGGCTCGAGCCATTTGTAGAAAGCCAACCGGCCTTCAGTGCCGCCGTGGTGATCCTTACTTTCAGAATCATGGTCCTCGTCGTTATTGCCGTTCTGGTTGAACATCTGAGGGTCTGTATCAAGCAAAGTATTTTCGTCATCTCCCGGTGGGAAATGCAGTGCACGGGGATGCCAATCCGTTAAGAGAAGGAGGGCTTCCACAGTTCCAAGCGATCGTAAATTACCATTGAGTTTGGATTGTTGGCCGAAGAAAGACGTGGAGAGATTGAACTGGCGAGGCTTTGCAGAGGGCAAGCCGCTTGAACCAAATTTCTCCTGTCCCCAAATAAGTCGCTCGATCATGCCGCGAAGGTATGACCAAAGCTTCTCGTGGATAGAATAAGCCCTGGAGATTGCACCATTTCCTGAAAGTTTCATATGGCGCGAAGCTATTGTAAGCATAGTCACAGTTAAAACTGGTTCTTCGGTGAGCAGCGTAACATGCGTCGCCACGGAGCTGAAATTCTGAATGACGATTGGACTTAGCGGAGCGAGGTGCTCATAATAACTGGAGAGGAGAGGTGAGCCATAGAGTTATGACAGTACATAGGTTCGGCATAAACATACTATGCAATATACGCCATTGCCTCGTCCACACTGAACCATCCTGCACGAACGAATCGGAGTCGTGACCAGGCCCGCCGGGCATTCGCATATTCGATATCTTCGAGGAGCTTAGGCGGACTCAGTACAGCCTCTTGGCCTTCAGCGAGAGGGTCAGGTGGGTTTGCATCCTTATTCTGCTGGTACCATCCCCTCGGCGCGCCTGGTTGAGTGTTTGAGTTGGACCTGCTAGCTTTCCCACCACCAGGCGTCCCGACCTGATTCATGGGTGAGACGGAAGAGTTGAACGTTGATGTTGAAGAGTGGCGGGCACCATAGTAATCCATCTGCCGATTCAGATCCTCCGTCCTCCCCGCCGCTTCGGACAGTAGATGTAGCGCATCATGGGTATTGCTGATTGCCGGAGACAACAATTCGGCTGCTGTTTTATTCATCATGTGCTGACCACTTTCCAGCACGCCAGTCAGTATAGGGCGCACATTCCCGGCGAAGCTGGTAGAACGGGATGGGGGAAGGGGAGGATGGTATTGATCTGAAGGAACAGAAGTCGGGGCGGGGTACGGTTGGGTACTCGGAACAGAGATTCGATGAGGCGGGCCGGGAGGAGAATCATCCCACTGCCGTTGGCTGGATGGCCTGACGTCGGGCTCATAGGGTTGTACGGCAGCTCGGGGATGGGATGTAACGCCATTAACCTTGTTACTATTTGTCGCGTCTTCGGGCGGCATGGAGCCATCTGCAGACATCATCCGTTTGTCCCTACGAAGCACATTGGACTTGTCATCCTCATCCGACACCTTGCGCTTTCGCCGGGTGGCAGAAAATTCGCAGCGCTTGCTCTCGCGACGGCAGCGCACGCATGGTGGAGGTCGGGGGTTATCGACACCTGTGGCGCAAGAGCAGACGGTCAGTGAGCAGATTCGATCAGGGCTTGAGATGGGAGACGCAGATCTGAGGGAGACGTGGTTGCAAAGGATACGATGCTGAGATTATAAACGGGGCCACATACTCCCGAGATCGCACTTGACTTTGCGTTTGCGACACGGATCACAAGCCTGGTATCCCCGGCGATGCTGCGGCGGCGGGGACGGCGACCGGTGCGGGGAGAAAGAAGGGTTCGCGGTCAGGTCCTGGGGTCAGAGAATGGTGAGATTCCTGCAGCAGATGGCGACAATTGAATGGCAGAGGGGGGGAGCTAGAGAGAAGGAGAAGAGGAAGAAGAGGAAGGACAGAAAAGAGGCGCGGGAGGAGTGATAGTTACAGGAGCGGGAGTGGGAGCCGGTCTCGCAGCCATTGTGATCTGGCTCATCGCCGGTCTTATCGTCTGATGCCGTTTGGCTATATTCCTTCTCCCCTTGTGTCGCCTGAATGCGGCCACATTAGGGGTGGTTTTCTGAGCACACACCGATGCAAGCCGCTGAGTTGCGGGTTTGGGGCAGCTTAAGTATAAAGTGGGCTGCGTTTCTGGGACTGGAGAAGTTAACCGCCGTCTTTTAAATGGAGACGATGTAACTTCACAGCAGCAGTTGCTGGGTCTCCATCTGCCAGGCGTCACACGGTGGAGAGAAAACCGGGGCCAGCACGGTGCATATATGGAGAGGGAAGGGAAGGCGAGCAGAAACGGGGTCTGATATCAGGCGAGCGAGCGAGAGAGAGAGAGAGGAGAAGAGGAAGAGGGATGAATGAGGACGAGGAAGAGAGCAGCCCCCGACCGACCCTTAAAGACAGTCTAAATGACGGCCGACGAGAGGATCTGTAAGTTGTTACGTCTGACTACTACCTTGCAGAAGCCGCTAGTTAATCAAATCCTCCATTGGTGTGCTGCAATTTTCTGTCTGTCGTTTTTATGTTTTTTTATGTTTTATTTTTTGGGCTCTCTGATTCCAATCACTCGCATCCCAGTCGGCGGCACCAAGGAATCGAACAGACTGTGTGGAGAGGCGCCTATCCAGGTCGACCCAGAAATCCAAATTTAAGTCGTCGGTGAGAACCATGGAAAGCCCCAGAGACCGGTGACCGCCTGGCCGTCCTGCTTCATTATTTTGTGGCGACGGTGCAGCGCAAAAACTCTTCCTTCTCCAGAGAAATCCGGGTCCGTCAGACGCGATGCACCGCTGATTTGCGAAATGGCAACCCATTCCGCTTACAAACCCGTTGGTTCTCGCCGTCGCCCAGGGAAATATGGACACGATATCAGCACCTTCGCAGGCTCCGTGGAACCCACATCACTTGACTTTCCCGCCAGTCTGCCTGTGTGAGCGACGAGCGTCCACCGTCGTCCAGGGAAAAACCAACTCGCGAGAGGGATCACAAAAATAACATCTGAGCGTCAGTGTGCCCAGTCCAGTGCAAAGGGACCTTGCCCGCGCGGCCCATAGCCCACTGCGATATGTCGACCAGGACAGGGTTCTCCGTCCTCGTGCTGCTCTTGTTGTTGGGGCCAAGCCAGGCCAACCATCTGTGCACCAGTCAGAGAGGCGCAAAAGACGACGATTTTGGTCCTTGCAACCTTGCCGCAATCCTGTCACGTAATTATAGTTTGCAGGGAGGGATAGCAGGTGAGGAGAGAAACGAGGTTGCTCCAGCTGCCTCCCATCATTCGCGAAAGCTGGGCTGCCAACGACAGGTTTAAACGAAAGGCTGTTTGGGGAAGATTGGCCGAATTTACTGCTTCTTCAGGACCGGAGTGTTTCAACAGAGAGCCAGAGCCCGAGCTAGGGGGAAACCACCCCAAATCATGGTCGTCCTGGCTTGATTTCCTGAACCGGGCAATGATCAGTGATATTGACAGGCATTTGATAATATCAGTGTCTTATTGTCATCGAGCAGTCCAACCGCACGACACCGTTCTAGAAGCAGGATGGAAGAACGTTGATCGAATGATCGACGCCACCAAACACTCTCAACTTTGGGGGTGAGCCGGGGCCTCTCATCCAGGGTATGTCAGATTCACTGGTCAAACCGCCGGTGCCTGGCTAACAGGCTCTGGCAACCCAGTCTAGACACAGCAATATCAAAAAAGCCTTCTGACCATCCCAAGCGCTGGGTCCGAGGGATAATATTAATACAAGAAAGAATCCAAGCCAAACAACCCTGACATGCCTTTCAAAATTCTCCAAAACAGCAAAACCCAGCCTGTACTCCATATTCCCGGTATATCTTCTCTCCCCGAATCTTCCAACGTATACCGACCCCAACCTATCATCAGTCGCCAAAACGTTTCGTGATCATCCCGTCAGAGCAGATCGCTGAACTCCACCTGGTCCAAATGCAAGGTTCTCGTGTCGCTGGCGATTCCCAATTTGACCACCAGTAGGGTTTGTCACGGTCGTTACCGACCGTTGATCCTCATCGTCTCCGGCATGCTGCTGGGGTTTCGGCATCCCGCCGCCGTTGATCAGAATCGCTGGGCGACCCTGCGAAACTCTCTTTTGATTAACTGAAGAATTGCCGCTAGCCACACTGTCAACACTTTCACGCCGCGATAGGCTAGGTGTCAAGGCTTTTCCTGCAAACAGCCCCCGTACTCCACCCGCCTTTCTTGCAGGAAGCTCACCCGTCGAGGACATGAGGAGGTAGAGTAGGTATTTGACGTTCGGTAGGGTGTGCCGAATATCGATAACTCGAAATCCCTGCCGGTTCAACAGATACTCAATATCTTTGTTCAGCAAGAATACCCCATATTCGAAACGGTAATGCGCGTTTACAGGGTATAGGGGAAACGTCCGCTGTGTAAGACCAACTGAGATCGGATCTTTGATGAAGGAATGTGAGGAATATGGCTGGATGGGGTAAGGGAGCGGAACGGAAAGATAAAACGAGAGGAGATAAACCAGGTGCGCCGTGTATCCGAGAGCAGCGGCCACGGATTCCTTGTCAATATTCTCGAAATTAGAATTCGGTAAGGGAATCCCCAAAATTGTAAAGGCGAGGGCTTTCCCAGGAACGGGCTCGATTGGGTAAATGAAACTTAAATCTTCACAGATTCGACGTATTTGACCGCCTGAGTCCTCTCTGGCTTGCTGCAGAAGCTTCTCACTGGATATCTTTGTCGCTTGAGCTTCTTGGAGATATGATGATGTCTTCTCCTGGCTTTCATGGCCTTGCTGCATCGCTGCCTTCCTTGCTTCAATGCTTGCAATGAGACTCTCCTTTTGTCTTAGGGATTGTTGCACTCTCTTCTTCTCCGCTGCTATAGCTTTCGTAACCGAAACAAGTCGTTCCTCAACTTCAGCTTTTCGATTCAGAATGTCAAAGTATGCCTTATGCTCTTCCAGCACTGCATTGATATGGGCCTCGAGTTTATCTCGTGTAGCCAGGGCATCCTGGATACAGCCATCAAGGTTCGCCAGTCGCATCAAAGTGTCGTACGAAGCGGTGGGGGTCATCTCACCCACGAGAGGTGTCTTCCCTCGTGTTTGAGAGAGGGGGGAAGGCTCGCTTACAACCACGTCCGTGAGGGAGGTATAAACGCCATCCACAAAGTGAAAAACAACGCAATTCATTGGGAGTGGATGCCGAAAGCTCTGCGGAGTCTTGCCAATATACTGGAGTGCCTTGAACTGCACCTTGGCCTCCAGAAGCAAAAAGTATTCCTCCATCGTAGCTGGTCTTGCCCACAATTTGAATATCACCTGATCCATACGACATACCAAAGAGCCACAAGGATTGAGATCAAAGTTCTTGAAAGAGGGATTCATTGCTCTTTCAATAACCTCACTCACATAAACTGGCTCCTCAATGCCGGCGCAATGTAAGGAAAACCAGGTATCAGCCATCCTACTGGCAGCAATGTCCTCTAAGCGCCGCTGCCTTACTCCCGGATTGGCACCGGACCACGGTAATGTGCTCCTTCGCCGATTTGTAGGCATTTTCCTCGCGTGATGCTTCCCATCCTGCACCCCAGCCATCCCAACGTCAGTCGAGGACGCAACATGGTTCAGTTCTGTAGCGGATCGCGAATGATGCAGCGTTCGAGCTTCCTTGTTTGCGATCATTTTCGCTGGCGTCTGTAACGTATTCGGAATACTCTCATCGTCGATTGTCTTCCCACGAGGTCTATTTGCCGGTGGAGGTGTGACTAGCAGGTTGCGAACGGAAATCCCCTGAAGGTTCCGCAGTCTGCGATTCTATACATGTGTTTCCCGTTAATGCTACAGCGCCTCAGAAGTAGCCTAGTTCTGCAAGCTTACCGATGAAAGAAGCCATGGCCGCTCTTTTTTCCCTAGTCCCTCAGTTTGACTGGGGAGCTCGTCTTCAGCAACCGACATAGTTGCAAGTAGCTAGGAAACAGCTGTTTCCGGGGTTTTCTGCAACCATCAGGGACTTGTTGCTGTAATATAGAGAAAGCAGCAGAAACGCGTTATGTTTTGAATGAATTGACTATATGAGCCGCCATGTTGTGAGCACAGTGGTGCTGTTGCAGTCCAGCAGGGTGTGTTAACTGCTGAAGTTGGTTGTGAAGGGAGTGGTTCTGGCGGAATGACACCCGGGCCTCAAAAAGTTAAAATCTCTCCAGCTTCAACTTCAACTGCTCCATTCAACTCAACACCTCAATCAACCCAGGGGCCCTGATGTTGCAGGACTATGTTCTTGATGCTGGATTTCTGAGATAGACCAGTCCTATTCTGTTTTCTACCTCCTACTTTTTGTGCGCAATGGCCACTACGGCCGCCAATGCGGCTACAAAGGCGCCGAGGACTCTGCAATTGTTGGACCCGACAACACTTGCAACTTCACGAGCAGTACGATTCCCGTCCACCGATGGGATACCGATTCAAGGACAGGTCCGATTTCCCAATTCGAGGGCGGCCAAAAATTTCCGGGAACGTGAATCAGCAAAACTGAAGAGAGCGCTCCAATCTCTGACCCATGGGAAGAATATCTTCGCTTACAACAATCTACGGACAAATCAAGTCGTCTACTCTCTTTCGCGGACTCTAGAGGTAAGTTGCTTGAAAGAGCGCGGCAAATCCCACCCGAACCATCGGATCTAATTGATTCTCAAACCAGCGCGAAAATGTCCTCTCCCAACTCATATACCATGGCAAAAAGACCGTCCCTGCAACTGTCCGCAAAGACATGTGGATACCCTACTTTTCGATCCATTTCCCAGCTCCCTCCCTTGGCCTTCAGGCGTACAAGCTGCTTCGAGAATTCTCTGTCCAACGCCAACTCTCCCCTCCCCAAGAATCCATTATCAATTCCGAAGAGACGCTTGCCCGCAAACGACCGCGAGATCCGCTCGAAGCAAAAAAATGGGACGAGATTTGGAAACCAAGAATTGGCCAGTTCATGATGAAGAAAGACCGAGCACGGGTGCTGATGGACCAGAAGGCCACGAGCGTCGCCGATGTAGCGGCAGTACTTGCAATTCAGCAGAAAGCGGAGGAGAAAGCGGAGGAGGAAGTAGAGGAGGAAGGAAAAGAGGAGGAGAAGAAGACAGGTGATGAGAAGACGAAAATTAGCCATAGGGCCAGAAAGAGGTTGGTTCGCGCACGCAGGAAAGAAAAGGCTCTGGAAGAAAGTGTGCGTCAGCGCATCGCCAAATTAGAACGGGCTTTATCACGAAAGGGTATCCAAGCGAAGATCGATGAAAATGGCGAACTGGAGGATCACAAAGTCGCCGAGGGAGAAGTCAAGATTTTATGGACGGACCTTCAAGATGCGCAAAACGCGGAAGAATGGCCCGAATCGGTGCGCCATGGCGAACTGGAACCAACCAGGGAACACATCATTGGCTCAAAATTGAAAGCCCAGGAATTGCAGCCTGCTGCGCAGAGTCAACCAGTCTCAAGTGAAGCTGGTTCCACCACCGAAGGCCATCCTGGTGCGCAGGAACAGACAGAGGAGCCCGCTAAGAAGGGTCTCAACCGCTTGAAGTTCTGGAAAAACTGAAGATTGCGCCAATTTCTCCTCCTGTGCTCACGGCGCAAAATCTAGATCAATCTTCCATGCAGCGTTCCTGGCGCATTTACTGGTTGCAAAGACATAACTTTGTACCGGATACTGCTGTTGGATGGCATTTTAGTACCTAAATCCTCCGCCAGATAGCGGAAATCCTACGATCTGCGAGCTTCCTCGCGCCCCCACGTACCACTGTATATCAGATTTGTATGTATATTCGGACCCAGAATGGAGTTTTTGCAAATTTTGATCACCCCTCTCGTCACAATGAATATTCAGACAACAGACATGAATTAGAATGTAGGCCGCGGAAATCATGCTTCCAATAGTCGTTCTCTACTCCGTACACTGGAGCATTTCGACCAAAACAGTATCATAAGATACAACTCGGTAATATTGGTTCGTTGTAAAGGTAAAGGATACCAATGCAATGATACGAGAGATAATCACACAACAGAAAAACCAATCTCCCACCTCTCCCGGCGCATTGCATGATCTAAGAAATCGAAAGAAGAAAAGTAAAGAAACCGGCAAAATATGAACACGGAGACTCCTACAGCTGCGGAAAGGGTGGCATAAAGATGACGAGAGCCGAAGTTCATCGGTAATGGAAAAGTAGAGAAGAGGAAAAGGAAATTCATAAGACATCCAAGAACATAAATGGTTGCTGATATTCATGGAGGACAAATGGCAATGCCATAATGGGCAACAGAGCCAGAATACCATGGAACTCGTTGCATATTCGGAGCTCAGTGAAAGAATGCCTCGTTCGATGGGAGAACAAAGCAAATGAGTTGGGAAGACGCCATGTCCACTGTGCTACTGCACCGGCTCCTCAGAAGCAAAAGCATACTCTCCTAAGTTTATTCCTCGCCCAAGAGGGCCACTGGCGTTATTCGACCTCTAGCGGATTCTTTTTATCGGGCACAGAAGTGGGTTCACTTGGGCTAGGTGACAGGACATCAACGACGCTCTTGGAAGGTTCTGGGAGCGCTATCTCAGGTCCTAGTTCCTGATTGAGCTCGGTGGCAGTTGCTTCTGCCTGGTTATTACTATCCTCCTCCTTTACACTGTCATTAGGAGCGGACGATTGGTGTGCTTCTTTCTTCGCTTGGGCAACGATTTTATCGGCTTCACTGGCGCCGGTTATATTTGAAACTTCACCCTCGATGGGCTTGCTGTTTATTCCGGCTGCGTGAGCCTTTGGATCAAATCGTACAACCATGCAAGAAAGGTTATCGGTGCTGAACCGGGACAGCGCGTGATCGACAAGGATTTTAGAAGCGGCTTGAGGATCATAAGTATCACGGATTAAATCGACTGCCTCTTGATCCGAGCACACATCCCAGAGCTGGTAAAGCTGGTTAGCACGGGCAAATTCTTGGTTATGAAGCAGAAGCTGAATCTACTTACACCATCGCAGGCCAATATGAGAAAATCGTCAGCCTCTGGTTGGATGATCGTCTCCGTTGTGAATGGATGGCCTGTGACGAGATCTTTCATATAGGTGTCCCCCAACGCTCGAGTAACAGCAAGAACGCCGTTGACACGGTTGTTCAATATCAGCCAGCAGCATTGATGATCCGCATCCCATCATTCTCATCACTGCCGTATGGTCGTAGGACAATCGTAGAGCTTTTCCGTTACGACAGAGAATGATTCTCGCGTCGCCCACATTGGCAGTATATAATACCCGTTGGCGAGCAAAGGCAGTCTCAGCGTTTAGAGAAACCTTTGAATCTCTTCCTAAAGGAGTAGCGGTAGTGACATTATTCGGTATCCTTAATGTTTCCTTTTCTCCTTTTAACTCTGGGCTCAGAGCCTTGTTGTTCGTGTTATCCGAAGTGGAGACCGGCGAATTCGACGGCCGGTCCTCCCATCGAAGGACTGCAATGACAGCAGTACAACCGCTATTTTTCAATGGTAACTGCTCCAATTGCTGGTCTACCAGAGTAAAAGTCTGGTCAAGGAGTATGGGGACTGGTGTATTCGGATTCTTTCTAATAGTCTCCTCCAAAATAAGATGTAGTTTCTTTCCACACCATTCAGCAGCAAAGGTCCCTGCATGACCGTCGAAGATAGCAAAATATCCATTATCTGTTTCAATCACAGGCGTTGAGTTGCCGGATTCCAAACCGCCAGGCTCTTTAGACTGGCTAGTCTGCGTTGATTCGAATTGGGGTATAGAAATGGGTGTCCCTAGAAAATTATAGAGGTATGCGTGGGTGTCTTCCATAGTCCGTCGACATTTTTTGTTCTTGTCTTCCGTCACCCCGACTCGAAAGGAGGAACGCGGAGTAGGTAGTGATTCTCCTGCTGAGTTATTCAACGAGCCCTGCGGAACTATCAATGCCGGGTCCTTTTTCCCCAAGATCTGCAGTGGCGTCTGCGCGACCTGGGGCGCCTTTTGCGTTTCTCGCACGCCCGGGATATGCAATGAGTTCTTTGCGCTCACGAGGAACGCCGCAGCCCTGCTCACGGAGCTGCCCCGCCGCTTCTTGTCTCCGTTCTGATGCTTATCGTTCGATCGCTTGAAGAGATCGCTAGATGAGCCCTTGCCCTCGCGAGAGGAGGCAGAAGTTTCGGTATTGTTTGTTCGGTTGGCGGGAGTTGTAGTGGAAGGTGCAATTGAACTGGTTTTGTCTTTATGAGCGTTTGAAGAGCCACCGAACATTCTGTTCAGCAACCCGCCCTGGCTGGAAAAACTGAGCCGCTTGTTTCCTGCCAGCTTGAATCCTTCGTTCCTGGAAGATGGGCCCGAACAAAGCTGGGAGCAACAGAGCCTCCAAACAGGCGTGGAATGGAACCCGGAAACTATAATCAGAAGGTTGTTAGCAAACGAGGCCCAAACAAGTTGGATTTGCAGCTGACAAAAGTCCACGGCAGCCAGCAGAAGCCAAAGGTTATGACGTTGAGGGGGATCACCGGTCCTCGCTCGCACGAATCCCGGCCTCCCAGCGGCATTTACCAGCAGTTTGCTTTGGCTATTGGGAAAGAGAGGCCAGCATACCTGTGGAGGACGGTTGCGGGTTGTTTTCTCCTGTGAATCGGTGGGAAAGCCTCTTATCCAGCACTGGTGACGCGAAACAGGGATGATACTCTCGTGTTGGGCTGACGAGGGAGTCTGCAGGAGGATCTAAAAATAAATCGAGGGAGATGATTCCTTAACTAAGTGAGGGCAGATCACTTTAGAGGAGGACAGCGGCTTGAAAATGTGGGAAAAGTCATACACAAGATGCTCTGTAAATCATGCGAGTAACTCAGAATCATGCAGGAAGAAACAATCGGGATGTTTGTCAATGAGTGTCAGATATTAGCTATTCGAGTATCAACTGGGCGTGGGCATCTCGGGCACCCAAACCCCCCCAAACACCACTGTTAACCAAAACATAAGATATAAACCAAGCTGCATAGGTGTCTGCTGGTAATTTGCTGAATCTACAAAGGCAGCTCGTCCCCCCAAAAATATTGCTAAAAGGTTGGACATGCTTCTCGTCCTTCGCTTGGAGATTTGACTTCGTGAAGGTTCGTTTCAGAACACGATATGAAGCCCTCTGGATCTTCAAGGAATAATGGTGATTTGACTGGAAATTGCAAGCATTTTTGGCGGATGAACTAAAATATTTTACTTTGGCGGTAATTGACCCTTGCCTAGCCTAAGTGCCGAATGCGATAAACAGGGGATGCCTCGACACCGGCTCTCAAAGCGACTGGCTTTGGTGCCTTACTGACTGTTCTCAGCATAATCGGGCGCACCTATTCTAGGCCGCGGGTGCGGGCGCGATTCGCAACCATAGCCACTGACTGGCATCCTCCAAAGACCAAGACCGTCAACCGAAAACACATCGGCCGTTCAATGACTCCCAAACGCCCCGCTGCACCAGGAAAGGTATGTGAACATCATAGGCCATATATCATGAAGTGAAGGAAATCATCTTCGAAGACTATCCAGTCTAGCCTGCAGGTCCTCATCTTCGGCACTGCCACCGCCCCCGACAGCTTGGGCGACACGTCCCTCGCGGACCCCTGTCGTTTGGAGGTCGGTAGGCGTTTCACCGAGCTACATAAAAGCGCATTAGAGCCGCACCGAAAAGGCCACATGCGGGCACGAGTGAACCACAGATGGAGCTTACAGCCTGGCTAAGATCGACCCCGATTCCGTCCAGCACTTCTTTCACGATCTCCTCGCCTTCTTCTTCGTCCTCGAGACCAGTCGCTTCGTCAATCGCGTCGTCCATCATCTCTTGCCGCTGGTCCATGATTTCGTTCTCTCGCTCAAACTCCATGACAATTCTTTGCAAAGCGGGGAGGTTCATTTGCCTATTCATGCTTCCAAGCAGTATTGTCGCACCTCTCATTGACTGCATCATCTGTTCATTGCTTCTGACGGTCTTCGTAGCTTCACATTAGCTGTTGCCCGCCTAGTCTCGTCTGCCGTCTCCGAAGCCCTTACCTGTATTCGTAGAGAGATCGCCTGCAGCTGGGTTCTCATTGAGTAGAATTTCTGGATATATCTAAGCGAAAGAAGGGCATATCAGCAGATGCAGCTACATGATGCACGACACGAAACAGTCTCATACCGCCTAGTCCTCACAAGATCTTTGGCTTGAATCTTGCACGCGCCAATCTGCCCATTTTTGGCGTTTTTCTTGATGTCTTGAACCAGCTTCTTCTCTTGGTTTTCCAGTTTTACCCTTTCGCGGTCTAGCTCTCTCTGTGTTTTCTCCAGTGCCCTTTGGTGTTTCCGCAACCGCTCCGCCGGTGTCAGGCGCTTTCCAAAAGCCCATTCAACGATCTAGTAGCACTATCAATCAGTTCGGTTCAACAGACGACGCGAGACCGGGAAATCTTACATTCATCTTGGAATATGTTCAAAACAGGACCACGGATAAGGTACAAAGACTGCAGAATTGGACACCAGTCTTTTCCTTCTGAGAACAAATCCCGGGCCTCCTCGAATATCGACAATCGTGCTGCCTGTTTCAACATTCACGATCCACCAAATCGGACGATGACGATGGCGGGCAGATTATCTAATCAGTGCCAAGACGGTATCTTTGGCAAGATAAAGATCCGATCCGAGGAGGCGTGGTTACATAATCTTCGGATGGTCCAACGCCGGAATTGCAAAAGGGAATCTTGGAGATCGATTTCCACTGCATTCAGCTTTTCGAAAGGGAAGACACCAGTCCGGCTTTGGATGCGGGTTCCAATATACACGCTCTGACACGTACTACGGCTTGCTTCGCCGCTATGAGCCAACAATATTTTCCCAGCGATTCGTCCGCTGGGGAAGGATCGTCGAGCCAGAATGGGAGACGCTCCCCACCAATTTTGCCGCATCATGCGCCCGACTACATGGTGGTAGGATCTGGCACCACATCGGAGAATGCAACGTCTTTGATTGCTTCGTTGAATCAAGATTCCGGATATGGAGGAAGCGTCGACGGAGATACGTTTCAGGACTCTAGCAAAGCGTGGCACGCAGGGCTACTGGAGGATAGACCAACGCCGGCGCATACCCCGATCCTACCTGGGCCTTCAAATTTCGCTGGTGTGTATATCCTGCCCTTATCGTACTTAGTGTTGGAATTACATTGGACTAATATTCGCAAAGCGCAACATGAGCGGCAAATTTTCGCCAACCACATCCATCAGCTTCAGTAGTACGTATACCCGCGCTCCCACCCCTTTTAGGTTACCTGCTAAACATTCTCAGCAATGCGAATCGGACCCAGCTCGGCCGTTATATAACACGCGCCATGGAGCTCTTGAAAGAGCTCCGGGAGATGAACCGCCAATGGCCAGCCCATTACCCTTCCGTGGTCCCTAGTGAAATTCCACCGAATAGACCAAATTTTACGCCAGTGAAGTCCTATATCGAAAGCAACGATCACCTCCCCGAACCCTCCTCCTCGAGACCAGACCCGTTGCGACGAGCGGCTACTTCGATCGCGAATGCTCCGGATGCAGAATCTAGCCAGTCAGCGGAAAGAAGACCCCCTCCGGAACCGAGGCTCATTACGCCGCAAATTGCCCGAGAGTTTTCAATCCTCAAATTGGATCTCAAGCTGGGCACTTTATCACAAGCGGAGTTGGTACATTCCCTCGAAAAGGCCTCTATTGCGAGCTTGCTAGACGGGAAAGTTAGCCAGAGCCTCAAGCACCTCCTTTCCTTACGAGACAGAATAGACGATACTTCTAGTAAGGTTTTGATCACTGGTGATCTCAATGCAGGAAAATCGACTTTCTGCAATGCCTTATTACGTCGCAAAATCCTCCCCGAGGACCAACAGCCCTGCACCAGCATTTTCTGCGAAGTCGTCGATGCAAGAGAAAATGGAGGTGTGGAGGAGGTCCATGCAGTTCACAAGGATATGCAATACAATCGCAATGATGAAAGCACCTACGACGTTTACTCATTAGCGGATCTCGAGGAGCTTGTTGTTGACAACACGAAATATATGCAGTGCAAAGTCTATGTCAAGGACATTCGGAGCATTGATGAGTCTTTGCTAAACAATGGAGTCGTCGACATCGCCCTTATTGATGCCCCGGGCCTAAATTCTGACTCGGTGAAGACTACAGCTGTCTTCGCACGTCAAGAGGAAATCGATGTTGTCGTCTTTGTCGTTTCTGCTGCTAACCACTTCACACTGTCTGCCAGAGACTTCATTGCAAACGCTGCTCAAGAAAAAGCCTATATTTTCATTGTTGTCAATGGATTCGATAACATTCGGGATAGAAATCGTTGCCAACGGATGATTCTAAGTCAAGTGCAAAAGTTGAGTCCACGGACATTCAAGGAATCTGCCGAACTTGTACACTTCGTGTCCAGTAACGCAGTTCCCGTTGCACCAAGTGGAAGTGATGTTGGAGGAGGTGGCGATGGTGATGACAGCGGAGACGGTGATGATGATAATCCCACCGGCAGCGGGGTGACTGGTGAGGTCGAGGAAGACAAAGGCAAGGGCAAAGAAAAAGAAAAGGAAAAAGAGAAGATCCAAGATTTTGAGATTCTGGAGGGTGCCTTGCGCCGGTTTGTTCTCGAAAAACGTTCTCGGTCGAAACTTGCGCCTGCTCGAACATATCTCTTAAACATTTTCAATGACCTACACAATCTGGCTTCTGTTAATCGCGATGTTGCGGCCTCAGAGCTTGATCGTATGTCAAAAGAGTTCGACGAACTCGTGCCTGCTTACGAAAAGGCCCACTAGACAAAGAGCCGAGATCGGCGACCAGCTGGATAAATCTATAGACGGTGCCTGCGACGATGTCTACAATCACACCCGTTCCACTCTTTCGACAGCGATTTCCCACGTTGCGGAGAGCGATTTGGGAGTGGACTATCCCGGCCTTCTTGCCGTTTTTCAATATGCGGAGGATATCAAAGCAGCGATGCTGGATCAAATATCTGCGTGTGTCACTAGCTGTGAAGATTACGCAAGGTCCAAATCTGTTCAGGGCGTCAGTATGATCCATAGCCTTGGACTCCTGCATGTTGGAGAGGACAAATTCCCTAGTCTGAACTTCCGTGCCGAAGTCATGTTCCGACAACAGAAACATTCCCTTGCTCGACAAGCGGATGCTGAGATTGAAATATGGGATTTCGTTGATATCCCAGGTCTTTGGGAACGGCAGGAAAAGGTTGCCGGCACTAGCATGGCCGTCACCGTTGTTGGTGTCCTTGGAGGACGGGCACTTGGCGGATTCGGATGGATTGATGGCATTTTCGGAGCTGCTAGAATCCTGGGACCAAAAACTCTCCGAAGAATGGTGATACCTAGCATCCTTGGAGCAGGTAAGTTTAGTCTTCCATGGAATCTTAGTTTTACATCTATGCTAATATCTGTAGCACTCTTAACTGCTGCTTACGTGGTATCACAAATTCCAAAGTCTCTGCCATCTCGACTCTCACGCAAGATATCTGCGACACTTACAGAAGTCGATTACGTCCACTCAAACGCATCGCGCATTTCGACTGAAGTTGGTCGTGTGCTCCGCATGCCCGCAGCCAGGCTGCAAACTGCCCTCCAGATTGCTGCAGAAGACCTTGCAAAACGCAAAGCTGAAGTCGGAAAGGTGAAGCATGAGAGCGAAGTCGCTCGGAAGTATTTTGCCAATTTATTCCGTGAGAGCGCCGATAACAGACGAGCAGTTGAAACGATTGACCTCGACGCAACCGTCCCGGGCGCTTAGTTCGCCGCTTCTGGTTTATTGGCTTCTTTCTGTGCCTACTTAGGTCCTTGCTTGAATGATTTTACGACTTTTGTTTTTCTCTTTGCTGTCAAGGCCTCTTTTCCCGAATCGAGTTCGGCACCGCTTTCTTTCATCCCCCGTGGTCTTCGTCCTTTTCTGTAACATATCTACTCTTCCCTTCGTTTTTGATTTATGGCCCCTTAAGCATACTCATACCCCGGCTGCTTACAGTCATACTCTGCAATGGCCTCGTTTCAAACGAGGTCAGTTTGGCAATGAGGGCAACTACTGTATTCATTATCCGCACAAACAGGCAAAACAAAATGGCCGGCTTCAACTTGATCACCCGCTTTGTAGAAAGTTATGTACATACAAGATGCTTGTCGGGCTTTAGTTCTTCTCTTATTCTGTTGAGTGGAAAACATTTAACATCCCATATAAGTTGTAATGTCAAGTTAGAACTTATTGAAAGGTTCTATATGTGTCTACATCGAATCCATGTTCGTCCCGTCACATTACTCAAAAGGAGGGAGAGACTTAACGCCAAAATACCCTCCGCAAAGCTGTCACGCTATGCTAGGTCGAAACCTCCCATAAACTCCAAGAATATTTATATATCTTCCTCGATATTAGGCGCCTTTCTCGACCTCGTACGCCTCCCGCTACCCCATCCAGCAAACTGTTCACTGTCTTGTAACTGTCCAATAACTAAAGTACCACCTCTGCTTTTCCTTTCGCCTTTCTGGTTTTCATCCCTTATATCTCCCTCAGTGGCATTCTTCTCCCTTGCCCTCTGAATAACCTTTTCTCGCATCGCCACAGCGTCAGGATCCTCGTAACCCAACTGTGTCATTGGCGGCGTTTCTTCATCTTCCATCTCCGTCCTCTCTGATTCGTGGCGCGCAAGCCCGTTGCGGAACAAATGCAACCTATTTTCCAACAACTGCTGAGCTTCAGTCGGGTTAGCATTGCCCTTTGCCGCTGCTACGCGTGGTGGAAACGATACAAAGCTCGGCGCTTTGCTAAGTCCTTTCGCAGAAGGGCTATTGAGGCTATCCACAACACTACCATAGCCGTCCTCATTCACTGTATCTATAGAAGATGCACGAGACATCCCCATTGGCCCGCTCAGCGATGAATTGGAAATTGCGCGGCCAAATAGCCGTTTGCGCCGCTGGGGCGGGGCGTTGCTACCAGCAGCTTGGTCAGACAAGCTGGGCTGCTTGGAACGACTCCGTTTCTGCCTTAAAAGTTCACTAATGGCGAAGTCTAGAGAGTTTGAAGAAGTTGTCGGTTTGTCTTCCTTGCTGTCAGTTTTTGGAGGCGCTAGATCGGGGGAATGTGATGGAGATTTAGTAGGCGAAGCACGAGAGTTCGTTTCCGGGCCAGCTTCAAGTGGACTATGATCCTCATCGGGCCCGCCACCATACCCAGCCTGGCTTTTTAACAACTGTTGTGAAACTTTCTCTGAACTTTCCGGCTCCATTTGCCTGCCCAATTTCGAGCCCCTGTGTTCGCCCCCAGAAGTCCCGATATCAATACTTGATGATCGCCGGCTAGGTATTACATAAGGTTCGAAAGGCTTTATGTCACCTGTTTGAACAGAGATCCAAAGCCAATCAGCAAGCACCGCCGGGATATTCCACTGGCGAACATGTCTTAACTTTTCGGCGTTAGGGCTGGCTGAATTGCAAATCAACACTGACGCTTTTGGGGTCAGGTATTCATCGTACTTTGCGCCTAGATCATGGTTAATAGGCGGGAAGTGTGAAAGCAAATGGCAGTAATACCTAGGAGAGTGACGAGTTTAGATAGATGCAAGAGGTCGATACCGGTAAAACCTGTGGAGCATATACTCAATTCCTGGAATGCTAATTTTGGGACGAGTGTTAGCAAGCAGTGAGCTGTCAGCCGGGATGAAGAAACCAACCTGGTATGGGGAACCTCGGGACCGGGGTGCTCGTGATATGTGCTTCTGGTGGCACAAATGAATTACTATGTAGACATTTTTCAATCCACATATCTGTAACAATCTCAACCTCATCTTCCGAGTCGGCAGTAGATGGGATATCCGACTGCGGTAAACTGTAGGGTACGAGTATGTACTGTTTGCTATCCACTTCCGCGTCATTCGCCAAAAGGTGCTCGATGGAAGCAGCAACTTCGCCATCGCGAGCGAGAATGTGGTTCTTCAAGATTTGGTTCTAAGGATATCGTTAACACTGATTACCTGGAGCGCTACTAGAGCATCCATCTGAAAACGCCTTACCTGCTTTGTAGTAAATCCAGATATAAAGAATTTGGTTTTGTACCAAATTCCGCGTGGGATTTCTACAGTTTGCGCTTGTGCCACAGACATACCATGGGTTATGCTATCTCTAGGCTCACCGAAAGTCGTTTCGCTTGCAAAAGACCTCGTCGCTTGAATGCTTGTCTGCAATCGAGGTTTCGGCGTTGCATCGGCCAGGTCGTCGAGAAGCTCGTTTTCACTCAGGCCAGCAGAATTACTACCCATAATGTCTGTCCATATCCCTTCGTTTTGGTCTCCTAGTTTTACGCTAGCGACTCTCCGAAGTTTGCGAGGGCGCTGGAAAGTAATTTCTGAAGCTTTCGGTCGCTTTTCCACTTGAATTGGGGCCGCGCGATTCCATGCACCAATACCTTGCTGCTCTAGGGGCAGTAATGGATCGTAGAGGCTCTCGTCCAGTATCATCCCCCTTTCTAAGCTATCCTCCAGCCACCGGAGGCTCACTACCTTGATGTTCCACATCATTGCATATTTATATTTCTGGCTATCTCCGGGAAGACGCAATGAGATGTGTGACGCTCCTAGTTAAATCTCGCTGAAACTCCCCTCCGTTAGCATTAATCTTTTGCTGGAGGCTATTCCTAAAAATCCCTGGCAATACGGTCAGTATAACTCCAGAACCAGGTTAGCTTCACTTACGGTCGTCAAAGCCAGTAATGCATATCGTTAATCCGACAAACGTTGGTAGCCTGTGCTCCTCCTCCAGCGCCCGGATGTCCGTATCCCCGCCTAACAGCCACGATGCTCGAACAGCTTCTACCCACTCCGCTGTGACCACCTTGACGTCACTCCGTTGCTGAGCCACATATTTATACTTGGAAGTATTCGTATCGCCGACAATTAAATGGGTAACATCGGAGGTAAGGTCATAGTTGTGAGTGGCGCCCATCTGAGCTGCAATTGCAGCCAAATGTGACTTTGAACGCAAGCAAAGGATTAGCACACGTAAAGCGAATATTTCGAATTGACGGCTACTCCTTACCCGTTGCTCAGGAAGGATGGAGGTACAGCAGAGAATCATCCCCGCCAGGGGTAGCTCCTTGTCTACAGTCAATCAGCTGGCTATCCAGACAAACAAAACGAGGCATTGCATACTTGGTACTACATCCTCGGCCATGCTTCATGTTTTAGGGCAGTGGAATCATTATTCAGCACTCTGCACCCACCGTAACCAGACGCGAACTGTCTCTCTCCGTCAGCGCAAACCTCAGGTTGACTGCAAGCAACCGCTGTGATATGACGATATCTTCGGTCTGCCCTAGCCCTCGCGCTAGCCTTAAGGGGCTAGCTCGGGATCAACTATTCTCCGGTTTGCAGCCCCTATTACATAAGCTGGATGACTGGGAAGTGCTTCAACTCGAAGAGAGATATCACACAGAATACGGATGCCGTGCAGGGAATGATATATTTTATCCAAACGTAGTAGATGTGGTCTACTGCCATCAGTACAGATAATAAAGCCGCAGCAAAGCCATGGTACAAAATGCTGCAAAGATCATCCCCCGAATAAGCTGGTCAAGAACGCCTAAGCGTAGATTTGTGCTAACAATTCGTCTTCTAAATCACTATCCAAACCGGGGATGCCAGCATCACTCTTTGTGGCTGTCAGTTTCTTGCTTTTGCTTTTGGAAGCGCTGGCATCATTGGCAGTAGATAGGTTTCCATAAAACTCCTTGACTTTCGTGTGAACCATGACCTTCTTGGACTCGAAGCGCGTAACCTGAAGTCCAGCAGTTGAAGTGGCTCGGCTCAGTGCAACATATGCCTGGCCCTTCTCGAAAACCCGCCCAAGGTCAACTTTAACTCGTTGAAGTGTTTGGCCCTGGGCTTTATGAATGGACAAGGCCCAAGCCAAGATCAATGGCACCTGTGCTCGCTGAGCTTGAACTTCACCGTTTGGCAATTCAATTTTCCAGGTCTCCGGCCTACAGAGAAGTTGACGTTCGGTGCCATCCGGCAAAACAAAAGACACTAGCGGCCACAACCTAGCGGTCGTAGTGCCAAGGTTTTTCGGGTCATAGGCCATCGACTTGATCTTCTTTCGCGCCCGGCTTGGCTCATCGTCTTCATGGCCGTGATCGGCATCGTGATACGACTCTTCGTGCCTTGTATAATGATCATAGGTCATGTCGTCCATGAACGCAACAATCTTGCCCAGGGACCCGTTTACCAGCGACTCGTCCATATTTTTGATGAGCATGACCTGGGCGCCTTTCTTGAGATGGATTACAGGAGGTGCCATACAATTAGACAACAGCCTGTCCCTCATTTGTACATCTTGAATGGTTCCTGAATCCACAGCATGAAAAGGTATAGTGTCGCCTGAAAGGCGATTCATTCGAGCAGAGTTGGCTTGATCCACCTCTTGCCTGGTTGGAAATCTATCGTAATGTTAGTATATAGAGCATCAAAAGGTTTCATACTAAACCTACAACTCGGTTGCCTCGACATCGTCTTCAAAATTGAGGGGTCGAGATAATTGTCTAAATGTATCGATCGTACTTTGGCTGACTTGCCCAAGGCGCAGCTCGTTTAGCATCGAGGCAAATTCGGGATCCTTTTGTCTGAAGACATGGGTTAGAAGAATCGTATGATGAACGCACGTATTCCACGTATTTGCGCCGAATGCAAATCTTGCTTCTCTGTTAGAGTCAGGGACCGGTGGCAGTTGGAAAAAGTCTCCAGTGACGACCAGTTGAATGCCACCGAACGGTCGTCCGTTGTTCCTAATTTTTCGGGCCACTTCCTCTAGCTTGTCAAAGAATTCACCATCCACCATTGATATTTCATCAATGACAAGGACCTTTGTCCGTAGCCACCGATTCCGGGCCTTTTGGTTACGTTTGACCTAACGCACTTTCAGCAGCAGTTCCCTAGAGTCAAATCGACATATCACTGTCTACCTTTTTTACAAGTCCAGTAGCATCTTCTTTCCCCAATCCAACGCCAGCAAAGCTATGCAGCGTGACGCCTTCGATATTACAGGCCGCTAGCCCGGTTGACGCGGTCACAGCCACTCTATCCGGCTCTTTCTTATACTTTTGCCGCAACTGCCGAATAGCTTCTCTCATCAGGACCGACTTTCCAGTTCCAGCAGATCCAGTAAAGAATACACTTTGGCCTTTTTGTACGATCATCTCAAGCACCTTTTTTTGCTCCTCACTAAGGAAAATGGAAGCAACTCGTGATGTAGGTTTTGGTAGTCCCAGTGCTTGCTTTTCAATGGCAGCTCGAAGTTTTTGTTGCTTTCGAAGTTCCTTTTGCTCTTCCTTTACAGCACTTAATGTTTTATCCCAAGCATACGATGTCGGCTTTGCGACTGGAGTTTTGACATTTTTCTCTTCGATCCGTGGGGCTGCAGGCTCCTTTTCCAGCCAAGGCAGTGTACGTTTCTTGGGTGGCTGAAAATGTGCAGGGGGCGAAGAAGACCATGGCAAAGGAACGCTGCTAGGCGGGGCGGCTTCTCGAGCAACGTGGGCATCTTCAGAAACACGGCGTGCCTTGGCTTTGTTGTCAGACACGGCGACGGAGGCTTTTAAAGGCTGCTCATTCGTAGATGGCGGAAGAATGGGAGCGCTGAAATCAAATTTATCGTCATCTTCAAAGTCATTCTCATCAAAGTATACCGTGCTGTGGAGGGATGCTAGGGGTTCTCGAGAGCTTTGCGGCAGTTCGAATTTGGGTTTTCCTCCTACGACTGAACTCATTGGTAGGGTTGGAGCCACATTGAGCCGCGACTGACCCGATGGAAGTGACCTCAATGGCTCCTTGTGCTCACGGAGCGCTTTCGTAAACATACTTGACCGTTGGAAGGGAGTACCGGGAGAGAGCCGGAGCGTCGCCCGCGATAACGTACAACGGTAGAGAGAGCAGGCTGTGACTCGTAGGTTCAAGCATGGACGAAGCATAAACAATTATCTTTTGTCCAACAACTCAGATGTATGATCAGCGGACACAATCATGTCGTCTTTTCGCGCTTTTTCGCCGGCAGTTCCAAAGTCGCGCCGACGCGTGAAGCTATTGTTGTATATCGGCTTAGTCATCAGTCTATTAGATCACGTGGGTGACTGCTTAGCGTCATTCAACGGCGTATTTCATTCAAGGGCAGTTTGGTGCAAAGTGAAGAGAGCAAGCTTCAATTCACGGCCTGCTTGTTCCCTGGGGAAAATGCTGATATGAGCAACTACCTTTGATCGTATTCCAGTTTCTAGTTTTAGGTGCTGTCCTCATTGCATCACCGATACCCTCGCTTGAAGGATGGCGGAGCAGTTCGTCGGATACACCGTCCTGGTCACACTCAGATCCCCGCCAAACTGCCAGGTGCAGGGCGTAGTGGCCGACGTCGTTGGGCAGCGATTGACATTGCGAGATGGTGTGTGCTAAGTCTCTTTGCCCTGCTCGTTTGCGAGTACGTTGCAGCTGACTGGATTGGCAGTAACCTTGCTGTGGAATAACCAGAATCTCCCCTTGTATCACATTGAAGCTCCTGGTATCGCGGACCTGGAGCTATCAGCGGACCAAAGCACTGCACCCGCATCCAATATCACCCAACGAGCTGCAACGTTCCATAGCGCGTCCCCTCTCGCCCCTCCACAATATCAAGCACAAGTATCGCGGCCCATTTCGAATTCACCCCTCACCCAAGTCGAACCAAGCCTGCAGCAGTTCGTGGATCCAGCAATCCTAAGCTATCAAAAACCACCAAATAGACCTCAGAATGTCGTTAGCACGATCCCGCCTCTCGCGAAGACGCCGACTGTCGCGTCTCCTATCATGATTGAGGGTCATGAGCTACCAGCCCCATCTCGCGCTACACAGACTGTTCCGTTTACAAGTGCACCGGACAGTGTTACCGCTACTGCAACATTGAGTGCTCCGTTTAATGGCTTGAGCCTAAAAGGAGGTGACGGCATAATGGAAGAAAAAACTGTTTACCAGGATGCAACTGAGCAAGCTTGCCCGGAGGGTCGACAGGGCGCCGGTCCCCTCGAAGTGCCTCTCAAATATACAGGAAAGAGAAGTAGAAGAGGTGGCAGAGGAAAATTACCAAAGGAAACCGCGTTGCAAACTTCTAGAGCGGAGGGTAACGAGTTGCACACTAAAGCTACGGAGAGCAGCCCGGCATCAAAAGGCTGGAGACAAACGGCATTCGTAGAACCAGCCCAAAACACTAGGTCCTCCCGTCCTGGCACCGCAAGACAATCAAAAAGGCGTCACAGGCGCCACACTGAAGAACAAAATGGCTGGGCAACTGAGGATGCAACGGATATTCAAGAGCTGGGCGATTTCGACTTCCAGACTAACCTTTCCAAGTTCGACAAACGCCGGGTTTTTGACCAAATTAGAAATGACGATACCACGGCTGACGAAGAACGATTGGTCAGTTATAATAGACGAGCAAGACCTGGAACCAATGGTGGGAGGAACCTACACTATACAGAGAACGTGCTCGATCCTTCTCCTGAGACTAAGGAAAGGTGGGATGATGAGGTAGGGGAAACCGACGAAGATGACATTAGTGAGAACGAATTTAGCAACGGGCAGAATTCTAGCAGGGCTCGGTCTAGAGTGTCAATTCATGCACCACCGTCTCGCAAAGGCAGCGGTATGATAAACCCCTCGGCTCCCCCGTCTCATGTCACTATTTTATCAAGGGGGCAACTGATATCGACCCGAACAGCTAGCCCACGACCATCGCAAAAGCAGCTAGCGCATACAGCTTCGCCAATGACGGGATCCTCCAGCTCAGCTGGCGGTTCTCTTCATATAGCAGCAACGAACAGACGCTGTCCAAGCGTCAGCCCGCTCCAAATGTTAGAGATTGAACAGTTGACCATCTCAGAGCTCGGCTTGACAGAGGATATTATCACTGAAAATGCCGGAAGGAGCATCGCAGAAGCAGTTATTCTACTTTCCAATATTCACGTATCTTCGAGTATCCTAATCTTTGCCGGTAACCATCGGACTGGTTCTCGTGCAGTAGCTGCCGCGAGGCATTTACGGAACCACAGTTACCGGGTCAACTTGTGTGTCTTGGGGCTTGACCGGGAAAATGAGTTTGCGGATGGCTTCCGCAAGCAGGTCGACATTTTCAAAAGATCAGGAGGCAAAGTGCTAAGATGGGGGGATATTTCAAACAGGCTATCAGCCGTAGACTATGTACCTGAGCTTGTTGTGGATGCGCTCTTTGGCATGCATGTTGCTTTTGAAGACTTGCGGACAGATGATCAGCAAACTGCTTTTGAGATAGTCTCTTGGTCAAATCGGAGCGGAATCGATATACTATCTATTGACATACCAACAGCACGCTCAGCGTCCTCCGGTGAGTATCGCCTCGCGCCTTTCGACCGGACTCTACTGACTTTATGTATTAGGCGAATCAACTCTTGTGCAAGGGTCCCGCTTAGCAGTTAATGCAAAATTCATTGTCTGCTTGGGCGCTCCAAAAACAGGCTTAGTTAATGCGTTGGTTGCTGGCGAAGGCGATACCTGGCAACTTGCCGTCGCGGACGTTGGCATCAGCCAAGCAGCGTGGAGGAAATTCGGAACCAGGAGGCGTCATGGAGTCGACTTCGGGAATAAATGGGTTGTACCGCTAAATTTCCAAGCAAGTACACCCTAGTATCGCAGGTTTGCTTCAACTTTTCGACGTCCGGTTCAATTACGGCTCTCTTGCAAGGGATTAGGTGTTTCGGATTATGTTCTTCTGGGCTCAGGGACATCGGCAATGGGTCTAGGGAAGGTTCTAGAGCGGGAATCACTGAGCGATTCAGCGGCGTGCATCATTGTTCACTATTCATTGACATTTGCATTATATTATATTACATCCAATAGGAATTGAAATAGCACTTCGTCATGCTACGCTTCCATCGTACAAGGCGCGCAAAGTGGTCTTCCTCAAGACGAACACAGTCTGGACGACGAGCTATTTAGCAGCAGACAACGGGGACTGATGGGATGGCTATGATTCTACCTACAGATAGCCACTGGCTACGAGCTCCAACAACCGATACCGCTCGGACCCCAGGTAGATTGGTGGAGTTGACTGGATGGACTCTTATCATTACCATTATTCATTATAGCCTATGCAAACTGAAACTATGAAGACTACATACCATAATACCAAGAGGATTTCAGCTAATCTCTTCCCGCTTACGTCTATATGTGTACAGCGGTTGGCTTTCTCCTCAGCTCATCCCGCACACCACCCACTACGGAAGCATTCACCATTCTTGTACTTGAAGCCCATGCCCGCCAGCGCACTAAACGTAGTACTCGAGTTTGCAGATACCTACACACTAGCAGGATCAGCCTACCAACGGTAGCATTCCCTCTAATGATCGCTTCGAATTGTGATTGAAAATCATCAAAAGATGCGACTTGCTGGCCATAGCCGGCATGTATGTGACCAAAGACGTGAAGCTTTGGTCTTTTCTCCAGCTTCCACAGTTCTTGGAGTAGAAAGCCACACCCATAATTCAGATCTAGATGACCTTTGGGAGGCGTATGCGTCAACAATATGTCAATATCCGATGGTATCATGTCCTTCCAGACATTCTCAACTCGTGGGTACTGAAAAGCCCAATTACCCTGGCGAGGACTCCAAGGATTGCCGTAGACTTTAATATTCCGGTTGACGCACTTTAGAGTCACACAGTTATTCTGGAGGTATGTAACATTGCCCCATTCGATGCTTCTTTGTGGAAGAGACGTGGATCTCGTACAAGATGGATCGAGGAAAAGGTCATGATTACCAGCAATCACAACCTTGTGTTGATGCGGAAGGGTATTCAGCCAATCGATAGCTGCTTGGATTTCTGATCTCGAACCGGATTGAGTCAGATCCCCGGCGTGTAGGAGGATATCACCGTCTGGTATTTCCAGCTGGTTGTTGTGCGTATCGGAGATGCACACAACGGTAATAGGAGATGTCGAGTTCGCCCTGGAGCCCAGCAGGGGATTAACATTATTGGCCTCTAGGGATGTAATAACTGTGGCCCATCTGTAAATAACCGTGGCTAAGAAAACGATAGGCGAAGACAAAAATTGCTCCCAGTTGCTAAATCTATGTCCTTTGACAAGCTTATCGAAGTCACTATGACGATTCCAGCGCATGATGAATCCGGATCCCACAAAACGAAGGGAAATGAAGATGGCCGTGTTGTTAAGCATCGATATCTCTCTTCCATAGTCGCCTGGCGAAGACAGATTTCTTCTGTGGAAGCAAAGCAGAGGATCAGTGGCATTTGAGAAGGAGTGGCGCTAAAGTCGACGCGGATACTTTTATCCTGCCTCCAAAGGTCGCGTTTGGCAAAGCACATCTCGGCGGCGAACGCTGGAATAATTGAACGCCTGCAGTGTTATCAGTGCAAAACGAAAAGGATGGGCAAGGGTGAGTTCAGCTAGCTAATGAGGATATTCGAATTGACCTAACCTTGTAACTATAGGAACGGACAAGCTCTACGTAAGGACATCATTTCCATCCGGGATGCTTGCTACATGCCATTCAAGTGCTAACACCTTGGGGACTGACCGTGAGTAGATCACCCACTCCGAATGGGCATCTGAAGATTCCTTTTCCGCCAGCGTCGGTGCTGGAGCCGCAAAGTCCAAAAATGCAGCCGCCCACGCCTCGTTCAAGCGATTACCGTTCAACTTTTGCTCGTTGTCTCTCCAGCCGTTCTCACACCCCGTCTGTACTTCGGCCGGTATAATCTTCGACCTGACACATATCCTTCCTTGGCTGAAGAAACATGGTACAAATCCGGTGAATGGGGAACCGCTGAAAAGCTCCGATTTGATCAAACTGAATTTCGCAAAGAACGATGCTGGCGAATACGTTGATCCGGTCACCTTCAAAGTGTTTACGGATAACACGCACATCGTTGCGCTCAAACCGACGGGGAATGTATTTGCTTGGGATACGGTGGAGAAGCTCAATATCAAGGAGAAAATGTGGAGAGATCTGGTTTCGGATCAAGAATTTACAAGAAAGGATATCATCACACTGCAAGATCCGCAAAATATTGAATCGAGAAATCTTAACTCGTTTAAATACTTGAAAGATGGGGAGAATGCGCAGCAAGGGGAGCAAGGCGGCAGCCTCAATCTTGAAGCTATGGGGAGTTCGGCGAAGATCCTAAGAGCAAAAGAGGCGGTTGCAAAAGCTCGGGCAGAACGGGAGCAAAAGAACGGTTCGACAGCGATCTCTCAGCCAAAAGGAAGAGGCTCTGGCGTGACAAAGTCCGGTACAGCGAACGTCTCTAAAACTATTGGAAAGCAAACTCCATTTAATGCTGCTAGACATACCACCGGTTTGGCAGCAGCATCATTCACAAGCACTGGATTGACGCCCCACACCTCCGCAGACCTTGCGCTTCTCACAGACGAACAGTATATGCTGAAGCGCGGCAGGGTGAAGATAAAAGGCTATGCGCGTATTTCGACGAACCTAGGAGACCTCAACCTGGAACTCCGCACTGAACACGCTCCAAAGGCAGTATGGAACTTCATTCAATTGGCCAAAAAGGGATACTACAAGGGTGTCATATTCCATCGCAACATCAAAGGCTTCATGATTCAAGGCGGCGACCCAACAGGAACTGGAAGAGGGGGCGAGAGTATCTGGGGCAAAAACTTCGCTGATGAGACCATTGGACCACTAAAACACGACTCGAGAGGGACACTGAGCATGGCGAACAAAGGGAAAGATACAAACAGTAGCCAATTGTGAGTGCTTCATCCCTGGACCAGTGTAAAAAAGCAAGCAGCTGATTCTTTGAGCAGTTTCATTGCATACCGGGCTCTCCCACATCTCAATAACAAACATACCATCTTTGGCCATGTGATTGATGATCCTTCGCCTTCGTCTCCCACGCTCGATGCCATGGAAGCTGCTCCAGTTGATTCCTCCACATCCAACCGGCCAACCCCGCCGATCCGCATTCTCGACGTAACCATTTTCGTAGACCCTTTTGAGGAATTCCTAACTCAGAAAAAACAAGAGGAGGAATCCAAGCAGGAGGCTGGGAAATCATCACTATCAACCACCGCTAAGGGTGGTGACGCCGATGATGATCGCGTGACATGGACAGGGAAACGGATTCGGGGCGCTGATAGCGCTGATACGGCCGGTAGCATAGGGGTCGGCAAGTATTTGAGAGAAACCTTGACAAGTACACCTAGCGCCGAGGATGAGGTCGTTGAATATATAGATGATGACGAGTTTGAATCTGAGCATGCGAGGAAGAAACTAAAGCCCGCTACCAGGGGAGGGTTTGGGAATTTTGATACCTGGTGACCTTTATAATCTGGGATTTTGCATCAACCCGCATTTTTGCATGGGTGGAGCTCTTGGGAGTTTTACGGCCTGAGATTATTACGAATGGAGAAAGGCAATACCAAATGGTTGGGACTATAAGGATATGCAATTCTGTTGGAAGGGATCAATTTCTTCTGATCATATGTGAATGTCGAATATTGAAAAGACCATAATCCTTACTTAGGACCGTTGTTCAGAATACGTCCTCAACTTCGTTTCAGACGGTGGCCGTGGTAAAAACGGCGGTCTGTTGAATACCCCCTTTGGATAATCCACCCAGTGACCCTGAAACCACGGAAATGAGGCAACCTCTCTCAAAGTTGGCCGTCTAGCCTCGTCCTTTGCTAATAGAGCCCTAAGCGCATCAATGCAATCTTGCGACAGCCTTTCGTCAATCGTCAATTCCTCATTTATCATCCTCTGCCGCCTCTCCCGAATATACTGCACCCTCTTCTCGTTCATGTCAAAACTAGCAAAGTCGCGAAGAGCGCCTATTTCTGGGTCCCAGTCGGGTGGTTCCCAGGGGGCGTAACCGTGCAGGAGGTCATAGATGAGAGCACCGAACCGCCAGAGATGCTGCTTGCGGACATCGTTAGGGTGGTTGATAACCAACCCACCGCGGGCGTTGGTTGGAGTGACCTCCGCTGTGGAAAGTTTCATTGCGACTTCGGGAGCTAGGAGAGATTCAGTGGCTCGAAGGGTCATCCATGTACGAGCCCTCCATCCCGCTTCGTTGGGGGACGCATGTATAAATCCGAGATCCAGCAGGGTGGTCTAGAGGCCATTAGCAATATTCATTTAGTAGGGTGATAACCTATTCACTTGACAACTTACGTTGAGCTCCTCATCTACCACGTAATTCCAATGGCTCAGGTCATCGTGCGATAGGCCCAAGTCCATCAGATACGTCATAGCTTGTAAGAGATGGGATGCCACCTTGCATACTTGAATCTCTGTGAGCCGTGGAGTTTTGCCAGCAATAAGATCTTCTCCAGAATAGCTTGGAAATTGGTGCAGAAGTGGATGATTGGTGTTCAGTCTCTCCATTTCGGGATGTTTTACGATGGCTTCTGCAGACATAATAATGATGCACATGTCCGAATGCACATAAACCGAATCTAGGCGAGGAAAACGCGGGCATTGTGAAAGCAGCTGTAGATAGATTGCTTCCGTGGGAATATATCGCTTGGTCGCAGTGCCAACCTCAAGGTAGTCTCCGGCAGGAGGATTAAAATGTTTATTCCACAGCTTCCTGTCAGCCATGCCCTGGATTTTGAGAACATATTGATTTTTCGGGTTGCTCTTCTCTCTGGCGGCAAGGACGATAGCAGAGGCTAAATCAACGTAGTCGGTCAGCAAGCAAATCTCACACGTAAACCTGATACGGATGAGCGTTTAAAGCATAGGATTCCAAAACTTACTCCCCTTTCCAACAAACCCGTATATCTCGAACCGATCTTTGATATCTCGACATATTTTGCCGGCTCTTAGCTTGCGGAGGAACTTCACCCCATAATTCCTTGATCCAAGTCTAGCTCCACGCTTCGTGAGGTCGACACGGCTCTGGAACTCCCTTGAATCAACGCGAAACATTGCAAGGCTGGTGTCCGGATCTGGAGGGAAAAGATCCCTGCACCGCGACAGATGCCGCACGCCGGCTTTGTATCGCCGCCTGTAGATCTTGTGCATCGGTTCGAGGCGCTCGGGAACCGGGCCATGCGTCATCATGCGGACGAAGGCGGGAATGGTAAAGACGCCGTCTCTTGGTGCCATTGGTTCACAGTCGGCCGGGGAGCAATTCCGAGTCTTCAATAATAGAAGCCATAGGCGAAATTTTCTGGCTATTGCTAAACTGGATGATTGGGGCACATTGGGGGTTATTTATGCTCTTGGGACATCCTTTAAAGCATTCATTAAGTATCAGGTAGAAAACAATAAGGAGCCTGTGGGCAGATAAAGAGACTATCCTGATTCAAGAACTTGAATGTAAAACAATAAAGACACAAAGACACTGGAGCAAGACAGACGCAGACCTCAAGATTTCAAAGGGGATGGATATGCCTAAGCAGACATGGGGTTTCGGGTATCAAGGGCGGCCGATCTTGAGCCCAAACAGGCCTTCTTGAAGCAAAATAGGACAGTCGTAGGGCTGTGCCCCTCCATCTGAGCAGTGGCTCCCTCCATGATACCGATAAGAATCGACTAGATTGTGCCTAATCATCTTCTCAGGTCGGTTCAACAGATATCCGATCAAATGCTCTCCTGTAGTTGCAGAATCGGCGGATGGCTATATTCGACCTCTTCACTATATGTGTTCAAATCTGGCTTGAAAGCGCAAAAGCAGGGCACCCATTCGTGGTATTTTGTAATGGCAGTATCCCATCCCAGGCAGATGTTTCCCAACAACCTTCATTGTCTCAAGGCGTGTCGGAACGTCAGTGATATTGCTGTTGTCAACTGGCAGCCAGGTATCAGCTTCAGCACCTAATCTCGACAAAACTCAGCATTTGTTCAAAGCAGAAAATTGATGCCAACACACGTGACCCGCCCCTTTTTTATATCTGGTCCGGCATAAATCCAGACTGGAAACAATTCCTTCGACATGTTCGAAAGCCAGACATGGCCTCAACATGGTTCTCTATAGCCACATAGTTGTTTGTCGAATATAGGCCTAGCATGTATGGGATGGCACAACGTGGACGACGTCTGCATGTTTGCTTAAGCTAGTCCAAGTCATCACGATTCAGGGAGAGGTTTGTACATAATATAGAACAACTAAGAGAAAAGATTCCAGTTGGGTTGAGTCCATTGCGAGATGGATTTTCTCCATTCAGAGCAGGGTCATTCTGGTATCCTAGAGGATGGTCCCAAGTCGAATGTCCACTGGTCTACCAGCAGCACTTTCAGTATCCTTCCGCCATAAGAATCCATTTCTCACCACAAAAATAAATGCCTTTATGGCAATTCAATTGTTCCAATTCCCATCCCCAGTCCATGCAGAAAACACCCTGCCTGACCCAATCCCCTCTGCTGTTCAAGCCAGTGCAATGTTGTCGCCGAGCTCATGCAACGATCATGTGCCCTGGTTTGCCTGGTGAAGTATTCGTCGTCTCTCGGCGGATCCCCCATTTTCTGACCTCTCAGTTCCCTTCACTTTCGACATCCTCTCTCATCCTCTCTACTCATTCCCATCATCTTTTCCTTCTGTTCTTGTTGTGTGAAGCATCTGCTTGAGCCTGTGGTTGAGGGTGGTGTTCACTGGAGTTCCATCACTGTGATTTCTTGCAAGCTGCTGCTCAAGCAACTGGGTGTTTCTGAGGTTCATTGAGAATATCTCTTTCGTCGCATCTCTCACTTTTCTGTTGCTTCTGGAGGGGCAACGGCATTCTCCTTACTTTGTTTTGTTGTCGTTCTGACTGCTCTGCTGCCCAGAAATAACCTCTTGTCTTGTTTGCCGTTCCCTTGACCTCGACAAGGATGGACGCAGTTGACGTACGTGACGGCATCCCCGAATGCTTCTGCATTACGGCGCCTCAACGTCGAGAACGCTTTGACTGGGAAGGAAAGATCAGCACTGTCCCTGTTTTATGGAGATGCATCGAGCCTCGTGTTCTTGCTCGCAAAGCCGTTTATCTGGGGAGGAGGGATGGACGATCTCGAATATGGCAAATGTGAGTACCCATTTGAACGCGTCTTTCACAACCAGCATAATGGAGTTAACGGTAGAATTAGCTGGCTCAAACGCTGTCTAATGTCGACATCTGCTCCGACGCGTCTCAGCCACGTCCCCCTATCCTCGACATCCCCCATGAAATTTATGGGTGTATTTTCGAAAACCTTGACGTCCAAAGTATTTTCAACTTCGGTATGACCTGCCAAGAGCTGTGGCCTGTTGCCAAGTATTTTGTCAAAGACAGGTTCAAGCAGGTGCTTGGAGTTTGGGCCGGAGTGCCGCTCATTTGTCCAGGTTGTGACCATCCAAAAGGCGAGAACTCTTATCCGCCAGGTCTTCTCAGCAAAGCCGCTGAAGAAGAGCTAAAGAAGGGATTGCGCGTCGGAGAACCGGGTCCTCTTGGCCAGCTGCTTCACATTCCGGGACACGAAGAGATCGAACAGAGATACTATAAGACCAACCTGTTCCGACTTGCGATCAAACGGTACAAAATGCTTCCTTTAGTCAGCACCGCCGTCAACAGCATGATTCATGTTTCCAACACGCCGGGACTCCGTCGCCCAAGGGACGTATTTCGCTTCACTAGGCCAATGCCGTCAATGTTTTATCCCCTGGGAGAGAAATGGATCCTCCGCAACTTGACCACGCGTCAAATCGTCCGTGCAGAAGAAATCGCCCTTAAGCAAGAATACATCCAAGGGCCGCTCATCAAGATTCTCGGATTCGGCGAAGTTATCATCGCGAAGACCTGCTGGTCCGATCATGCAGATACTTGGGTTAACTACCCAGTCAACAAAGGCCCGTGGGCAGGGCACTCCTTCGATGTCGTCCCCATCTCTAAGATCAAAGATGACGACACCTGGGAGGACATTAGCCTTGAGATCGCGGCGGAACTAAGGAAGATGTGCCGGCTTCAGTATGGGCACGGCTGGAGGGAGAAGCTCATTTATAGATTCGAACGGAAATGCATGGATCCTTGGGGCTGCTGGAGAGACGAGACGTTGTGGGAGACTGTTCAGAGGCAAGCAAAGTCCAGCACTCAGGGCTGGTTTGGCTTTTTCCGCAAGAAGCACTGAGGGAACGTTAGGGACGAAGGCGAGGGGACGGAGGCGCGGTGTCTGGAATCTCGAGAAAGCTTCAATTAACTAATAATGAAATACTTTCATGCTTAACGTGTCACCTGGCATCGTAAAGGTCGCGTCTTGGCGTTGACTTTATTTATCTTGGCATTAACTCACAACGACAGAGGCATCAGCCCATATTACCCCGAATACTCCGTACGCTATTGAGCCATCTGTACTCCGTACGGAGGAATTGTTTCGGAGAGAAACCCGCACATGCCCAATCTTGATGTTTGTACAGAGTAACAAGTAAACTCAACAGCAGGGTGCCCAAAACCCTCCTCAAAGCTAGGAAGACCATGAAACTAATAGTTGCTGACAAACGTTTTAGGCGTAAAGAAAGCCTGGAGAATTAAAAATCGGTGCAAAAAAAGTTGGACACTGTGGGAATCGAACCCACGACCTTGTCAATGCAAATGACACGTTATACCCCTAAACCAAGCGCCCGAAGAACATGCTTACTGAGCCAAGTTAAAAACTATTAAGAAACCCGGTTTAATCCCATGAATACACAATGTTGATCGTTTCTGCACAACAATTCATTCTTCACGGTGGCAGAGACTCAGTCTAATATTATAATAAGAGCTAGCAGTAGATGCCTCTAATAGAGCTTTCTGCACCATCAGATATGTAGACAATACATGTATGAGCATCGCCTACTTCCCCTTCACAGCTAAGAAGAAGCCTTGGAGTGTACGGAGTAAACGAGATCGACATTACTACGGATAGAGAATACGGAGTAAGATGCCTGATATTGACTCAAGATGGTATACAAATCCGTTTTCTCCCAGCCTCCTTTAGCCTTTGTAAAAGGACGCTTAAGGAGGATATACAGCCCCCCTCTCTCAGACCTTTGACGCAGTCTCGATATGAGATGGAGACTTTTCGTCCTCCGACGGCACAGCGGCCGCATCCGCATCAACACTTTGTCCTCGTTGCTCCATCGCTTTAGCGTACATCTGCTCATCTTCCTCCGTAGCGCCGTAAAAGTTCACAGCGACCTTCTCTCCGAACGCGGCATTGATATCCTCCAAGCTCCTCTGCTTCGTCTCTGGATACAAGAAATATACACCTGCCAAATGGAGCGCAGTAGGGCAAATAAGAACGAAGAAGAATTTCCACTTAATATGATCCAAGGCAATGGGTCCGCTGACAAGCACGATGATCGACGCTGCGAACATTCCCGCCATGCCTAGCGACATACCCTGGCTGCGAATGTGCGTAGGGAATATTTCGGCAAGATAAAGGAACTGTGTGGCGTCGAGGAAAGTGGACCAGAAAAAGATGAACAGGAAGAGGAAAAAGACGGCTGCTTTTTGGCCTCCGGCATTGTCGGTTCCGAGATAGACCGCTTGAGTCCAGCATTCCATAACGAGGGTGACAAGAATGCCGCTAAGTCCAGTGAGAAGGAAGAATCGACGGCCAAGGCGGTCGACAAAGAAGGCGGTGAAAACGTTGCCAGGGAAGGACGCCGTGACCCAGAGAGCGGACAGAAGCAGGGGCATAAATGTCTTCATGCCAAGTGACGCATAAAGCAGGACGCCGTAATTGGCAATGATCAGAACACCCTGAGCAGTTGAAACTTAGTTTATCATAGAATCACCAACATAATGCATATGGGAAGGACGGGCATACCGTGAACTGATTTCCAAACATGAGAGCAAACCCGACAAACGCTCGGCGACGATTCGCACTGGTCTTGAAAATGTCCCATTTGCCCGTATTCTGCTTGATTTGCCGATCAAGTTCGAGCTGCTTTTGCATTTGAAAATATTCTTTTTCGGCAGCAACATCATTTGGATCGTCTGCCGTACGATGTAGCCGTATCAGAATCTCACGAGCCTCCTTCTGACGACCTTTGTCAAGCAGCCATCGCGGAGAGAACGGTAGCCATGGAGAACCAATAAGTAACAGGATGGCGGGAGCTGCTTGGAAGGCAAGGGGGAATCGCCATGCAAAAGAAGACATGTTGCCAGCCGCCGACATGAAATAGCATCCAAAGCCAATCCAGGAAGCCAGCGAATACCCGACAGCAAACATAACACCATGCATGGAGACCATGAAACCACGTGAGCTAGGGGCGGACGCCTCAGCTTGGTACCTAAGCAGATACGGAAGGTTGTTAATCGCATGCCGCGGCCGGTGTTCTGTGGGCGAAGGAGTCACTTACATGGGGATAGCAGTGACCAGAATCCCAATGCCAAATCCAGCAATGAATCGCGCAACCAAAAACATAGGAATGTTAACTGAGCCGGCACACAAAGCGGCCCCAAGAATAAGGATTAGTGAACCGAGTTGCAGGGACCGCAATCTCCCGTAAGCGTCTGCAGACCACGAGACAAAGGCACAGCCAAAGGCAGACCCAGCAGAGTTAAGACCGTTCATAGCACCGATAAGACTGGCAGTTTTATCATAGCCAGGCTCGCCCTGCTGGGCGAGATTAAAATCTTTGTAGAAGCTGGGCTGGCCGATGGTCGAACTAATAATGGCCATGCCATAGCTGCAAGCTGTTGAGCCCAAAGCGACGAAGATCACGACCGCAAGATTGAACGCGTTGGGGACCAGTTTGCCCATTGTTGCGGTTGAACTTGAAGTTCAGTTACCTTCAACAATGGATGGCGTCAGGGGAATACTAAGGGTAGAACAGAGGACACCAGACAAAAGAAATTTAATATTCCGAATGTACATGCATGAGGTTCCAGCATGTCGGGACATGCAGGTCTATTTAATCAGGGACCGGGACATTAGGGCTACAGCAAGTTGACTCAACCACATCAGCGTATCAAGCAGTCAAAGCCGAGCTGGGCATGGTTGTGGTGCAGTGAAGCTGTCAGCACTGCAAAATTGAGTGTCCATCAGGTATGAGAGAGGCCCAGAGAAGGGTGGGTTGAGGGGAGAAGCATTGTTCGCCCGAGGCAAGCTCGGCAGAGGATTGCCGACTTTAAATGAACCCAAATACTAGCAACAACAATAACAATGCAGCTGCGGAGAAAAAACTGGGATTCATCTAAGCTCTAACAGAGCTCCAGCAGAGCCAGGGTAAGGTTTGGGTATTATCGTCTGAGAGCTCTTAGCCAGCTACCAACAGGCTTATTGCTCATATCAAAGGCGGAGAAGCAGTTTAAGGAAATGCGGGGGAAAGCTTAAACCCCAAGCTGTCAAACCGACAACATTGCTCTTTACGGGCGCTTCAACCCGCTAGGGGATCCATTCTCTCGGAGCCGGTCTGTGCAATTGGTCACATATCTTGTATTACTCGCTAAGTAGGTTCGCCGGGCTAATGGCATTAACCTGTTATTCGTAGAGAGGGCTCTTGAACCGAGACCTGGCTCGATGCGAGGGTCGTCTATCGGTTCGGCATTTCACTCACGAACGCAACATTCGAACACACTTATGGGAGCCTAGGTGGAAGGTCAAGCGGTTTGCTCCTTGGAAGAGGGATTGAACTTGAGGAGGAAGTGGCATGTGTACTGCTAATTAGTTAGTTACCCAGACCTGAAGGCTTTTTGTTAGCTAGTTAGTGGAAGTCTATAGAAAACATAAAGCAAGCAATACGCAAAGCTCGAACCGTCAGTGTCAAAAATCGTATCGTTTACGCTCCTGTCGTTGAGCTCCAAAGTCGAACTTCATGACTGAACGTTCAAGGCCGGGGAAATCTCGGCGTCACGTGACTCCCACCGAAGACCATGCCAAATGGGGAAATCTTTTCCAAGAGTCCATCAGCAACTCCCTCAAAGGCGCTGGATATAACGCGAAGTAGTTGACTGGTTAGCCACTGACATTTCGCTAATGGGCAAAGCGGTGCCAATTCAGATTCCAGAGGACCATTGGCCATTAAATCTATTGCAATTATGGCTAACATGGTTACACCGCTCAAGACAAAATTCATGACTGACAATGAAAGCTGCCGTGTCATTCTCGAGGTTGACATTGATCAAACGGCCACATTGTCCTTAGTTCCTCGCGGTCCTTATCATTCTCCATAGCCGCCATTATGGTCTCATAAAAATACTGATGGGCTTTTTTCACTCCCTCCCAACGATCCTCAGACACCCACCCATCCCCCTCCACCCCTAGGGTTTCGACCATATCCTGCCTGAACTCCAATAACCCATCGTATATACCAAGCTGTTCCTTGTAGAAGCTCATCTCCTCTGGGCTCAAGGGCGGGATAGGACAGTCTTTCTCAAAACCAAGCTCTTTCCATGCGTCTCTCAGCTGGATCAATTCATGGGTGAATGGTACAAACCCATCTCTCCACGTCCGGTGGCAATAGTGGAATGGCCGGAGGAGTGTTTCATTAATCTTTCTGGTTGTTCCTAGCCGGGGAGCCAGAAGCGCCCATCCTAATTCATATGCCTGGCTGCAAAGAGTTCCTTCATCGGACTCCAACGTTCCCTCAGGAGGAACCTTGGCGAAATCAGGTACCTCGTCTGCATAGTAGAAGGCTGGTTCAACACTGGCGCATTGCCAATCGATAATCCCAGTCACGATGGTGGGGTCGTCCTTGGAGATGAAGATGTTTCTCTTGTGTAGATCGGGATGGAAGAGGGTCGGTTTTGCATTTGATCGGATATCAGGATGCTGTAGCAGCTCCGAGAAGACGGTCTGACCCACTTTGAGTAGCTCTAGATGCCGGTGAACGGAGCCTTGAAAGGATGATTGCTGCTGGCAGAGAATAGGATGGTCAGCTGGTGGCAGCCTCGCAAGGCCGGAATCGATCAAAGCAGTTGCATATGAGGAAAGGTCATGCCCTAAAATATCAAGATTAACGAGTGAAGCGTGTGAATGGAAGGAATATCACCTTACATGGCCCTCTATTAGGCCCCTTGAATGCGTAATATCTTGGTTCACCGACATTACAATCCCAGTAGGTACTACTTCTGCAATGTGGCCCAATGCAGTATTTGAGATCATTATGCAATTTTCGCACGGCACTAGCATCAAGAAACGATGCGCCAGCAAAATAAAGGCTGCCATATGCCGGAAAGTCAAGTTCTGATATTGGCAGAATACTCGTACAGATTGCACCGATACACTTTACTTTCTTATCTGACGGCATATCTGTCCATGCTTCCTGTAGTAGAACACCGCCAGCATGTTCCATGATAATATATGCTGAGCCTATGGGGTTGGTGGGGTCATCACTCCAGTCTAGGATAGCTGGGATTGGTATTTTGGTTTTCTGTTGCACTGTATGTTAGTTAGTACTAGATTCCTAAACAATATTCTAAATTTCTCTTACAATAAGTAATTGTTGCAACTTCAGAGTTCGTCACATGTCTTGCTGGTCCAGCAGCGGAAGTAGGGAGTTTAGCGACGGCACATCTGCCATCATCGGTTTCGATAATGAATGCTTTACTAAACCCGCCTTCTATCTTTTGGCAACTTGTAACCGAGGTAGCAGAGGGCCGGAGTGAAAGTACTTTCTCAAGTAGGCGGTCCATATTAAACTTGATATACCGCGCGTCGCGCTGTTGTTTATCAAGGTGAAGCCACCGACCAGCGGTGTATTCAAATAGTGCTATATCACGTTAGAGATTGCTAATCGAGACTCGGAGTAGAACTTACATGTTGGAAACACATTTCTTGACAAGGCCACTTTCGAGATACTATTAGTAGTAGGCTGTTGGCGCAGTTTGCGTGAGATTTGTGTAAAGAAAAGGAGTGAAGTTCGGCTAGGCTGGATAGATTTCAATCCTAGTCTCTTCCACGATCTAGAAAGGAACATGTCGCATGTCGCGCCCATAATTGTTTGAAGGGCGATGGTGACATGTTGACAAGATTATCTCAAAAAAGGATTCAAATTTTGATTCTGCTGATTATCAAAGCGTTGTTAGGCACTCACGAGTTAACTAATTAGTTAACGAGATAGCTAGCCTCAATGCCAAAACATCTACAAGGCTTCCAAGCAATACTTCTTACAGCTCACTTTACAGGCTCTGCCGACGACCAGTGGGCAGCAGGCTTCTGGAGAGTTCTGAAGAGGCGGCTCTTACGACAGGATTGGTAGTTAAGCTTAAGAAGGCTGGTTGCCTTTGGACAGCCCTCTTTGAATACTCCCGTCGCCATCTTTCAGCGCGAATCGGCAAGATTCCTAGTGCAGGGTGCAGATGGTGCCGACTCAGTGCACACTTAGCCTCCGCCCCCAGGGGATTATCGAGTTGCGACGGCCATTACTAGGATTGATCGAGAAATCAGGATTCTGTCGCCTTTCTTTTGGGGAAGCCAGAAAACCCTGGGTGGTTTTCAACAGACACGAGCAGAAAGTGAGGCTTCCCGTTCTGCTGAATCCATTTTTATTCGTATCAAAATCCGCCTTGCCTTCGGGTTTTGTCTGCCGGTTTGTGACTGTGTCATGATGCTCAGCTCTCCTGGAGAAGGCTTCTTGGTCTGAGCTGGGAGGAGAATTTACTTTGGGAAATTCTAGCGAGATTGGGATACAGAGCCTCGGGTTATACTTATCTGCCCTTGTCCACTGTCCCAAGGGAGATGTTGCGCCGACTGTGGTGGTAGATAAACGAGCCTCCGTATGCGACTCTGCCTTTGATAACCACTTGATGCGGGATTTTGTTCCGTCGGACAAAACCTCAGCCACACTCACAAACGTCGTGTTCTCGAAGCTCCATTTTCTCCAGAGACTTCAGTATGAGCTGCATGTGATATTGCATCCTCCTTCATACATGCGAAACTGAACACGAGTCCCATCAGGCTGAATAACATCCACTGTTGAAAGTGAAAGACCCCCAAAACACAAAAGTAAGAAGGATAGGAAACATGCTTGGCAGAACTAGAGGTTGTTTTGGTAGTTCGCGGACCGCTTAAAATGTATCCCGCGGCTCTGTGAGCGCTGAACAGCGCTTGCTTTTCTGTGACAATTGGAATGATTAACTTAGGTTTGCTGCAGTTATTCGAAATTTACTCTCCTGGCTATGGATGACTACAGCAGGAGGTCCCATCAGTTCTCATGAGGCTAGCAGGCACTGAAGCAGTTTCGACCTTTTGCAAAATGCACTTTGTTCTTTTTCTGATACTAGATAGATACTCATGTCCTCTGAGAGCCACCGCAGAGCCGCGCCGGGCGAGCTAACCAGGTTAGGCCTAGCTGCGACCCTCGCCAACCAGCCCATTTCAACGTCAGCTCCTGATCGGACTGAACCTGTCACTGCATCCCTTCAAAAGGCTTCGTGTTGTCGCCTTTATCTCGCGGAGTCAGCCTGATGACATCTTGCAGCAAGTCAGCCACAGACTTTCGGGGTCCAAACGGGTCGAGCCGCACTGCCACCGACTTCTTTGGGTCATGCGGCTGCGGCCAACGGGAATGAGGGGTAGAAATCCCTGGCAAATCATCCCGAACATGGTGATGAATCCGCAAGGAGCGCGATTTGATGAACCGTCAACGACTTCCTGTTTGCCTTTGCTTGACCTTGGGAGTTGACTGCAAAAGCACAGTTTCTACTATTCGTAACTAGGAACGAGTATGCTCCTCAGCAGTTGTATTCCGAACAGGATGGGAATGCGCAAAACGATAACAGGTCAACCGATATCCCTCAGCGCATGGCAATCAGTGCATTGCTGTCAGGAACGAGCGATGCAACCTGGTCGCCAGAATCGAGGGGTTGACAAAACAAACACCTAGAGGACAAAGTACCTTTATCCTTCAGCAATAGTTCCGAGAAGCATGGCGCCTCAATGAAACTTCCTACACTGAATACGCACTGGAATTGTTAGCTTCTCTTGTGCAGGGCGTTGGCCCCTGGCGCCATTTCACTCCAACTCAGCCCCTGGACCAATCAATCACCCTTGGCTGCAGAGAGTTGCATTTCCGACGCAAGGCAACAGATTTGATTGTTGCATCAGGCTTAAAACTCAAAAGCTGAACGAGGAAGACCTTTATCAAGGGTTGAACTCTCAGTCTGCTGTGAAATATACATAGGAATAGGCTTGCGACTCCTTCCCCTCCATCTGAGCCTCACCTTATTTTATTTTGATGGTGTGTGGGAAGAGGCTTCCTAGCTCAAGGCTCTCGAACTGTACGGTTTCACTGCCGATTCCTTTGATACTTGGCCTTGTCACGAGTTATTATAGAGTACGTGAAAATTAATATTGGTTTTTATAGCACTTTGGGAGATTTCCGCTCTCCCAAATTTTGAAAGTATATGAGCCTCGCGCATATATATCTAGTTGCTCACCCCTCGCCTCTATTCAATTGCTTTTCGAAATCAACCTCACGGCTTATTTATCATATGCCATAGCCATTAACCATCGTTTTTACAAGCAACCCATCTTAGGTCACTCGGTGCCCACCATGACCAACGAGAATCCGAATATGCGGCGAATGCCACCTCCGCAAGTTCCCCATCTCGAGCCCGAGCTCTTGCATAATGGAATGGCGCGAGCCTACGACGGCGGGTCCAACGTCAACCGGATTCAACCCCTGGATGCGATAAATACTCAGTTCAAAAGGCTTAGTATTGACCCTACGCTAGTTCACGATGCGACTCTGGGAAACCTAAACCGGGATCCATTGTTCCGTAACCATACTCCTTTCAGCGACGAGGAAGATAGCTACAATGAAGAGGAAGAGGAAGAAGACGAAGACGAACCCTACCAAGGGTGGTCCCTATATCGGGCAAAGCCCACTGCTGCTGGCCAGGAGCCGGATTGGTCTCGAGTAACCAAATCGCGAATGAATCTATCCCAAGGAGATCTGGATAAACTCGTCAAAGAACAAAAAAAAGGCTTCGTCGCAAAGACCTATAGCAGCCTCGGCCGGCTAAAGCGAAAGCAGATTGACGATTTAATTGAGGAACTTAAAAGGAAAGACAGTCGGTTCAATTGGGCCGTTGTTTATATCCAAGCCATCACGAAGGATACCGGGCGTCGAGGTTTTACTGTGACCTATGTCACTATCACAATTAACCTGGTCCTGGAAAAGACTCTCAAACCTGGAGTCTCATCCCCTCGGAAACCGTCTGCTCGTTTTAAGAACGATACCGCATTCGAGCTCAGAAGAAATGGACGAGGACTCTCTCCTATCCAGGGATCCCACCCCCAGAACACTCATCCTTCCTTACCCCCGGCTGCGCGAACGAACCCGGTACATATGGCACAAACAGACCCTCGTCCGCAACATCCACAGCAACATCAACCGCCGCCGCTCCCGCCTCCGCAACTGCTTCCGCAACCGCATCCTCAATCTCATTCCCAGCCGCCCCGGCAAGTTCATCCTTCACCCCATCCACAGCCTCAACCCCAAACTCTTCCGCAAATGCACCCTCAGCCGCATCCTCCACCACATCCGCAGGCTCAATTCCAACCTCCCCCACAAATGCACTCCCCGCCGCATCCTCCACCACATCCGCAGGCTCAATTCCAACCTCCCCCACAAATGCACTCCCCACCGCATCCTCCGCCCGATTCGCAGACTCAACCCCGGCCTCTCCCACAAATACAGCCTCAACCTCATCCACACCCCCATCCGCAATCACGCCAACAGCTTCCTGAACGACTACCCGCCAACAGCGGTGGATTTCCTCCAATGCATCCACCTGCACAAAACCAGCTTCCACCCGGAGTTCAGGTAATCAACGGACCTCCACCACAGCCTCGTTTGCATATTCCGCCACCAGCCATGGTTCCCCCTCCATCCAAACAAAGGCCTATCCATCAACAATCTGGGAAAGGACATTCAGCGCAAACGAAACAAATTCAGCCAACTTCTCAGATAATTCACCTGGGAACGAAAAGCCCTTTCAAGGAAAAGCGTGCCATCGATCAGTGGCACGATGCAGAGAGCAGTAACGGAGATAACGACTCTGACCTTTTCGAGCTTGCTTATGATTCTTCTGAGACGGATGATTCCTTTTTGCCCAATGATTTTGAGCAAAAAGATTATAAGCACTACCGATCACGCCATACGTCTAGAGGCAGGCGTGAGCGGGAAATCGCTTATCGCACTCACCGTCGTCCCAACGCCAATTACCCTGTTAGCCCGCGGCGACGAGACAGCCAGTATAGCCATGGCGAAGTTGATCTTATTCTAGCGAAAAGTTCCCATCGTGGACAGCTCGTCCGTTCCGCGTCGGTCTCGCACGCTGCCCGCCCACCGTTGAAGTTAGTTCATGCCAGCCGGAGTCCACGGACTCGCCTTCCTCCTCCCAGTCTATCTTCTTTTCACTATCCCAGCTTAACAAATGATATTGTCGTTCCAAAGAAATGGGAACTGGAGGGATTGGAGCGTCAGAAAGAGATTAACGATTACGTATGGAGAAAGCGTCTCGAACAAATGGAGGACGACCTTAAACGTCGTGAGCGCAATATTGAAAGACGCGAAATGAGGGTTGGTCATTTTGACCTACCTGAACGATCGCCAATCCTTGATTCATACGATCGGCTTGATCGGATGGAGCGACTAGACCGGGAACGTCGTCCTATAGTGGAACCTCCTCGTCGACGAGACTCATTCCACTATGGAGGCCGGCTATTTCGGTAACTTCTCGCTTTGTTTATCTAATTTTGCTTTTGATTCCGATATTTTCATTGATTACATGTGCCAATACTTTGCAAGGTATGCTAAAAAGGGGCGAATGGAAGGGGACAATACTCATTACGAGCAATCGTGTTGCTTCGGGAACAGTTTATTTTCATTCCTACCTTTGATTTTTTGACTTTTATAAATTATCCTGCATGCCATTCAAATGGTACTGGATACAGTGGTTGCCGCTACACATCCCCGAGAAGCGATTCTCGTTTCCCTCTTGTTCATGAAGGATTTTGTCTGCCCAGGGGTGTTCACCTTTGAGCAGAAGCCTATTTAAACCTCTTGCTGAGATGGCGCCTAAGTGCTTTCTCATTTACTCCTTTCCCTCCATGATTTGTTCGGTTGGAATCGAACTGTTCATGGAGAGCTCCTCATCTACAAGTCGAGCATGGAACAGTCAACTTTCCATACTTGAATCTACCGAGAGATGAGCCAATTTCTGAATCTGTTTGGCTCCTGTATCAAGTATAATTTGGTTTCCTTTCCCTTATTTGTTGTGATCTTCCCTAGAATTCTGGGCCTGATTTCGGTTGTCTATCAGGTTGAACCTCTCACTGTTTCAACAGTGGCCGCCCGCGGCTCCATTAAATGTTCAATATCTCTTCCATATGTACCTTATGTACCGATACTCAATTAATAGTTTGATAATGTGATCCACGAACTACTTGTAACACTCCTTTTAGATCCAGGCACGTAGTACATTCATGTAGTACATTGGCAACCCCAACTCCATCTGATTGACCAGAGTCTGCAGCCCAGCACTTCCGCCGTTACCTAGTCATATGCTGGATCCGAATTGTATTCCTTGATCACCGATATTTAGTTGTAGTTGAATCATGACTGATATATCAGTTTGACAACAACGGGCTTGGCACACGACATGCACCCGCCCTAAAAAGAAGAGCATTCTGCCGTTGCTTTGTGCCCCTCCCCCGCGATCAAAATCCCTCTGCATCAACCAACAGTCAAATAGCCACAATCAGTCACAACATTCTGCTTCTTCAACTTCATCTTTACCCCCCCAAACCTCATTTCCAACTCTGTCCAGCAGATCTAACCCTGCAATCATGGCTCGCAAATTCTTTGTCGGCGGTAACTTCAAGATGTGAGTCTAGAAACAACCCCGCGTCATGATACACACCGGGAAAAGCAAAGTGCTGGCCAACTGGTCTTAACGCATCCAATGTTTCCACCAGGAACGGCACCCAAAAGTCCATTGCCGACATCATCAGCAACCTCAACAACGCCAATCTTGACCCCAACACCGAAGTCGTCCTGTCCCCTCCCGCTCTCTACCTCCTCCTCACCCGCAGCCAAGCCGACCCCAAATTCGGCGTCGCGGCGCAGAATGTGTTTGATAAGCCCATGGGAGCGTATACTGGTGAATTGAGCGTAGAGCAGCTGCACGACTGCGGTGTTTCGTGGGCCTTGGTCGGCCACAGTGAGCGGAGAGTGATCTTGAAGGAGGATGATGATGTACAGTGATCTCCAATTACTCTTTGGGAGTAAGGACGATTTAGAGGGTGCACAATGTGCTGATCGATGATGACAGTTCGCTGCACGTAAGACCAAGGCTGCTATTGACGGCGGGTTGGGCGTTATCCTCTGTGTTGGCGAAACTCTCGAGGTTCGATTCTCGTCTAAACGGACACTTGGATGAAGACAAATCTGATAAAGCCGAACCCTGTAGGAGCGCGAATCCGGCAAAACCGTCGACGTCGTGACCAGACAGCTGGGTGCTGTGGCTTCCAGACTCAGTGTTCAAGACTGGGCCAAGGTTGTTATTGCCTACGAGCCCGTGTGGTACGTTTTATCTCCCTTGATCATCCAAAATCATTCTCGCTAATTGGATCATTTCTCTAGGGCTATTGGAACGGGCAAGGTTGCCACCACCGAGCAAGCCCAAGAAGTCCATGCTGCGCTCCGCAAGTTCGTCGCGGACAGCATCTCGCCCAGTGTTGCTGAGAACATCCGTATCATCTACGGAGGCAGCGTTAACGACAAAAACTGCCAAGAGCTCGCGAAGCAACCCGATGTGGATGGGTTTTTGGTGGGCGGTGCCAGTTTGAAGCCAGCCTGTAAGTTCCATCACGATAATACCAATCCGAGGGAGATACTGACGCTTGTACAGTCGTTGATATCATCAATGCTCGTCTATGAACGAGAAACAAAAGTACCAACACATGAATTTTTTGAAATGAAGTTCAGAATTGAAATTTAAAATATTTTGTAACATACCTGATTACGGAGGACTTGGATCATTTTGATAGAAAAATCCACTTGCGTCCCGTTTTCAATTCCTCACATAATATTAGGGATTTATGTTGAATATAGCACGGACACGCCAACTCCAGTCCATCCGTATGCGGCGCCACCAGTCGATAAGGATGTTGGTCCCAGGCCTACCCCTGCGCTGACCAAGAGATCCTTGACTCTACCCTCCCACAGTAACCTAATGTTCAAAGACTGATCCACTCGGAGCTTTATCACGGAATCCGACTCTACCGATTCTCCTGCACCAGCAGTCAAATCCATACGTTTAGCCGGGGTAGGTGGTGCAGGAAGCGGGGGTAGTAGGCCCATCTTCCTCTTCGCCCAGGCGAGATCATCTTTCTCGCCAGACACGTATGGATATGGTTTCCGCTTCTGTCGCCATAACTCGCACCCAGCGACCATTTCGCTCTCCCAGCTATACACGTTGAATCCGAATCGCGAGCTAAATGCCAAATTCGGCGATGCAAGAAGGGAATATGTTGTCGATAAAGACCCCGTTAATGGCGTCAGCGTAAGCGTAAGGGTATATGGAAAGGTAGAGATCGGTGATGGCGCGGGGTAAGCGGAGGAAGAGGGCGAATGCAGAGTTTCCGAAGCTGCTGGTAACGTAGTAAATCGTAGACCTGTTGATAAGCCTACAACAGAGGATAGTGGGGAGTAATACATCTCTCCGCCCGCAGAGAGCAACGAGACAGACTGAGATGCTCGCTGGGGACGCTGCGCATTTGTCCTATCCCTGGGGTCGGGTCCAAAGTTATATAGCCCCTTGAATCCCAGCAATGCATTGTCGGTGCTGAACAAAAACTCTGCACTATATTTCCCGGTATCATGCGACAGCTGAGTCAAGATCGACGCTTGGGGAGTAGACTTAGATAACGGTTTCGCTTGCGTCGAGCATACTGCCACCGAGAGCTGGGTTGTGGGTGAGAGTCGCCGAAGGAACAAGCCATTTAAAGTGGTGGGAGGCGGCAGGTGTAGTATTGCGTGAAGTAATGTCTCTCTTCGCCGTTTCCATGGCGTCGTTTCGTCCTCTTGGCCGTCTGATCCCTCATGTCCAGGTCCGTCCGAGTCCCAACTCTCTGGCGCCAATGGTGGATGGATCTGCCTATATCCGGGAACCAATTTGCGCAGTGGGATCAAAGTACTCCGGCTTTGTGTGGTTTGCAGCGGCAAGGTGCTAAACAGGTATGATATTGAGCCATCGATAAGGCCTACAGTGCCCAAAGTGTATGTTGTCGCGAATTGAGGCGTCGAGAGGGATGAGAGGTGGACGCGGAGGCGTTCAGGAATTGAGAAGTCGAGGAGAGCTGGACGAGATAAGTCAGAACTTAGCCGCGCTTATGGTATTTCCTCGCGGAACGGGAGTGTGTTACCGTTGGCGGTATCCGTGAGTGCAGTGTAGGAGTTGTCTCTGTTCCAGCGAGTGGCATCGGAGAAGGAGAGCTGGATGTAGTCTATAAAATCTATCATTGTGCAACAGGGCTGAGGGGTATCGAGCGTAGCATCTCATTAATCGTCCTTCTTATACATATATTTCTCTCCATCAGCTGCTGACTTCATTCCGTCGTTCACGGGGCTTCTCGTTGCGTTGAGGTCGAAGACGTACAATCTTATCTTATCTGATTAGTGTGCTTATCTAATCAATGGTTCTTCCAAATCGGGACTAGCCTAATCAGACTTATCGAAACTCAAAAAATCCCAAAATTTTGAGTTCATCCGAAGAAACAGCTCGCTTTGGGTTGCTTTTCTGTGCTCTCCTTCAAGGCAATCCTTCCGTCGTCTCCTCTCAGAGCAAGTTCAGCGAAAGAAAAAGAGCGCCGCCCGTCATGCCTGTCTCAAAGCGTGCGAAGGTTGTCCACGAATCCAAAGTCACGAAGAAATCCCACAAAGAGCAAACCCGCCGACTATACGCAAACGTCCAGGAAGCCGTATCAAAATATGACCATCTCTTCATCTTCTCCGTGGATAACATGCGGAACACCTATCTCAAAGATGTGCGCACCGAATTCTCAGAAGATGGCCGGTATGTGGCCTTTCGTCCCCAATCCTCCCCTCTATCGTCCTAACAAACCAACCAGTCTATTTTTCGGCAAAACGAAAGTAATGGCAGTCGCACTCGGCACAACCCCCGAAACCGCTTTTGCTCCGAATCTTGACAAACTTGCTCCCCTGTTAAACGGCTCCATCGGGCTCCTTTTCACCACGCGCGCCCCCGAATCTGTCCTCGGCTATTTTTCCTCATTCCACCCGACAGACTTTGCTCGCGCTGGAAATGTATCTCCTCGCGCATTCACGATCCCGCCTGGCATCGTATACGCTCACGCGGGCGAGATACCCGCGGAGCACGACGAGCCGCTAAGCCACACAATTGAGCCGACGCTGCGGAAATTGGGTGTACCGACCAGATTGGTCCGGGGTAAGGTGACTTTAGAAATGCAGGACGGATATCAAGTATGCAAGGCGGGAGAAACTTTGGATTCAAGACAGACTTCGCTATTGAAGATGTTTGGGGTTGCAGTTGCAGAGTTCAAGGTTGAGATGAGAGCGCACTGGAATAAAGAAACTGGCAAAGTGGAGGTCTTGCGGAAAGATGAAAATATGGAAGTCGACAGTTAAAAGGAGATGGAAGGATACCCATGCTGAAAACGGCTCGCGGCATGTCCATTGGAGTTTTGGTTCAAGGAGTTCAAGGAGTTCAATTTATCAGTTATGGGGTATATCGGGTCGTAGCGGTTACTGTTGTTGCTCCTACTTGTTGAACAAATGTCTAACTTGCAAAAGTCTACACAAAGAAAATGAAGTGGCCGCGGCGATCCTTTTGCATGAGATTACAAGGGACCAAACCGAAGAATGTTTGGACGTTGCCAAACAGCCTTACCTTGATCTTACCTGAAACTCTGTCATGGAAGAAAGATACCTAATCGCCCATACTTTCCAGCTTAAAATAATATACATACTTACCCCATAAAATCAGAAACGAGAAAGCAAACGAGTCATCAGAACTAACAGAAGCACAACAAGGCGCAGACTTGAAAGGACATCCACCCCTAGTGGTCATAGGTGTCGGGACAATCCAAGTAGCAAAAGAGCTGTCCGAAAGGCCAAACGAGTAGTATGAATTTTGTGGGCGATGGCTGGAGGCCGAAGGCGAGTGGTAGGGGGCCTGTTAGTGAACCCTCCTCCATTAATTTGACGCATGGCAAAACAATCAGCCGTAAATATATCGTTCGCCTTACCCTGAGATGTGCCCGAGAGGGAAAGGAGAAGTCGAATGAAAGTAACCAACAAACCCGTAGGGAAACGAGGTCCATGTCTAGTACCTCCGTTTGCTGCGCGGATCATCATACTCATCGCCATCGTGGTATCTCTTTCTGGAGTGGTCGTCATCGCGGCGGCCATACCTGTCTCTGTCACGGCCTCTATCGCGGTCACGGTCTCTGTCGCGATCACGCCTATCACGATCACGGTCTCGATCTCGATCGCGGTCTCTGTGGCTGTCTCTGTCTCTGTCATAACCATCCCTAGGCCTTACCGGTTCGCGGTTGCTTCCTGTAACACCTCCAGATCGATCGTATCTGGAACCACCCCTGTACAACCTATCATCGTATCCACCACGCCTATCGTCAGCCGAACCAAATCCACCTGCCCGACCTCCTCCAGGGCCAGAGGGAGCATTTGGTGGGGGTTGTCCAGCGCTTATTCCGTTAGGAGGGCCGCCAAACCCACTTCTTCCGCCTTGATATCCGATACCTCCACGTCCACCAAATCCACGGTCACCTCGGAAACCACCACGGAAACCACTTCTTCCACCATATCCGCCTCGGAAGCCACCACCTTGGAACCCACCCGGGCCAGAAGGAGGTCCAAATCCGCCAGGGCCCATCGGCCGTGAAGGCATCGCCTTTGTATATCCTCTTCCTCCAAGACCGCCCCCAAATCGTCTAGGCTTCCAGCCTTTTACGGTTCGACCTCGTTCAACATCCACCAAAACGCGTCGATCCTTGATGCGAATACCATCTGTTTCTTTATATGCCGCTATAATATCGAATGGGTTTCATGGCGTTAGTCATGACTTCTACATTACCTGTCTTGACGACCTGATTGGAAAAAGAGGGGGGGATTTTGAGAGGGGGGGAAGTTATGGAAAAACTTGAAATCGCTCAGGGATTCTGTACCCTTCATATCCTGTTCACGCTCATACACAATAAAGGCATAGCCTCGATGCTTCTTTTTCGGATTCGTGTTCGACGGGTCGGTAACTATTCGAATCTGGACAAAAGATTTAGGTCAGTGATTTTTCGCCATATACTAAATCGGTTCTGGCCCACCCTTTCAATCGGACCGAATCTCCCAAATTCTCTCTCCAGATCCGATTCTTTCACGTCGTAGCTGAGACGCGACACAAACAGGGTTCTGAAAGGGTCGCCCCTGACTTGCGGATCAGAGTTAGGATCATCTATAATGACGTTTAGCAGACAGAATGCATGATAGCGAAGTCCTGCGACGAGCAATAGTTGGCACAGCAAATGGCCGTCGTACATTTTTCCAAGCCCTCGGTGATATATCTCTCCAACTGTTCTTTCTTCTCTAGCTTCTGTCTGGCTTTGCGTTGCAACCAACTTTCAGTAGCATTGTAGGGCACCTCTTCGGCATAGTTCTGGAGTTCACCCAAAAACTGCGCGACTCCGCCAATATCACTTGGCCTAGTGTCCTCAGGCGCCCGGTCGATGGGTTTCAAGTACTTGAGCGGCGGCCGGGGCGCAAACAAAGCCAGCAGATTCGCTGGGAGCTTATCTGTCATTGTAGCAGCTCACGAGCATAGAAGGGATGGAAATGCACGTTAAAAAGAGAGCGGGAAAAAGACACGTCCCAGCGCAGTCGAGGCGATAGTGCTGACGATGGCGATGCGACGTGTTGTCCATGAAGAAAGACGGTTGAAGTTGGAAGACGAGGGAGAAAAGCCCAATTAGGTTAAGCGCCGGAGTCACGCTCTCCCAGGCCAACCGGCCAATCAGCGGTCCTGAGCTTCACGCTACAGAAATTCCCAAGCAGAAGCACAAATTCACCGAGACCACAGCCAGACCACAGCAGGACGGATAAGACGGTCTTAACGATGCCGATCCAGGGAGTGAAGGCGATAGCTTCCGGCCGGGTATGTCCCATGTCTAATCCAATTGCCGTGCTTTTGAGTCGGACGGACAACTAACCCGCGGGCGCAGAACGGTGTAAGCGCATTCATCCTACAATGCAAGCGTCTTGATTTTCACTACTGCGACTGGGCCGGGAGCTCAAAAGGCATGAAGTACGGATTCCACTCCCCTTAAGTCTACGTCAACACCCAAGCATCGCGTCGCTAACTAATCGCTCCCCCAGTGCCTTCCTCCGCCATACCCTCCCCAAATTCGCGGCAGAAAACCCCCAGATTGAAATCCGGATATCACCGCGCCCGAGCAAGCACCCTCTCATCAAGGGCCACTATATCAATGGCCGCGAAAAGGCCGTCTGCGTCCGAAACCTCGAGAAAGAGCAGATCCTCCAGAAGGCGACTCTTCTGAAAGAAGCAAGCGGGGAGAAGCTGAGAAAAGTACGAAATCCTGTGGCTAGCACAAACGAGAGTGTTAGAGGTATCTGGGGATCCTTATCATGGGGATATCAAGAAAATATGACGAGTGTGACTGTTCAATATCCGGAATATATATTAGGCGCAGGAGTTTAGGTTTTCACTGAAGGCTGGCATTCACTTGGGAAGCTATGTATCATAAAGAAATGTGGGTTTAGAGCACTTGATCTTTGAATGTCATCATGTAGCAAATCTCTGAAGACGAGTGAAAGCAGTATCACTGCGAACGCCACAACTATTTGATTAGCTGAAGGAAGCAATCACGGTGTTGGAGCCATAATAAAGAAACAAATCGCCGATGTGCGCCTTGTGATCCGCCCTTCTTTCCCCATGATACCGCTTCCAAAAAATGCGCTGTAAAAGTCGAAATTCTAGGTATTAGAACGGCGTAAAACAAAATCTCAAAAAATTTAAAGGTAGACTTGTAGCATCGTTTTAGGTTGGCTGACTGACTTTCCACAGTCAGGAACAACACACTTCGCAAATGGCTTTCTGTTTGCAGGCATGGCGGACTTCTTTCCACGGGACACAGCGCGATGTTTTGTGCATAGCCCGCAGTAAACCTGCAAAGTTGTACGATTAGCACGGTATCGGAAAGGAATAGAAGGGAAACGAACATGTCCACATGGCTTTGCCACCCAAACTTGCTTCTGTATAGGATCATCCCCAGCTCCAAGTTCATGTTCGCAATTTGGGCACACCACAACATCTTCTTCACCGGCAGTTCTCGTGTATCCTTCTGTAGGGGCTGGAGGGGTTTGATAAGGTGGCGAGGGCCGGCGACCATCCGGACTTAACGATCCAACCCCAACTAGCGTTACATCCATCTGAGGATTATCCAGATCAATGGTCAGATCTATTCCTGGCCTAGGCGGTTCACCAATCCAGAAAGGGCTCATTGTCTGACGGAAAGTAACAATATCCCTAGCCATTTCGGGCCCGAAAATCCCGGTTCGGTTCAACGCTGAGGCCTGCAGCGGGTAGTTGTCTCTTAGATATTGCAAAAGGTTTCGTCTTAAAGGACTACGTCGGGGGTGGAATGTTATATTGTGCTGTACATTCAGTCCTGGGGTCTGATCTCGCGAGACCGAACCTAGCCACTGTACTTCCGGACTAGATTGTTGCTCATTGCTCATAGGCGGCGCTGGCTCCTGCTCTAAATCGACCACATCTGCCATGATATTCCTTCCAAACCGTGGTGGCCGACTTGCTCCAGCGGGTCTGCTTTCAAGATTCTGAGCCTGGGGTCTCTGCGGCGGTCGAGCAGGGGAGCTGCTCTGATCCTCCTGGGTCAAGTCGATGACATTCGGCTGCTGCTGCTGGGGTTGCAAGAAGGAAGGAAGGGAAGGAGGCACTCCAGTAGACATGATAGGCCTTCTGTAGTCGTACCCGTCGCCTGGATATCTCATTCGTGGGAGTTGAGGGGTCTGCGGGCCAGGATTGTTCACCGATCGACTGTTGGTGGCGGAATTTGATGGCTCTCCTTGGGTTGTCCAGGGAGATTGGCTTCTGCTCTCGGAATTGGAGCTTGAGATTTCATCGTGGCGGCGCTGGGAACGTGGAAAGAGCATGTCTTTATCAGTCCTGTGGCATGAAACCTTGGGCGGACAGGAAGCACCCCGCGACGAGCCACTGGCTCCCGGAAGGAAGAACTCACCTTTCTTGACGGTGTGGAGGTCAGAAATTGTATAGAGGGAGTCCTGTTCATTGCAACTAGCTTCGACGCCAGAGATCCGGCAGAAATAGCGAGAGACGTTGGAGGAAGAGGAGGGAGACGGTGGAGGTTGACAGAGGATGGTTGGCGAAGATGAGTTGGTTGCAGCCGAGTCTTATCTCCATGCCCAAAAGTTAAGGTTGCAAGAGCCAGATTATTCACTCTGGTCACCACCGGTCGCCAGGGCCCTGGGCTGATTTTAATAAGCTGGCGAGCCAAACGGGCTTGAGTCTGGCCTTCAGGGATTTCCACGGCTTGTGTGTGTCATGAGATCAAAGGGCGGATTCCAACCAAGCAACCTCTTCCTTGTATTAGATTCAAACCGCCCGAACAAATAAAGTCCGCTTTTAACAGATTCACCAGACTACCTAGAGTACAAGCAAGAAACCAGAGCTGCCCTCATGATCATCCTGATCCCACTAATGTGATAACGCCCTCCGCATTCAGAGCCACAATCTGCTGAGCCAATCTGCCCCATGCAACAGCAACTGCAGGAACCGCGCTTCGCAGAGGCTCGCTCCACGACTTTGCCGATTTCGAATATTGCTGGACGGTTAGTCCGTTGGGTCCACCGGTCAATAGGAACTGTCCTGTGTAGTCCCAGCTGAGAGAATCCACCCTGTTGCCGATTTCCAAAACCTTGACCACCTCAGACTTGCGAAGATCCCAGATAGAAACGCTCGAGGAGCCTTCAGTCACAGATGCTAGCCAGATTCCGTTTTCTGAAAAGAATACTGTCTTTAGTGCTCCGGAGCAGGTGAAGCTGGCCGCATTGGTTCCAGTCTTGACGTCAAATATCTTTATTTGCCCATCACCAGCGCCAGCCGCGAGTAGGTGGCCATCTGGATGGAATTGAACGCATGATAGAGCTGCGATAATAGTTAGTAAATGCTAGTCTCATATCCGGAGGGTTTCTTACCGGAATCACTAAAGATCTGAGCCACAACAGTTGCAGTTGTGAGGTCGTAGAGCACGTAGCTCTTATCAACGCCCACAGAAGCTACAATATCCCCAGTTGGATGTTTCGCCAAAGCCATGACTTCTCCTGCGTGCGAATTGAAGCTCGCAATCTCGTCTCCATTCTCGAAGACCTTCACCAACCCGGTTGATGTTGAGATGACAGCTTTTTCTTTCACCCAGATGGCATCCGTTATCGCACCACCACCCCCTTTCAAAGATGCAATGATTGATCTGTCGGTCAATGAGTATATACCAGCAACTCCATCGACGCCGCCCACCAAGGCCAGCTCCCCAGATTCGTTTAATGACAAGGATTTCCCGCCGGGATAAAGGGGATCCGATGCAGTAACAGGTTTAAACTGCTGCACTGTTTCAGTCGTCGCCCAGTCTTCGGGTATAGGACGCTTGCGGCGTGTTTTCGATAATCTATAAAAGGTAATTAGTAGGAGCCCCAACAAGAGGGTTGTGCTGAGATCTTACTTTTCTTGTGTCTCGTCTATCCGCGTCACCACAGCCTCGGGAAGCCCGGTGCTGTCCACTTGCATTGCGTCGCCGCTAGCGGACGCTCGTCCAGCACCCACTGAGACTTTCGATAAAGCATCACGAGCTTCATCCCTCTCCTTGCGCAACCTTGCAATCACCCTCACTGCGGCATCGTGCTGGTAAAGTGCGGTACTAAGTTCTTGTCGCGTCTGGGCAAGAGTCTGTCTTAGAGTAAATGTTTCCAAAGCTAAAGCATCCCATTCTTCCTGGAAGACGCCCAGGAGAGAAGGAATCGAGGTCAGTGTCGGCGGTCGAGGGCGAACAACACGGGCGGATTTGAGCTCGATGAGGTCGTCGATGGTGATTTCTTCTCCCGTAACGGGCTCTTTACCGTGCTCCGCAATGTAAGCTTCGATCAGCCGCTTTTCGAAAACATTTCCTATCATGGGTCAGCCAATTCCCAGCTCCTCGTCGCAAGGTCTTTCACGAACCGCTTGTGCGCGAGACAACCGGAACCTGGGGGGCTTCCCCAGAAACTAAAAGCAAAACGTCAGCACACAAAGGAGGATTCGTCTTCTAAGCAATTAGTTCAAAGGAAGACTCACTTGCGCAAAGCATGGTAGGCAGCTGCACTGGCTAGTGATGTAGACTGGGATTGCTTCTCTTGATCAAGTTCGACTCGCTTTGAAGGCTGTTGCGCGTTGAGGCCGGAACCAGAGTCTTTCCGCTCCGCAACCGCCGACTTTCGCGTCTCTTCTCGTCGACTTTGCTCGTTGAAGCACAAGAAACCAAAGCAAAGGAGTGTGTCGGGGAAGAAGTATACTAGCTATGTGATAGGAGTCCTTTTCTATCTAGATTGCAAGTTCTCTTCTCCCCATTAGCAGCCAGTTCCTCCCACTTGGCGCCTTGGTCACTCTCACCCAGCGCATCTTCACCATGAGTTTCAAAGCAAAGAACCTTACATATGGTTTGTCGCCGACTCTTCCCTATCGTTGACCTGCAGTGACTAACATTAAAAATTAGAAAAGAACGAACCTGCCTTTTTGCGCAGATTACGAGGCCAATATGGCGACGGAACTGGACAACGCCATGGGCCATCTAACGTGCGCCCAATCAAGGCAAAAGATCCTGATGCAGACGATGAGCCTACCTATGTTGATGAAGAGAGCAATGAAGTAATCTCCAAGGAAGAATATCAGGCTATGCTACAGGACGCAGCTGGGAATACTGCCGAGACACATTCGGATGGGTTAGGAAGCGGAGACCAGAATCATGCTAGCAAGAGCGACAAAACTGCTTCAAAATTACTGAAATCAGCTGGCGGCCAAAAGGTTGCGGAGATTGGTGGCTCGAAAAAGAAGAAATTTGCCATGGTTGTAGCCGAAGACGATCAAATCGCCGAGAAAGGCACCCAGCCTAGAGAGAGCGGCCCGCCGAACAAGAAGCAAAAGAAAAAGAAGATTAAGCTATCATTTGACGAGGACGTTGAAACTTGATATCTAAATCATTCTCAACTTGACCCCAAATATCGGTATGGCTAAATCCGCTATCCTAAAGTTGCCTCCCCTCCTAGGACTCGATAGTCCTATCCAAACCTTTCTATGGAGTCCTGGTCTCATATACCGTTGCACGTTACAGACCTCACACCGGGTTTCCGGGAAGTAGAGTCCTTGTATACCCTTGTGGGCCGATGAGAAGCCGCAGGAGTGAATATGATAAATATGATAAAGCGGCGGTCAAGTGGGGATTACTGTCCACAACAATTTCCTGGCCGGGACATTGGTTTTGGCCCAAAACACAGATCGGCTTCTCCGCCATCTTTCTCTTATACTGATGGTATAAGATGTGATGAACACCTTTCCAGCCAAGTATGACGAGCTATTGCAGCGCCAGTTAGCCAATAAATGTATATAGTGAATTTACTGAGCTGGTATTCTTATAAAGTTGAAAAATAACTGGTGATGATATATCGTCCAGAGGCGAGTCATTAGCTTGTGACTCCAGAATGGATATCTGATGAATGAATCTGAGAAGTGCTTGCTTAGCGCATGTTTATAAAGATGACTCACAATTGTTAACAATGACATCTGTGATTCAATAGCAAATAAATCGAGTTGATAGGTAATCTGGACGGGTGCATCGTTGAAATGGTCTCTGAAATCGATGCCACTTTCTTTGCTTTAAATTTCATTTTCCGGCCATTTTCTCCGCCGCGAACTCAACCTTTTAACCCATTCTTAACATAGCGAGCAAGCATCTCGCATCTTGTCTATAGAGGCCTACATCACATCAATAATAATAGAACCACTTGCTGTCCAAATGCCTGTTGTTGAATTAAAAGAGCTTGTTCGGCTCCAGCGTCAAGCTGAAGATATTCGAAATGCACGATGGGCCCCTCCTATCTCACTGCCAACCCCTACCAACCACACGATATGAGAAGCTAACAGTTCCTGGCAGATTTGTATCCTCGCACATGTTGTAGGTGAACCGTCCATGTTTCCCTGGAGCGCCATTATGTTAAGCTCTCTTCTCCTGTCTGATGTAGGATCACGGAAAGACATCTTTGACGGACAGCTTAATCGCCACCAATGGCATTATCTCGCCAAAGCTGGCGGGGAAGATCCGCTACCTGGACTCCCGCCCTGATGAACAGCTGAGAGGCATTACGATGGAATCTTCTGCCATCTCTCTTTATTTTTCTATGCTCCGAAGATCCGCGGCCGAAACGGAGCCTGAGAAGAAAGAGTATCTGATCAACCTGATCGACTCTCCGGGCCACATCGACTTCAGTAGCGAAGTATCCACTGCCTCTAGGTTATGTGACGGTGCTCTGGTGCTCGTTGATGTCGTCGAAGGGGTATGCAGTCAGACCGTCACGGTCTTGCGCCACACATGGGTTGAACACCTCAAGCCCATTCTAGTCTTCAACAAGGTTGATCGACTGGTAACAGAACTGAAAATGAGCGCCAGCGAAGCCTACTCACATCTGAGTAGACTGCTCGAACAGGTTAATGCAGTTATTGGCAGTTTCTACCAGGGAGAGCGTATGGAAGAAGACCTCCTGTGGCGGGAGAGAGTAGAGGAGCGGGTCAAAGCCGCTGCAGCGAAAGAAAAAGACAAGTCAAAAAAGCGCACAGAAGCTGATACTCAAGCGGATGAAATTGAAGACTTTGAAGAAGGAGACGACGAAGATCTGTACTTTGCCCCCGAGAAGAACAATGTTATATTTTGCAGCGCTACGGACGGCTGGGCCTTCACTATACGGCAATTTTCAGGGCTTTACGAAAAGAAACTTGGGATTAAACGAGCTACTCTAGAAAAGGTGCTCTGGGGGGATTATTACCTTGACCCTAAGACAAAACGAGTGCTCGGGCAGAAGCATCTCAAGGGAAGAAACCTGAAACCCATGTTTGTCCAGTTGGTTTTAGAAAGTATCTGGGCAGTCTACAATGCGACTACAGGCGGAGCAAGTAAGACAGGGTGAGATCAAGCCTGGCGATTTTGTGGTATTGCGGATACTGATATTTTTCTAGCGATTCTGCATTGTTGGAGAAGATCACAAAATCTCTTTCTATCACCATACCAGCCTACGTTCTTAGATCGAGAGATCCTCGAAATATCCTTTCAGCAATTTTTTCGGCATGGCTGCCGCTGTCAACTGCTGTTTTGGTCTCCGTTATTGAGTATCTTCCCAGTCCGCCAGCAGCTCAAGCCATCAGACTTCCCGATATGTTGGATGACTCTCCTGGCGCGTCATTTGTTAGTCCCCCCGTCCGCACCGCGATGGAGACTTTCCGATCTGGAAAGGATGATCCGGTAGTGGCGTACGTCAGTAAAATGGTATCTGTCCCAGAAAGCGAGCTACCGTCCAAATCGGGACGGGGTGGTGGCGGGACTTTAACAGCAGAAGAGGCACGCGAACTCGCACGGCGGAAAAGAGAGCAGTTAGCGAAACTTCAAGCGGAATCGAACGAGCAAGCTGATGACAATTTTGCCCGACTAACCAGTGCACTGGGATCCACAGGGCTCAACGACACCGGAACTGATGCAGCGGAGGAAAAGGTCGAGCCAGAGCATCTCATTGGATTTGCTCGCTTGTATTCTGGGATTTTGTCGGTTGGTGACTCAGTTTACGTGCTCCCGCCAAAGTTTTCTCCAGAACACCCTCACGCGGCTCCAAAACCAGAAAAGGTTACCGTAACGGCACTCTATTTGCTTATGGGGCGGTCTCTCGAAAGTCTGGATAGTGTACCAGCCGGTGTTGTATTTGGAATCGGTGGTCTAGAAGGCCATATAGTCAAAACAGGAACGCTGTGCAGCCAGCTGGAAGGCTCCGTGAATTTGGCTGGTGTTTCTTTAAGCAGTCCTCCAATTGTCCGCGTTGCTTTGGAGCCTGTCAACCCTGCTGATCTGAATAAAATGATCCATGGCTTGAAAATGTTGGAGCGAAGCGATCCTTGTGCTCAATATGAAGTGCTGCCTAGCGGTGAGCATGTTATATTGACCGCCGGAGAATTGCACCTTGAGCGTTGCTTAAAGGATTTGCGAGAACGCTATGCCAAATGTGAAATCCAGGCTGGCGAATCCATTGTCCCATATCGGGAAACTATTATCAATGCAGCAGAAATGGCTCTGCCTAAGAACCCTGAACTACCTCGTGGCACGGTCCTGGCAACCTCAGCCTCGAAACAGCTAACAATCCGATTGAGAGTGCGACCATTACCAACAGCCGTGACTGACTTCTTAGGCAAGCACGCCGGGCAGCATTAAACGGTTGTATGCGAATAGAAGAAGCGGAAATGCGCAGGCTTCAGAAGAAGAAAGCAATGAAAGTGCAGCCCAAGAAGATGTTCAGGAAGGGGGTCAAGAGTTTGGTGACGGGAGCATGTCTAGTCGAAACATTCTTTCGGAAGAAGAGTTCAAAAAGGAACTCGGCACCGCATTTGCTGAGACAAAAGAGAAAGATGTGTGGAAAGACGCGATCGGTCAAATCGTAGAATTTGGCCCTCGAAGAGTCGGACAAAATCTTCTGCTCGATGCAACATCTATAGGAGCGTTCGAAAAACTGTCAGTCTGCCATTGCCCAGCTATAAGGCCATTGACTAACTAGAGATAATAGCTTCCCAGAACTTGCACAGCGTGTTGACAACTCGCAAAACGGAGACCGTAGCAATAAGAAGCGAAATGCGGGCCTGTTTTCCGATAAAGTCTCATACGCTTTTCAGCTCGCAACCAACCAAGGGCCTCTTTGTCATGAACCCGTTCAGGGAATTGCTGTTTTTATAGATGACATTTCTCTCACAGAAGCCGGAGATGAAGACGTCGGACGTCTGACTGGTGAAGTAATCCGATTAATACGCGACGCGGTGTGGCAGGGATTTTTAGACTGGAGCCCTCGCATCCTTTTGGCAATGTATAGTTGCGAAATCCAAGCCTCGAGTAAGTGATTATTCCAATACATTTGAAACGGCAACGAAAGACGAATCTGACTTGATTACCAAAACAGCGGAAGTCCTTGGGCGTGTCTACGGCGTCATTACCCGCCGTCGCGGCCGTATTCTCTCTGAAAGCATGAAAGAAGGGACACCCTTCTTCACCATCCTCTCCCTGCTCCCAGTGGCTGAGTCCTTCGGATTTTCTGACGAAATCCGCAAGCGAACATCAGGCGCTGCCTCGCCGCAGCTCATCTTTGCAGGTTTCGAGATGTTGGATGAAGATCCGTTCTGGGTGCCTGCAACAGAGGAAGAGTTGGAAGATCTGGGAGAGTTTGCAGACAAGGAAAATGTTGCTAAGAGATATATGGATGCGGTTAGGAGTAGGAAAGGATTGGTGGTGAAAGGAAAGAAATTGATCAAGGACGCAGAAAAACAGAAAACGCTGAAAAGATGATTGCCGGTTCAACTGTCTAGTTGTCTATCCCTTTTGTCTAATACATGATTCCGTTTCATCTTTATGGAGCGGCGGCTGTTGAAGGTTCTTCGAAAAGTTCTGAACGTGATATTTCAAAATATGATAGATAGGGACAAACGAAGCTATGCTTCATCTTCCTCAGCCCTGCTCTATCATCTCACGTTTTCTCTCGTAGTTATATTGGAGTCCGTTTTTGTCAGACTCGAATCCAGCTTTTATGATGGAAGTATCAAGCCCTCATACGGACGGCGTTCCCAACCTCATCAATATCATCCCCCATTTTCTCGTGCTGATGCGGCTTCACGGCCCTTTAGGAGTGATCATGATCCTCCGAGGGAGAAATCCAGCAGAGGGCCAGCGAATGCAATCACCTCACGCTTTGTATCCCGGCGCAATCTGGAATTTTTTAGACCATATCCTCCAGGGTCTTTCTCCGATATTCCCATACCCTCAAAACATCATCGCTACAAAGCCCTGAGCACTCTCAAAACGGCTTCGCAACCTTCCTCATCTCCCCTTTCCCCGTCGCCGGATCCCTCATCTCCTTCCAACTGACCGGAAACATCATATTCCCGCCACCCTCATCCGCGCTGCTCCTCGCCATGACCACACCCAGCTCGTTCCCCGCCGTACTCGCATAGTACGCCACCTGGTCACCCACACTCACAATCACCGCCCGCACAATATCCCCAACGCGAAACGATTCCTCCACCACCACGCGATCCTTCTCCACCGCCCTCACGTCCTCCTTTCGAATCAGCGCCTGCGGACGCAGTTCATCAGCATTCAGCGAGTCCGAGGCCGTTGATATACTAGCACTGGCGAGAATCGACGGAAGATCCGCGTCGGAGGCACCCTCCGCATCGAGGGTGGGCGTGGCCCGCTGGTCAGGCAGAACAAGCAGAATCGAGATGGTCGCCTGGCGCTTTTGAACACGGGTCACGCGGCCGAGGACGATGCTGCCAACGGTGGGGAGGGTGTTGAATTTTAACGGGATCCTTTTGTTCGTGGAGCCGATTAGAGCGAGGCCGGAGGGTTGGGCGGGAGTGCTGGTTGTGGGAGCGGTGGATGGCGCAGAGGAGCGCGCGACAGTTATTATTTTGGCCTTTTTGCCTTTTTGGTCTGTATCTGATTCTTGGACGATGACGGGGCCGGGGATGGAGGCGCGGATCGAGTGCTCGTGAATATAAGTGCCGGGCCCGGAGGTGTACGCGGAAGTATCTGCTAGCCGTTGGCCGGGGACGGCGATTGAAGGGAGCTGGGGAGCTCCCATGATCAGTCAAGCTGCAGGCAGTGAGGGAGTAGTGAGTGTGGGCTCTTAATTAGGGCCTTCAAGCTGGATGTGGTTGTGTTGATGGCCGTTTTGCAGAAAGTTCAAGCTCTGGAGGATAAAATCACAAGTTAGACCTCAAAACTCAATTTCCGCAGCTTTACTCCGTGCATAGAATAGTCAACTACATGTAAGAATAGGTTTGGATGATTGTCAAAGATACACACTTTCTTTCTTCATACTTGTTACATACATCAAGCATATGGAAATTTTATTCTCGGTTCAGAACGCTTGACTACCTCCAATATGTATTATGCAACCCCTATATATAAACCGGACATAACATCAATGTACTCATCAACAGGACAAGGAAACGCATCAGACAACCGATTGACTTTGAAAGTACAGTCGAAAACCGAGGCACGGAGCCACGCCGTCCGGCAATTCTCAGACATTAGAAGCCAAATACCATACATACTAATCATAAGCAGAAAAAGGGGGCGTTGCACCTAAAACTCCTTGCAAGGGATATAGAGGAAATATGAAGAAAACCAACATCAACAACTGGTATCCCTATGGTTCGGCTTGTATTATGCAGGCTGTAAAGGAAGGAAAACGAAAATGAAAATGAAAAGAAATAATCGAAGCCGAAGGTGAAGAAGATAAAGCAACATATGTGAAAACCCTGCTGAAAAGATTATGCCTCAATAAGGTTCTGTTTTGAAAATTGGTCAAGGAGTTCGAGTGATCGCTGGGCTAGAGTAATAAGCTCGCCCTCGCCGTCCTCCTCGCCCTCCTCAGCTTCAATCGACTTTTCGGAAATTTCTTTGACAAGGCGAGTAATCTTATCCGACTTTTGGATGAGGTTGATTAAACGGTTATCCCCAGACTCGAGTAGCTGTAGTAGTGTCCAGACGGCAATATGTTGGAAGGTGGGATCACCGCTATCTAGGAAATTATCCAGATATCCGTGAATACCGCCACTAGGCTCTGTCCAGTCGCGTACGAATATGGAATAATCTCCAACTGAAAAAGATATGTTAGAACTGCATAGCATGTAGGCTTCATGATTAGAACCTACTTTTGGATGAAAGATTTCCCAAAGCAGCAGCGCTGTTTCCTTGCACTTCAATGCTCTCCGAAGCCGTGAGCGGTATTAAAACATCAAACACACCAAGTTGCAACAAATGCGGCTTCAGGTCATCACTTAAAGCCAAAACGGCGATTGCAGCCGTCATCTCTGATTGCACGCTCAAAGGGACCTGCATGACAAGTTCTTTGCATTTCTGAACTGCTCCAGCTTGCAGCACAAGCTCCTTATTTCTATCAGAACTAGCCGCGAGATTCCGAAGGGTTGATATAGCGTGGCATTGGATTTCTTCACTATCAGATATCGAACCTAGAAGCTCCACGAGCGGCTTGAGGAAACCAGCCTCTATAATTGGCGATTCGTTATGGGGATGAATGGAAATATTTCGGATGCAGGCGACGGCGGAGAGAATTAACGGAAGGTAGGATGACTGCAATAGCCGTAACAACGGCGGAAGCCCTCTGGCACGCACTATCTCCAACTGATACTTTTCATCGGAGGCTAGATTCCGGAGTGCAAGGGCGGCTTGGCCTTGTACTTTTGGCGTCGATGAATCCATCAGCTGAACGAGAGACTGGACCAGACGCGGTTCAGTTTGTGCCAGCCTTTTGCGGTTTGCGGAATCCACTGCAATATTGCTCAGCGCAGTGGTGCAGTAGTATTGGACATCAACATCTGGAGAGGAAAGTAGCTGGACCATGACGGGGATGGCGCCAGCAATCACAAGTTGTTGTCGGTTCTCGTCTATAGGCACCACGTCAGAGAAAGAGAGAATTTCAAGATGAAATGAGTAATCATTACCTGAGTGTGTCATATTTAGCAGAGCACCAGTGGCGTTGCGTTGCACTCGCATATCTTTGGATTTGGCCAGTTTCGTCAACGGCCCCAGGGCTCCTGATTTCGCTATCTTTGACTTGTTCTCTTCGTGGGTGGCTAGATTAGTGATGCATCCAACTGCATTGCATTGGACTTCGACGTTTGGCGACATCATCTGTCGTATCAGGGGCCTTAAGCCGCCTAACTCTACTATAGAGACCTTATTTTCGGCTGAAAATCCGTTAGCATGGCCTCACTTTCTTCCCTCGCAAGCCAAAACATACTATTCACAGCTAGATTTCCCAGGGCCGCACTAGCGGCTCTCTGCACTTCAATATCGGGGCTCTGGAGGAGGAAGAGTATGGGTCCGAGTGTGTTCCGGTCGACTTCGCGAACATCTACAACAAGGCTAGCATTAGCTTATCTATGTAGACCCAAACAAGTCAAGATTATATCCGACTAGAGAACCGACCTCGTTCTGTGATTTCCGCAAACGTCAGACTTGCGCTCCGCTGTAGGTCAATGTTGTCTGAATACACCAGCGTACTAAGCGCCTGTAGCGGTTCCCCGAAAAAGAAGTCGGTTTCATTTCGCTGTGATCATATGTCAGCGACCCCAACATCATCCAAGCACCATGGACAGTGTATATAGCTCCATAGATCGAAAGAGGCCTTTGTACGTACGTTCTCTAGATACTGCAACAGATCCGCAACAGCCTCGCGCTCGTTATCGGCCAGAACCGGTTCGTACAATCCATCTCTCGATCGACCTTTGATGGGCGCCAGCAGATCAGAAATATGGCACCATCTGTCGATCGAGGCAAATATACCTGTTAGGCAGGAGACGCATGCATTCCCCATGTCTCTTGAATGCTTCTGTGCGAGCCGGAAGGGGGGACGGGACAACCCCCAAGGAGCGCTCGATGGTTTCGTCTGTGGACGCCTTCCACTCGTTGGATCGCTCCGGATCGATACGAGAGAGCTAGCGTCGCGGATGGCTGGAGGAGAACGGGGGGCAGTCGGGTTGGATAAGAGGTCGTTCTGGGGGGAGGATGTCCTGACGAGTCGACGGGGGGCGCGGCAAGTCGGAACGGGGTCCCTCGAGAATCAGCGAGGGCAAGATGTGATATCAAGACGGGATCTGATGACTCCTGCAAGGTTGCTAGGGGGGGCAGGGAGGAAAACCGATTGGCCCTGCGGCACATCAAACAAGAAAAACCGAGTCAGTTTCGCGATGTAGCGGGGACGTCGTGTGATTAGGCTGAAGAAACCAGGTCGACCTACCCTGTCCGCGATGGCTGCGAGTTGCGTCGTTCGAAGAGAGGGGGGATAGCAACGGGGTCGTGAAGTTGGGAGTGGACTAGCTTGAGCTTGGGAGATCGACACCGCAGAAGGCGGGAGGCTGGTTTAAGCGCGTGGATGCAGCTAAACGGGACTCGCTGCGACAGCCCCAATTGCTCTGTTGAATGCAGAGGAATGCAGAGTGCAGAGCAGGGTTAGTTAACGAGTTGGTTAGCTATGGATCCCTGTGATAACGTTCCGTCTCCGGCCTGCAGCGGTGGTGACGCTCAAAACATCCTCTGGACCCTTGACGGCAAGCTCCGTATAGCATCCAATCAACACGCCGAACAAGCTGCAAGCAGCCTCTTCGCGTCGATTGGATGCGTGAGATGGAGGACTGATTGGATGAAGCATTTCAATCCTTGATGCCTGGGGATGGCGGCTTGCTCCAGCGATATCAGCATCCGAAGATGAAGTTTCTTGACAGCGTCTATATGTGCAAAATGATCCTATGTACTCGACACGGTAACATGCTTTTTGGAGTCCATGCGTTTCCTATGTACAGTGTTTGAAAATATAAAAAGCTATGCAAATCCCAATCGCAAAATGCCCTTGGGAAGCCCATTAGTTAGCCATTAGCCATCGCATCATAAACTCATCCAAACACTCCAGAATATGCTGCCCAATCCGACTAGCAAACTCCTAACAACCATGAAATGAGGGAACGAAAAAAGAATCATCATGACGCGAATGCTCCGCATTGAACACATTTCAACCGTTGCTCTCCAATTTTTGATCTCGTCGCTCGAAAGTTCGTCCCCCGACATCGTGGACAGCTCAATTCTTCTTCGTCTTCCTCCTCATCTTCATCTATCGCGTCTTCAATGGCCCGACCGTCAGAGCTCTGCTCGCTCGTCAGGCTCTCCAGCTGCTGCCGCGCTTCAGCCTCGTCGTCTTCGACGGACGATCGGCGTCTATTTGTCGCCTGCGAAGCAAATTGGGCTTTATTCCAGAACGTAAAGCTCTGATCGCCTTCCATAAACTCTGGATTCGCCGGAGCAAATCTGGCAGAACCATCATATTCTTCGGGCGCATCAATTTCACGGTTTTCAGGATCAATCTCCGTCGGGACGGCGCCGGAAAATGGATGGCTGAAGCCCAGCTTGCTGGAGCCAATAGGTCTCGAGATTACTGAATCGTGCGCAGGCCTTTTGATCGTCTGAGAAGTATCTGCTCTCGGGGCGCTGCTGATTTTCCGGAGGGATCGGTTAGGCGATATGCTCCGCGTACTACTCGCCCGAGTCCGCAGGTTGTCAACGCTGCCATTGTCCCGAGCACCAAGAACTGAATTCCGCCAGGATAGAATCTGCTCGGAAGGTGTTTTGTGTAGTGACTCCTTGCCTAACGATCTTATGCTCCTCCTTGTGGACACGGAATTATTCCGTCCCAGTAATCGTTTTGAAAATGAAGTCGCATCCCACGATTCGTGATGGCGTCGATGATAGCCGCAATCCTGTCGAAATACTTTAATTATACCATTATAGTCTGCCGTCACAATTATATTCCCTTCTGGATGGGATGATCGAGCAACGTACGCTGGAGATTCTTCTGCTTTAGGGGGATTTGAAGAAGTTGGCGGGCGAGTAGTTGAGGAAACCTCGTTCCCTCCATTTTCGGTTATAGACCTCGAGGCAATAGATCCGGTCTGGCTGACCAAGGTGATTGGGGGTGGATTGCACAGCTCATACAAGAGATCTCCCGTCGAACCGAGGATCTGCTTCGACGCTATCGGGGCCATCAGAGCAGTGGTTACCATTGCAGAGTGAGCTTCGAAGCTTTCCATTGGCCGCTTCTCCGGAAACCGTTCATTGCACACGACAGGCCAGATATAAACACGCCGATCCTCACTCCCACAAATTATATACCGCCCGTCGCTGCTAAACGACGCCCGGATCTGACTAGTCGAGTTTTCATTTCCTCGGAACTTTGCCTCCAATGTTCGATCCCTGAAATTGTATAGACGTATACGGGAGTCATTGCTGGTGATGAGAATCTTCACGATCCCCGACTCCTTTCCAGGCGGCTGAATGATCGTGTCGATTCCAGTTATCTTGCTCCCTTTGGCATTGCGCCCTCTTGCCGAGCGAACGTGGATCTGCGATATCATCCTCAGGCCATCTGTTTCGTAAATAACGCATTGCCCGTTCAAACAACCAGCAATTGCGTATTTCCCGTCGGGTGTAAATGAGACAGCAGTGATCAGATCTGGCGCTGGCGCCACATAAGCAACGCTCTTATCGGGGATGCTCCACAAGCGTAGCTTGGTGTCCAGGGAGCCGGCGAGGAAGAATCGGTCATCCTTTGGGTGAAACTCGATCGATGTCACCACATCACTATGGTTGAAGCAACAGAGGCATTCATTTCTGGTCACATGCCACAACCGTACAGTTTTGTCAAGGGATGTACTGAGCAAGAAATTATTCTACGCCATACGTTAGTCCATGAATTCTCAGCAAGGAACTATCCCTACATACCTTGCTCCAACTGAGGTCCACTATACTTCCCGTATGGCCTTCATATTCTCTCACTGGTTGTGTCTTGAACACGGGCGCACTGAGGCGCATCAACGGCTCGTCGTTACGAGCCTCTTCTTCAATCTCGTGCGCTTGTCGGTCCTCAGGTGTCGCTATCACGGCCCACACCCGAACTTTACGGTCTTGTCCCGCAACAGCTAGATATCGACCATCTTTAGAGAACACCGTCGCCCATATTGCCTTGCATTCCTGTGCGGCTGCATCTGATTCGAAAACATTGATTGTCGCATGCTTTTCCGCAGCACGGCTTGCTTGCTCGGCGGTCCCTCGCAATTCTTGGGCGACGAAGACTCTGTTGAAATCCTTGGTCTTTTTATACTGAGCGCGAACCTTGATATATTTTGGAGGCGGTGGGAAACGGGGAATGAAGCCTATTGGCTGCGCAAAAATTTCCGCATCCATCCCAGCAGCACGATGCTCTCCCAATTCCGACACATCGTCATTAAATTCGGAGACGTCGTCTCTTCTCTTATTACCAATTATCCGGCTGAGAAATGAAACACCCTTTCTATTCCCGCCAATAAAGCGTTAGTACACATTTTTCTTTTTAGGCAGCACAATAACACAAACGCAATCTCAGGTACATTTGTTGGGGATGGAGGAACCCCGGACTTTAGACCCGACGCTCGAATCCAGGGTAACGCTGGCGGGCGGAGTGATGTCAAAGAATAAGCTGAAATCGAACCACCGGCACAACTTGAGCGAAGTTGCAAAGTCGAGAGCGAATACTCACTTTTTTTCTTTGGATGATTTTTGTGTCAAACTATTACTCTCGGTTCTGTTCACCGGCGAGTCTTCATGTGTGAGAGAACGTCCACCTTCAGAAGGACCCGCGTCTACATCCACGGACGCCTGGGTGCGCAGCTTTGATATGGACTTTTCCGTGTTTGTGCGCTGCAGGATTTGCTGTTAATGAGAGAGAAGGCGTTAATTGGATAAATGGGAAGAGACCGCAAAAGCACCGATTTGTAGCAGAAGAGTAAAATCAAACTGGGGTTTCAGAACCGATTTGGTTCTAGATTCCAAAACAGCATGTCAATCGCCACCGCCGTTGCACAGCACGTACCTGCGACAGAGGGTCAATTGGAGCAGCTGTATGTGTGGGGATGGTGGTGGAAGACGACGAGTGTTGCTGCCTCTGCTGTAATAAGGCAGCGGAGCCCTTTGGCATTGATTTGGACGTTGAATTTCTGGTAAGGGCGGGGGTGGAGGGGTTCGAAAGTTCATGCGATAGCCCGTCAGACGACGCTTTGCTTGCCGCTTGTTGTTGGCTGCCATGTGCCAAACTGCCATTTGCTGGATCTATAAGAGAGACCTTCGTTAGCAGCCAGATTTTCTCTCAAAGAAATATTTGCCGCAGCCTTGATCTAAACAGATCACATTCAAACAGCGGATAAAGAAGGCGAGAAACAAACTTACAGTCGCCCCCATTGACTCGACGTTTCTCATCGACATGAGACTTGAGCCCGCTGACTCCGTTCGCAGTATTATTGGAGTACGATGCGGGTCGATTTCCCGGTCCGGACGACGGCGCTGCGACACCATTGGCAGTCCTGGCGTAGGTTTCTGCAGCCATCATGCACGATTACTGGCATCAAGACAAGAAAGGCCAAAGGAAAACCAAGTTGCTTTTCACCCCCGTTCACAATGGCATCGTGAAGGGACACGATCACTAAATACCGCACGTGGGTGACAAGAAGTGCTGAACGTGACCTTTTCACGGCGACGAATCCAAGAACCGCCGTTGATTAGAATGGCATGCTGCACGCACTGCAAGATAGAACAGATTGACCGTGGTCATCGGGGGGTCGAAGGTCCATTATTCTCATGACCCGTCGCCACGGGGACGCACTCGAAACTTTCCCGAGTCGCTTCAACAGCCAGATTTCCCTGGCGACTCTTGCGCGCGGCTCGACCACAACGCAGCTTAGCTAAGCACGCCGGGATGACGTCGGTGCTTCCATCAGTCTATATTGAGGAGATATCAAAAAGATCTATCTACACGGAGATGTTCTTTCGCTAAGGACCACGGCTTCATATCAATCATCAGTCGCACAAGTCATTCTCGGTTTTCGGCTGGAGTTTGCGCACTCTGTCTGCCGCGATATCGCACATGGCCTACACAAGCCGGTTGTTCGTACTCTTTCAGTGTCTTGCGCTTGAATAAGAGGCGCAGAATCAGCATGGATATAAACGAGGACTCACCTGTATTATCTCCAATACCTCAAGCTCAATGTCGTGTCGATCAATCCGCTGCCGCATCTCCTCCATAATCGCATCTCTACCGCGCCCATTTACAAATGTTCTGTTGTATAAAACACAGTTGGCATTAGACTAGATTCGTACATAATGCGGCAGTTAATCCCATACACATATCTCAAACCTGGAAACGCTTGCTCATATTCGCGATTCAGTGCTACCAACTGTTGGGCGCTCCCTTCCTGGGCCTTTTCGTTGAGGTTGCTCTGTTCTGCTCTGCTCAACTCGCTTAGATGCTGCGCTGGTGATTCTTGTAAGGCCCTGCTCTCCCCGGAATTCGGTGGCGAGGTCTTTTCCCCTAGTCGCGGATGGGAGCCGAGAATATCTAGAAGGATGGTCCTGTCATCCGGATTGTCGGAGGAAGCAAGGGCAGTAAGTCGCGCCCTCACAAAGTCAATCAGAGCTTGATATGACGTGCATTCCTTCTGGAGAAAAAGTGATTCTGCAAGGGAATGTAAGGGTTTCGAACGTTCGAAGAGGGTGTCGAGGATTTCGTTGCAATGCAATGGCGGGAGGGTCGGCAGGGTGTCGATATCGGGTAATCTAGCATCTCCCATGGTTAAAAGACTCTAGAAATGAGCCTTGTGAGCAAGTTGCCGATGTAGTGAGCACGATGAGAAGGCGTTCTATGTGTAATAGATCTTCCTCTATGCTGGACTTTAGCCAGAGGTTGAAAGGAGGGGTGAGAGTGATGACCGAGCTTGAGATCCTGAGAGTAAACTTCGGCCTCAACACAAACTATCACCTTTTCACACATAGAAGCTGTGCTTCCCTGGCTACTTGAAATGCTGCTACCACCTTTCTGGCCAAACAACCTCCATATCTTACAATCTTGCTCAAATATCAAATTTCATGCCGTTAAATGACCACCTGCTAGAAACCTAAACAGTGCCACCACGCACCACAGCCCCAAAAATGCCCTACTTCTCCAACTCACAAGAATTCCTCAAGCAATCCTCCCTCCTCCTCCAAGCATATCCGCACACCGTACGTCCCAAATTCACCACCGCCCAACTATCCCCAGAGCAGTATCAACTAACACTCCCACAGACCCGGATAACAACAAAATACTCCTACCCAAAACCCCCCCGCAAATCGAAACCCACCACCGACACCACCAGCTCCTCAACACCCGCACCACCACCAACCTCTTCACAGTCCACCTCCACCCCAGCAACCCTCACTTTAAAGACATACAATCCTCATACCGGCATCTGCCTGAAATACCGCACCACCAAAGCCGCCGAAGTCAGCCGTCTCATCGCGGGACTCGGTCGACTCGCATCGGGCGCACCCATAACTGACGCCCCCACCGTCGCCACGCCTGCGCTGACAGAAACACCCACCCAAGCGCAATCACATACGGTAACAAGTGTATCAGGCAGGGATGCGGACATGCTTGATGTTGCTGACGTGACTGGAGTTGGGAGTGATGCGCAGGGCAACGCTAAGGGGAATGGGGGTGGAGGCGGCAAGAAAAAGAAGAGCGGGAAGGGGAAGAGATAGGCTGGCTATTTATTTTTTGAGGGATTGATCTAGAGAAACGACAAAGTGTGGGAGATGTGTGACCACCTTGACCTCACTGGCGGATAGAGGGAATTTTATATTGGGCAAAGGATGTTTATCCGGATATTGCCAGTTTAGGGGTGGTTTCTTGTGACTTGTCACGCCCTCAGGTTCCAGTATCTATAGTCATTGAGAATGGCTTCAACCCAAGGATAGCGAAACTTGACGTCTCTTGCAACGCGGTAAACATTGGCAGCATGGAGTACTTCTAGCCGTTTAGTTTCTAACAGTTCACCGCGATGTGGATAAAGTGAGGAATGGTAGATTTTATTGTATACATTCGGGTAATCCTACAGCCTTATCCAACTCCAACTCGACCAAACATATAATCCATGTTTTGAACAGTATAAGGCCACAGAAAACAACAAAAAAGGAAAAATCAAGGTATCGCATAACAACATACAAGGGAATCCTTCATATACACATTGCTAGATCCAAACCGGAACGCCTGCCTCTTATGCGGGTTGCTCATTAATAGAGGCTATAAACACAGCCAGAGGAGAGGGAAGATGGAGGGGACGTTGACTTAGAAATCTTCATCGAAATTGAAGGCTCCTCCGTTCTCAATCGCCTCCTCAGTATCGTCTTTCTTCTGCGTGCTAGCCATCACACCGGCCTTCTGGTAATCACCAACACGCTTCTCGAAGAAGTTGGTCTTGCCGGCCAGCGAAATGTTGTCCATAAAATCGAATGGATTCGTGGCATGGTAGAACTTCTTGTTGCCAAGGGCCACAAGGAGTCTGTCAGCAACGAATTCGATATACTGGCACATGAGCTTAGAGTTCATGCCGAGAAGGGCACACGGAAGGGCATCGGTCAAGAACTCCTTCTCGATCTCAACCGCCTCTGTGATAATAGCTTCAACAGCTGCGGGAGTAGGCCGGTGACGAATGTGGGAGAAGAGCAGGCAAGCAAAGTCGGTGTGGAGACCCTCATCACGAGAGATCAACTCGTTCGAGAAGGTAAGACCAGGCATAAGACCACGCTTCTTTAGCCAGAAAATGGAAGCGAAAGAGCCGCTAAAGAAGATACCCTCAACGGCGGCGAAAGCGATCAGGCGCTGAGCGAAAGTGGAATCTTTGTCTTGAATCCATCGAATGGCCCAGTCAGCCTTCTTACGAATGCAAGGAACTATTAGAGTTGTTAGCGAGTCTGGCCCCCAACACATAACCGGGACAACACAAGTCAACATACTGTTGTCTAAAGCCTCGAAGAGGTAGGTTCTTTGCTTTGGCTCTTTGATATATGTGTCGATGAGGAGGGAATAAGTCTCAGAGTGGATATTCTCCATCATGATCTGGAAGCCATAAAAGCAACGAGCCTCTGGAATCTGGACTTCACCGCTGAATCGCTCAACAAGATTCTCGTTGACAATACCGTCGGAAGCAGCGAAGAAAGCCAAGACGCGAGAGATGAAGTACCGCTCGTCATCGTTCAACCGGTGATTCCAGTCGTGAAGATCCTTCGACAGGTCAATCTCTTCAGCAGTCCAGAAAGATGCTTCGGCCTTTTTGTACATTTGCCAAATCTGGTTACGGTAACACAATCCCAGTTAGTCAACACGGTTCACAAAAACCACTTTACGCGTCACGCGTCGGGGCAGGCTTACCTCGTGATATTTCAACGGGAAGAGAACGAATCGCTGAGGGTTTTCCTGCAGCAAAGGCTCTTCTGCTTCAAGCTCTTTTGGTGAGAGAGCCTTCTTTGGCTCTTCTGGGGCACTGGGCTTGATGGTGTCGATGTCGACCTTTTTCAGGCCAACGCCAGGAGTGGAGGCCAATGGAGCGTTCTCTTTGTCAGTCATGTCGAATTGGAGCTGCTTAACTGGCGAGTCGCTCATTTTCAGCTGTTCGAAAGAAGATGCAGTCTATCGATGGCAACCAGTCGCGTCAGCAGGTTCAGAACGCGACAAGCTAAGAGAGTGTGATCGGGGTGCAAAACACCTACTTGCTTTGAAGGAGTAGATTGGGAAGCCATTGCTAATCGTTAGACGAGTAAAACTTCAAAAGAAGGACGCAGTTTGGATCGAAGAGACGCGTTTTTGGGGTAGAGGAAATGAAAACAGAGGAGGAAGGCGATGTGCGAGAACAGCAGGTGCCTGAAATACTCGACGAATCGCGCTAGGCGCAAGGCGCTAAGTCACGGGATCACGCGATTCAGCCGCGAATTCCTCGCCAAGCACATTACATAACAATGGCGTATCGGCCTGGGCCAATAGGAGGGAGCGCTGCACTGTTGCTGTCTCAGCTGCTAATCTTATCTGATTGATCTTCCCATTTATTCCGAACGCGACTTCGCGTTCGCGGGGGAAAAAGCTCCGAACAGTCTCTCGATATCCGACCAGAATTCCGTATAGAAGCACGCCCCCAAGCTTGCTGTATTTGAGTACTCCGTAGATACTTTCAAATATAATATTTTATACAGAATCCAATGTACTTCATTTCAATTTGGTTATTTCTCTCTCAGTAACTTCGATAGAGTGGGAGCTGTATGAATAAAGATATTGCTCTACAATAAAATGAGACCAATTCCCATGTTAAAGATGGACTCTTCTTCGAATTTTGAAGGTGCCTCAATTTCATGTTGTGGCCAATACTTTTGACCCTCCAAATCGTGTTTGTGACCTTTGAAGACTGCCTGGAAATACTCCTTCACTCTTTATGTATATTCAAATTACTTTGTACTGATAGCTGTCTAATCCTGCTCTGCTTTAAAGCTAGTAGGTAGTCTTCATAGTCATCGACTGCATAAGACTATAATGAAGAATAATAATCTAATAATACTTTTGACCTCGTACTGTAGATCCTTACTCCAGGCTTCGATGCCAGGGCCTGTAATATCTCCTTTGGTAGCTTCAGGTATTTTAGTGTACACAAGAACTTCACCGGCAGTCAGTTCTTCGACATCCCCAACGCTTTCAACCCCTTCAATAACCTCATTTGCTTCACTTGCTTCACTTGCACCACTTCCCCTGGGTCCGCCTGAACTTTCCCCAATAATGATTTCGGTTTTGTTGGCCTCCGACTTTTTCGGATCAGTGGTTGGTAAAGTACGGTGGCCTATAACTAGGCCACCGTATAAAGTATTATGCACCCCTTTCCCCTCTTATGCGTAGTCGGAACCTAATATTACAATAAGCCTCGAAACAGCCGTTTGCCACACATTTCATTGAAGACTTACTAGGATGAATTGTTCCAAATATTGCTATCCCACCAGTGGAGGTTGCAATATAGGATGGAGAGTCAATTTGTGTTTGGTACCCTTTCAGACCCCACACAATTTTGTCTATAAAGACTCTTGAAAAATGTTTGCGGTAAAACACTCCTTGAGTTGAATTGCGATTCGCATCGCTTACCCAGTAACGAAAACGGGTATAATGATCGCTAGTATCCCACTCACTTTTGTTGGGATAAAGTGAACGGTATTGAGCATCACCCGATTCTCCAAGTATAATTGCCTGAATCTCACCGAGTCCAACTGATCGTTCAGTGCTATTCCGCTTTGACAGATAACTGTCCCAAAGTTCAACCCAAAAGGGCTTTACCAGTTCTGATTGTAGCCAGTGAACCCATTCCTCTTGGTTTTCGAGTTTCAGAATGCGCTGTAAATCTCTTTTCGTTGTGGGAACCTTCTGACTGTCTTAATATTTGGTGGATTAGTAGCTACACATGGTGCAGAACAAGAGGTCAATTTCACCTTCATCATTGGTAATTTTTGAGAAATCAATCCAACCGAAAGCATCAACTGCTGGATCTAGCATCGTGTCAAAAAGCAATATATGTTTAAAGCTTTTCTGAGTTAGAAGGAATATTTTCAATATCCTGCTTGTTAGTTCTTTGTACAAGCTTTTTATACTTATGATATTTATCTTCTCTTATAAGCATATTGCAATTGTTAGGAACTGCATACTCTTTTGCTTGCTTCATGTAATGAATTCTGATATGCATGTTTGGGTGGTTTTTCAATGTCTGTATGATTTTTATTTTCTTTCAGAGATTGACAGTGGTTTGGAAATTCTGTTGGATATTGCTGATCGGCAATCAGGGCATATGGCTTTGAGACAATCCGGTAGATGTTGTGATTGGCATCGGTTCCAGCATTCAACACTGCAACAACATTTTTATTCATAGCGCTGACAAGCTTAGCGCGTTGTATTTCGTCATGATAATTCGTGGTTTCGATAAGATGAACCAAGTCGGTTGGGGGGGTTGGTGTAAATAGTTGTTTGAACTCATCTTTTCGTTTGTTTCTCGACCGCTCCTAGAACGCCAGTTGTTAAAGAGAAAATAACTCTTGATGAGTTTGGTAAAATCTCTGACGTCGAGGACATGAGAGGATGACGCAACTGAGTGAAGCGTAACTGCCACAAATGTTTTCTTTTTTCCATCCCTTGCTCAGGATTCAGGAACATCGCGTTATTTTTAGCATAACCTACGACTGATCCACTTGGTGCCCGTTAACTAGCGTCTTCGCGAAAATGTCAACGGGACTCCAGCCAAACAGCACTCGAGGCTATGCGAAGCAAACCGGCGTTGAGCTCCAAGAGTTCTGTTCTGTCTGTCCCCCGGACGTGCAGCCTCGAACTAGAATTCTAGCAGTGTGTAGGATCAATGATCAAGAAAACTCCGCATCACCAGAGTGCGATGGTTGGTTTTTATCGGATTTTTACCTCTTCCATTATTTGCTTGAGAACACAGGTGAGGCTTCCTTGCGGCAGATGCTTTGACGCGAACATGCTCCGGACTGACGCAACAAACAGACACTTTTCACGCGGCAAACCAATTATAGTTTACCTGCCTTGAACCACGATATCTGGTGCAGAAATACACTGAGTACGCGCATAGGAGCCGAAGTGGAGACCAGAGAGTGGTTCTGGATAAGGACCGCCTTGAAAGTATTGAAAACAGCAACACTTTGAAAGTGGTGCCGCCAAAGGATCTCCTCGAAAGGTTCTTGGCTACTTTACGATTAGAAACGTAGATTGCAGCGGCCGAAAATCAACAAGTTTTGGTACTTGTGTTCGGACATGGTGATGATACAACATCTGGCGTTGCGATCGGCGGGCCGAAACTGACTCGAATGGCTTTTGATGTTGCGGCAGGCGTTGAACTCAATCTTTTAGTCACGTCCTGTTTCTCCGGGGGCTGGGTAATCACGCCGATGGAAAAGTCGAATAAGACGCTGAATATCGCCGGGTTGACGGCTGAGAATGCACAGGAAGAAAGTACTTCTTGGGCCAAGACTGCATCCTGTGGGCGAGCAGGCGGCTCCCTCTATGCAACCGCCGTCTTGAATGCATTGGTGCAAACTACAGAAGCGGACACTTCCGATGCTTCCGCACTGGACGAAGAAATCTCTGGGTCTCCAACATATATCAACCTGTGCGACGCAGTATACAACACCAACAAAGAGATCGACCCATTTTTTCGTACTCGCGGAATCTCGTTTGCAGCTCAGGATGATATATGGGATTCGGAATGGCGAACTCGATCGGGATTTCCCCTTGTAAACTTCCAAAAAAGGTGGGAAAGATTACGCCGAATCCACTCCGACCAGAGTCCGGGTGCCACGCTCAGTTTTCGCGGGAGTATCGGGCGATCGTATGACAACGTTCTCCAGGTAAAAGCGCAGCTTTACCTTGATTCTTTCCCGGGGCCTGACAACGTCGGTCCAAATGTCGCCTTTCATGGCCGATTGAGAAAACTTGTTGCTGGTGGAAACTTCTCAGAAGAGATCTTGACCTCCCTTGACGATGCATTAGATTATCGATTGTCAGTACTGAAGCTTGCGACAAAATATGCTTCATATCTGAACTTAGACTTCCCAGACGCGTTCAAGATCGACACCGACAGTTGCCTCAAGGCCGCAAGCCTCAAAGAAATGGACCTCGAAAATGACGACAAATCGACAGCTGCGACGTGGTACGAGAGAGTCCAAGAGGTTCGCTCGCGCATCATCGAGAAACGACTTTTCGACAAGCCCGGACCTTCTCAAGGGTGGGCTTATTCAAAACCAAGAGACTATCTTGCTATCGCGCTGTTATCGTCATCGTGGGATCAGGAGAGAATATTTCAAGCTATCGATACTCTCCTTGTCCGTAAGCACCTCGTTTCCTGCCGCCTTGGCTTGCTTGATTCTAACATCGGCCTTTAGTGAAAGCTGGTGCCCAGCGCTACCTGGCTTCGACACCCATCGCCAAGAGCATCATGAATAACAGGGAAGTCATTAGACACCGCGATAAATTATACCAAATGCCCGAAATCTCAGGTAGGTTATTCCATAATCGATGACTTTGTGATAGACGTATCAATATAATATTCCTTTTATTCTCTCACTTAAGAGCTATTTATAAAATATATATATATTTTTTGAATGGAGAGAGAGGAAAGAAAGAGAAAGAGAAAAGCTGGGGGGAGGAGGGGGTTTATATAGCTTTGTAGGCTCCCCAAGTGAGCACTGGATCACCTCTTGTGACCTGCTCTGTAGAGTTGATTTTATATAGTGAATTGCACCATAAAGTGAGGCGCTCAGTAGAGTGAATTTGTATACTGAGTTGCACCATAATGTAGGGTGAATTTGTATAGTGAATTGCACTGTAAAGTGAGGTGCTTGTAAAGTGAAGGCTCTGCTTTATTAACAATAGGCTGTAAGGCCACTAAAAAGTGAATCTTAAAGGAACTCTTGAATCATCAGTTGCCTTAAGTAGGTTTCTGATATAAAAATTCAATGTCTTTGAAGAGCCCGGGCTCATAACTGTCAGACTAGTGGATTCGAACTAGTATGGAGATCAGTTGAACTTGAATAAGATGTGTAGTTATTCGTCTGAATAGGTTTAGAGTTTGATATTATCGATTCCACCAACTGGATTCAAAGTGACTCCGTCTAAGCTGGTATCATAACCTTCACATAACGCCCCCGGGATATTCACCTCTACGAGAACATGAAACACGAAAGAAGAACGAGCATGCGAGAGATTCAATGTGGTGCATGGTGACAGGCTTTATATTTTAGCCCTGATTGAATCTGGAAGAAATCGATCCTCGAATCTCCGCATAAGCTTATTGGTCTGTTCAGCCAAACTCAGAGTCAAAATCTACGATCTCGTTAGCCTGGATCTTCATGAGCCGGGTGGGAGTGTAACGTACAGTGTGAGGTAGGATACGGGCTAAATGAGCAAAATATCCTTTGTAAATAGCAAAAATGCCTTCAGTGGTGATCGTCTTGTACAGGCAGTCGAACACTCCTTTGTACAGGTTGCCGGTCTGGTTATACATTCTCGACATGATGGTATCTATCACGGCACAGGTTAGCTTAAGTGCCCCTGTCAGTGAAGCCAAAGTGACTGGAAGCTCACCAGGAGGATGCATAACGCAACAGACAACAAACCCGCTGCATGCGCTACTAGCCAAATGCAGCCCTGGGCCGTCCTCCATTCCAAGGTGTTTGATCAACCGCCGTTTAGCGAAGAAATATGTCGGCAACTGAACGGAACTACCAAACCCGGTACGAACCATCGCAGCGCCTACTCCGCGATAAAGACCCCTGACTCCTTCGTTGCCGTAGATCTGCCTAAGGCCATCGAACGAGTGTTTGTATTTGTGCTGGGTACCGACCGGAAGGAATGGGGAGAAAGACTGCAGTCTCGTCTTTACGAGGAAGAAAGGGGAACCGGCGGCTGCTCCGAGAATGCCTGACGCTGCACCAGAGAAGATGTTGACACCAAGCGACTGGTAATTTGAGTCCTTGTAGAGCACAGAGGTCAAACACTCCCTCAACGGCTCGTAGAAACCAAGGCGACATCCGTTCAGGAGGACTTGATAGACATACTGCGACTGTCAGTCGACGTTCTTGGCTGCGTTTCAAAAGCTTCGGTCCAATTGCACATACTGCAGACCCGATTCCACGGAATAGTCCCCGAGGTCCTTCATTCTGCAGGATCACCTTCACTCCGTGTAGGACACCTTTATATTTTCGAACTGCTTCTTGCTTGGACTGGAGCTCGCCCTGAAGTTGTAATCTTTCCCAGCGGCCATTAGTCTACGCGGGTTTGTGCAGAAGAGGATTCGAATTACCGGATCTTTACTGTTTCGAAGCTGTGGGTGACGGTGACTGCGCCGCATGCAGCAAGGCCACCGGCAATAAAAGCTCTAAGCAACGCACATTGAGTCAGATATGGACATCGGTACCAACTCGTCAACAGATGGCTTACCCCGTGGTAGTTGACATGCTCTCGGCAAAGAAATTATTCTGGGGTACGGAGAGAGTGGAGAGGTGCGATTTATTAAGAAAAGCAACAACCAAAGGAAAGATAGAAGAGCACAGCTAGGAATGGCCCAGCATTGTCACCGCAGTCAGATCAAGGCCTGTAGTATCACCGCGAAGCGCAAAAAGAAGGGAGAAACGAATGCCACTGAGCTCGTCTCCTCTCATCTTCTTGCACTCCCGATGCCGCCGAAATTTCAAAGTTTGGAGGAGAGCGATTCACCGCTTTCTATTGGGCGAGCCGGCTGCTTGTCGCGCCAAGGCCAAAGCTTAGGCCATCAACAGCTTGCAGACTGGCTGGGAGTCTCAACGCTGCTTGCTCCCCCATTGTCGCCCTTCTGCCCGTCATTCCGGGGCTGTAGCTGTCGCAAAAGGTGGCGGAGTCAATTTGTTCGAGGGATTCGCAATGGCTGAAGCTTCGACAGCTCCCACTCTGCCTCCCCAGGCGACAGCCAAAGTCTCAGACATCGTCAAGAATTATCGCCCGTCAAAGGTACGTGCAGGAGTTCCTTCTCAGACTCCTTAATCACACCCACTAACGGTCGCGCCGTAGGTGTTTCGAGGCAATTCCAGGTCCAATGGCCAGCAATATATTACGTCCGTCGATTTCGACGACCAAGGCGACTATCTGGTCGCAGCCGGAGACGATGAGATGCTACAGCTTTTCGATGTGAAGGAAGGAAAACCGACAAAGACAGTCCCCAGTAAGAAGTATGGAGTCCACCTGGCGCGATTTACTCACCACTCCCGTCAAATATTACATGCTAGCACAAAGGTCGATGGTATGTGTTTCCTGGCATCCCGCCATTTCTCGTTCAGAGCTGACTGAAATCCCAAGATTCGCTACGACTTCTTGACCTCCATAACGAAAGCTACCTGCGCTATTTCACCGGACACACAGACAAAGTAACTTGTCTCGCGTTATCACCTGGCGCGGACGCCTTCCTTTCTTGCTCCAAGGATGATAGCGTTGCACTATGGGACCTGAATTCGAGAAACGCCCAGGGAAAACTGAAGCTGGCAACCCCATATCTTACCGCTTTCGATCCATCTGGCTCAGTTATAGCTATTGCTTCGCAGTCCACTTCTTCCATCCTGCTTTACGACTTTAGAAACTACGACAAGCCACCCTTTGCGACCTTCGATATGGCACCACAGGAGGATAGGTTCACTCCAACTACGCGAGGAAGAGCTTGGAACAAATTGGAATTTTCAAATGACGGAAAACACCTCTTGGTCGGTACGGATTATCACGGCCACTTCATTTTAGACGCATTCGACGGAAATATCAAAGCATTTCTGGTTGGCAAATCCGGTGTCACAGGGCGGGCAGCTCCCGTGTCCAACTCTGGGAAACCACTTGGTCAAGGAGACGTGTGTTTCACCCCGGATGGGCGATATATCATTGGAGGAGCTGGCGACCAGCCTGACACGCTCGTGTGGGATGTCCACCAAACCCCGGATTCTAGTTGTTTCCTCCAGCCGATAGCCCGTTTGCCGCACCGTGGAAAGGCCGCTATCGTTCAGGTGAACCCAAGATACAATATGTTCGCCAGTGCGGATAAAGAAATCGTTTTCTGGCTGCCCGATGACAGCGCGAAGCAACCTGACAAATGAATGCTTCCGTTGCCTCCTACCCTCGCTTCTTATGGCACACATTAACAAGGCTGAATAGAAGCTGCAAATTTGAGCCGTATTCCCCTTGCCGCTCCCGTGGCTGAATCGAGGAGCTATATCTATATCCAGAGAGCTGATCATTTTCGGGCCGCTTCACGTCACAATGAGGACCATTTCGTCTTTCAACTGCTCTACTTCTTACTCTGGTTGTTACGACCTTCTATTCTTCTCTTTTCCAACCAAGCTCCGCGCCGTGTCGCAAACCCACACACTAGGCCCAGAGAGATCATCGTTGTCGCCTCTGTTTTCCTCTACTATGGTCTCAATTTGCTTTACCACGGTTCGGTTGCTGGAAATGGTCATTAACCCGCTCGCCCACCCGTATACAAACACACTGGTGTTTATATCACTAAGCTGGCTGGCAACTTTGCGAGCTACATCTGGAAGCTGCCCATTGTCAAAACCCCGAGTAATCTCTCCATGAGCTTCTACTACTCGAATGGGCAGTTTCCAGTCCACGGGGACTTCATAATCGGACAACTTCTGAAACCGGGATATTAAATCTTCCCTTTTCAGCTCCTCTTTCGTTCGCCCCATTAACAATTGAGCCCTAGCTTTCTCCGTCTCGGTTCCTATCGTATCTACGATCTCTTGCATTCTTTGGGCCGCCTCGTTCGTGCAAACCAGGCTTTTATCCCCCATGGCTGGCCATAATTCCGATGGCACCAGGGGCTTTTCCGCTTCGAGCTCAATTTGTCGAGTTATGGCTCGATGATGGTGCTCTGAATGGGCGATGTGGCGGGAGTGTGATAGGTCGGATACCAGGGCAAGAAGTAAAGTGCAGTCGACATTCAATGTTGGGGTCCGGTGTGGGTAAGGGCTTGGAAGCAGAGACTCAAATGTGGCTTCAAGAAGCGCTACGTCTGGGTTTTCGGCGCCGGGTGCTGGCATGTCTTCTGGAATTGTACCGCATTGCACTGTCACGCCCGATTTCCTGATTTCGCGAATGACCCTGTCGACATGTGGAGTTTGTCCCTCGATGATCTTGGGGAGAATAAACCGTATCCTCGGGTGTTTGTATCTGACGCGAGTGTGTGCGGCAGCTTTCTTCATATCCGCCGCCAATTTGACTAGCTCAATAGCATCATCATCATCATCATCATCATCACTGTCATATGTTTGCAATCTATATTCCTCGTCGCTTTCTTCGTTGTCGGAATCGATCTCCCAGCCCTGTTTTGCCAATTCAAAAAGCAGGCGGGTGGGTGTAATTGTAGACACTTTTACCCATTCATCCCCATGTTCAGCAACGATATCCACGATGACATTTCTTTTCGACGAAACGGACACTGCCGCATCATGCTCATCTTCCCGTCTCCCAATCGCCCCATTCGACAACCCTAGCTTTTCAAATTCTCCCTCAATCGCCTCATACTCTCCTCCCAGTCTCCTCCTCTTCTTAGCTTCCTGCCAGTAGAACCTCTTATTAAACCCCACCAGCCCTTTACAAGCCGTCGTCGCAACCCTCCAAACCATCCAGTAAAACGGCAAATTCGACGACCGCAGCGAATGCAGCACTTTTCTTTCCCCGACCCCCAACCGCCTATCACTATCCTCAGCTTCATCAGAATCTTCCCCATCTTTTCCACCCGGTATCGATTTATCCTCCTCCGAATCCTCCTCGGCCGCCTTGTTGGCCAGCTCACACGATTTCTCCAACGACTTGAGCTCGGCTCGCACCGCGGCCTTGAACTGGCGGAGTTCCACGAGATGTGGCCTTCCCAGGCCGGCGAGGTAGGCTTGGAAAGTGCTTAATTCGTGGAGGAGGGCGTGGCATTGGGAGAGAAGGGTTTCGGAAAGGGACTGGGCCTGGGTTGGGGAAGGCGGGGTGTTCGTGGTACTTGCGGCGGTTGGGAGGGCGGCCATTTTGGGTAGAAATGTTTACCGACTGGCCATTGAAGGAAGAATAAGTGTTTGCAGGACTGCTGTAGGTGTATTATTGAAAGGAATGGTGTTGTGTTTGGAAGGACAGAGTGTGCGTGAGTCAATGCTGGCCTCGAGAAGAGTAGGGAATGCGGCTCTCTAGTCACTTTAGTGACCTTTTAAAAGGCGTTTTATAGCTGAACAACCACAGTAATCCCATTCGATGATAAGTCGAATTCCTTGAAGATGCAGTTATATACAGTACAGAACTTCGATCATCCGAATTATGCCAGAAACAAAGGCGCAAGGTAAAATGAACAGTCCCGATAGTTATGAAACAGAACGCCCTACCCGACGCAAACGCCAATCGACTTCGCAAAACATTCTCAAACAAAACATAGTTAAACCAAGGGAGTTTGATACATGGCAGACGCTAGTTACAGTGGCTTTAATCGTCCTTATGCATCAAACCTTTCCTCTCCGTCGAATTTCTTGGTGACTCATCGTCTGACCACCGGTCTACATCCTCTCCGACTGCAAAGTGATCAGCATCGATTGAATCACGAGGCGGTGGATGTTGAGTGGAGAGAGCTGCAATTGATGGATGTTCCGCTGGTGCGCCGCCCGCATTCCTATCATTTGAGTTGCCGCCCAAAGCCTCCTCATCGTCTAGCGAGCTAGCAAGCGAGCGAATCTCAAAGCCGTCGTCATCTTGGGCAATCTGTAATCCTGTTAAATCTCACTCGACTTCAACTGTGCGGATGCTAACGTACCTCGTCACTCATAGCAAAACGTCGGTTGTTCATCGTTGGTCTCCAAAGATATGCGATGAACGCAATATCAAACAGGTAGACGATATTGAGCCAGCCATCCAAAACAAACCATCTTGTTTTCCAGTGTTCAGGAATATAATCGACCACCCTTTTGCTTGCGAAAAGGAATGAGTTGATGAAGAAAAAGCCAAATATCACTATGATGCTTCCCAGAATGCACCACCATAGTTTCTTATACATCAAAGCCTTGACTCGTTGTTTCCGATCAAGCAAATCTTTCATCGTAGCGCTTAACGAATTCAGGGTCCAAACGTAAAATGCGGTGAGGGTGGCAGCAAGGGGAAGGACGACTAGTAGCACCAATGGACCAGCGCTCTCCGGGGCTATTGAGAGACTGGCGACGGCGTAGATAACGCCAAAAACAAAGTGGCCAATGGCAAGGAAACGGACGTAAATCATCGTACGGCCAAGAGACGGCTTGACGACACCGTAACCCATGCAAACGATGAGGAGCAGGAAAAAGGAGAAAGAGTTGCGACCAGCATTCAATACAGCCACAATAAACATGAGCACTCGCGTTACGGCATTCATGCCATGTCTATTCTGATAATCTGCCAAACAGTTAGCTCTTGAACGAGGGATTCTGTTCAACGGATGGTCTACCATAAAAGCCCCAGGTCATGAGCTGTTCAACTACAAGGAACACGAGTATGGCAGTTATATAGTTTTGGACCGGAACTGGGGGGACGATTAGCTATAGAATATGTTATAGACAAAAGGCAATATACTCACGGATGTCGTGGCGATGCTGGACATATAGGAATGCCCAAAAGCTAGCTCTTGTTAGCTGACATACGATCTCTACCAGTGTTAAGCAGACTCACACTCCAATTACGGCGTAAAATATTGTTAAACCGCCGTAAAAGGCCAGCTTCGGGATCTGCGGTGCTGAAAGTTCTCCGTACGCATTTCTGAACGTCACAATCCCGCTGTAGTCATCCCCGGAAAAGGGAAACGTAACCACACAATAGAAGCCGCTCTTTTTCACAGGATATTTGATTGGTTGTGCGTCCGTCAAATTTACAGCCATTGTAACAAGGGTCGATCGCGCGCGCGTTGTCGCATTTGGCTCGAGGATGAACATCCCTAATGATTTCTCATCGCATAGTCCAGCTTTGATATTGTCATGGTGGCATAAGGTCTCTTTTCGAATCTGCGTTTGCGTCAATCAAAAAGTCCCCGACTATCTCAATATATCCAACAGGCACAGCTACCTTGTTCTTGTCTCCTGCAGCATATCGACCGATCAGGCCCTCATCCTTCCATTCAAAGATAACCAAGCTCATCATCGGACTCGGCTCTTTCGGTGGGAGCTTGTTTAGCGTTACATGGATAAAAGGGTCGACATCTCCGCCCCAGGCCTTCTTCCCGTACATTCCGGAACATTGCTGTCTATGGCTTTCGTCTTGTTTCTAAGAGACTCACGGTAAGCGAAGTGTCTCAAGGAGTTGCCAGATATCCCTACCAGTTCCACATCATTTGCAAAAACGTTCGTTGCTAGCAATGCTGCTAGCAGCCCGTATAACTGCCACCTCATTCTGATCCCGCAGCCTTCAGCAAACGGCTACAGCTGGAAGTGTAATTAAAGCCACGAAAGGTGCAGACGCAAGTTCGATCACCAATTGGTAAGTGACATCGGAAATATATGCCGTATATCAAACTAATAATAATAATTCAATGCCCTGGCCGGTTCGCTGATGGCGTCGGTTCTTCTTAGGGACAGCTTGTTGTCCTTCGCCGAGCCGCTGCATATTTTCCCAGAATATGACGTAAGCAGGGACAGACTATCCGAGGGGTCTTTTTCATCGCAAAATTTACAAATTCGACTTGCCGATACCTTTCTTTCGTTTCAAGGGCAAAAGCGCCTCATCTCTCGTGCAAATCATGGCCGGGAATTCACGAGACTGTATAGACTGCAAGGCCGCGCCGTCATGCGTGACTGTCCGGACACGAGCTCTCTGTGAGTAAGTAAAGACCGTCCTTGAGTCTCTGCTCTTCACGCTTTGCGAAGACTGGTTGCTTATAAGCTTCAAAGGAAATGTTTTATTAGATTCCTACAAACCAAAGTCCTACGGCGGATGGACAGATACCGTCCGAGGTATGCTCCAAAGGATCGACAACGGAAACTGCTTCTTCCCCTCTCATACGGGGTTTCGTCCCTGGCACTACTTCATATCATTAGTGGCCTACTTGAAAAGCAGAGCTCAGCCGGCCCAAAACGCACCGCCTTTGACCTTCATGTGTTAGTCGTTGATACCGCGTCGTCAGTGGCGCCAAAAAGCGTGGTGGAATCCGGTAGATTAGACAAGATTAAGGAGACGTACCCAGGTCATACATACACCGAGATGCCTTTACACAGGATCCTTGAGTATGATGCCAGTATCAAAGGCCTCCTCTCACACTATTCCGCAATTCCATCGGATAATATTACCAGGTCGGATGAGGAAGCTTTGGCCTTGTTCCACGCTTCGTTTTCTACAGCCACAGCTCGCGCAGATATCAAAGGAATACTTCTTAGACGGCTGGTAGTTGCCTTCGCTACATCCCATGAGTGCGACGGAATTCTGTGGGGTGATTCAGATAGCCGATTGGCGGCAAAGACATTAGCCAACGTTGCAAAAGGGAGAGGGTCAACACTGGTGTGGGATGCGTGCGACGGAATGTCTCCCTGGGGCATATATTTCAACTTCCCATTACGAGATCTCTACAAAACTGAGTTGGAACTGTTTGCATCCTATGCGATGCGTACGATCGAACCGGTCATTGAACGAGATCCGCAGAATTTTGGGGACATGTCGACTAGACACATGTCTATTGAAGATCTGATGTCGCAATACGTTATGACACAGGGCGCAAAATATCCAGGTGTTATGGCAAATATTGTTCGCACCGTTGATAAACTTCAAACGCCGGCAGCAACAGATGGAACTCTGTGCATTCTTTGTGGAATGCCTGCTGATTTGGCAGCTGACGGTGAGCCTACGATGCCGTCGGCGGAGGGGAAAACCGGCAAAGTTCAGCCCACATGCTATGGGTGTAGGAGAACTTTGTTAGATATGAAAGCGCCAGCCCTCTGGTCGGGATGAGGTTCAAACCGAATATATATCGATTATACCTTTTTAATCGAGTGATTAAAGACGGGATATCAGATGGACATAAGTGCTCCTTGTAGAGTCGCACGAGATCACTGTCTGCATGGGTTTACTCCGGTTGTTGAGTGAAGTGTTCCGATTTATTGCGCAACGGCGCCTTATCCGGATCAACAACAGGGTATAAGCATCACACATTAGGACGTCGCCCTATCCTTGAAGATTTTTATGGATCTGTAACGATTCCGAAGCACTCCGCTGAGCTTGCTTGAATGTCACCCTTACTATCTTATGATGGCTTGGCCATTACGGATGTTATGCTAGCAAAGCGAATTAGCGTTTGTCTAGGAGACTCATGTCCCCATCAGGAAATAAATTCTAGTTTCTTGCTAGGAATTCACCAGAACTTAGATAGGTCATAAAATAGAAACATTTGATCGTCAAAGCACCGTGTATACTTCGAGAGAAGTCCTTTTATACACTTCTTTTCAACGGGTGTCCTTCTGTGTTTAGAACATACTCGTCTAAGCTGATTACATCCGGCTCGGAAAACATCAAGTAGAAATATTTCAAAGTCTCCGCGAGCCAGAAAGACTCCATACGATCGGCTTTGGGAGGATTCGGTATCGTACAATCTTCCAATGCGGCATGGCCAATGTCCGTAATCGTACTTTTAATAATGGCGTTGAACATTCTCCACGCCTTGTCTGGGAGGGATGGGTTGCCCGTGATGCGGTAGAGTATGAAGATGGATTCAATGGCTTCGGGTCTAAATGGGAGATTAGCAAACAATCGGAAAGGGTCAAGGTGCTGTCCCCAGCTGGATTTGCAAGGAATAAAAAATGCGTACCTAAGGATATACCGAGTGTCGTCGATGCCCGATATCCCAGGAGGAAGATTTTTCTCCTTGATCTTAAGTACCGCAGCCCTTGAATCCTGCGGGGACGCTCGATCAACGGCTTCAAACCACTTGGTGCTATTCCACGGGCAATTGGTTTGATCGTCGCATGGCACCGTGTGCATCACCTCTGGCATAATCCCCTGTCTATTCGTCTCGTAAGCCCAAATACAGCCATGAACCAGTTTCCGAGCAATCTCTAGCTCTTCATCCTTGTTGAAAATCTTTGCGCCGATCGCAACCATTCCGCCGAGGAAGCATGCTAGATGTTGCGCCTCTGCGTCGATATCGAGCTGGGATAAAGGAGTCTTGCTATCGGCCCAAATGCTACCAGAGAACAGAATATCTTCTCCACCATCGGTCATGGGGCGGTACAACATGTGGCGCTTAATTGCTTCCATGGCGTGTTGATATAGCTCCTGATATCGTTGGGTGCCTCCTCCAAGTAAAATATGTTCCTAACGGAGATTAGTCCTACAGCCAGATGAACCATAAGGCAAAAGATATACGAACTTTTAGAAGATATTCATACAGGGAATCGGCCATGCCACCAAGCGTAAAGCCAGCATAGCTTGTAAAATCCAATTTCTTTACATTAACAACAACTGGCCATAAACCGGGAATTTTGGTCCGGGGCTGCTGCTCCCCAAACACATCCATGATGCGCTGAACCGCATCAAAGTAACGTGGGTCTTTAGTTATCTGGCTAAGGCGAGTGAATTCCAAGGTAAGCGAGCCAAGATCTGCAACTAAGACAGTCTCTTGAGTCTTTTGCTGGCCGCCATTTAGAGCTGCAGCAAAATTCCAGCGGGTAATGGGCATTCGGTTTGGGGTATCAAAAGCTACATAAAGCATTTGACCGAGCTCAACGGCTTTTTGTAGCAAGGGTGCATATTTGCCTCCGGTCAAATCATATGCGGAGAGCAAACCCCCGAGATACCTGATATTCGTTTCGAAAACGCTGACTTCGTCCATCGTACAGCTACCAAAGTCAAGCTTCGCAACAGCTTCAACAGCCCGTTCGAACTCATCCTTTAGGCCCATGATCCACAGCGTATCTGATGCCCTGTCAGACAATTATCTAGCGGACGGGAACCAGAAAAAGGTTCACGAACCAAGCGCATCAACCAGGGTCGCTGCCCATCCTCCAAACGGGTCATGGGCTTGACCAGACAGCGGCTTGACCTCGTCCCTCAGCCATGCGTGTGCTTTATACCCGCTCCAAGCATGCGTAAAGTTCCCCTTGACAGCGTTAAGCCGTGCGATCCTGACTGCCCGAGCTTCGCTGCTTTCGCGCTCAAATCGGTGTTGTATCGTCGGAATGGCGTTAGGCACGGGCGAAGGCATGGGGATCATGGATCTGACGGGATAACGCTGCGGTATCCGGGCCCAAGGAGACTGACCATCGCTCTTCGAGGGGGAATGGGGGTTTAGAATTTGCTGAGAGTCGAGCGGCCCTTTTGTGCGCGATGGAAAGCTCGAGTACTGTAGGGCTACCTGGCTTTTCCACAGGAAGAAGAAACAGACAGTTAGCAGGACCAGGATGATTCTTTGCCTGGAAAGAAGAAAGTAAGCCATCTTCTTCCACTCTGGGGTTATGGAGAAACAGCAGTTCTTGCGGTGTTCACAAAGGACAGCATTGCAACAATAGCAGTTTGAGATCCCTGGCAAGAGAGGAATTGCTCCTGGTCACTGCTTTTGCGAGAACATCTAAAGTTCACTATTGCTTCAATTCCTCATCACCCATTCAGTGAATAACAATCTGGGCTGTGTCCATGCCAGAAATTGCTGTCCTTCATTGACAAACTTAAAAAGGAACAGTGTTGTTGCGACCATCAAAACATCCTAGCTGGTCAGAGTCACGGCCTTCTACCATTGCCTTGTTAATTATGTATTCAGAAACAGTGCCTGGACAGGGTGAATATGATCCCAGATCTATATAAACAAATTATCTTCCTAAAACAATGGCAAGCTGTCAACTCAATCTTGACCTCCTGCACGTGGTTGCGGCGCCACCAACTCTATTTGCTCAGTCTGGATGGAAAGGAGTTCAAGATTCATACAAGGATTGATCTAATTACACAGATTTATATGATTAATAGCTATCATGCTAAATCTTCAAGATCTGACATGGTTAATATGCAATGTGATATGTATGTACCAGCAAGAACAGACAAGATATGGCAAAATGAAAAGGATAGCTTGGGGTATCAAAATCAAAATGAAAAGAGGCTGAGTAAATGCCGAGATGAGAGTGAAATGTGAAATCCGAATCATCGCATGCCCATTTCAAGATCCGGCTCTCTCCTCCTGTCTGACCTTCCGTTATTGCCGGGTCGACTATTTTCCCGTGGTAATTGAGCACGTTCGGGTCGCCTGGGACTGTCGTTTCGAGGCGTGGTGTCGCCCGATTCGATAACTGCCTGATTTTGATGTTTAAGATTCCGCTTGCCTTTCTCCTTGAGGAACCGTTCAAGCAACACTGCATTTCTTGTGTTGCATTTGTACAGAGCATCAGCGAGATCACCAATAAAAGGCACGAGCCCAATCACAAAATCGAAAATAACGTTGGCGAGCATGTGCAAGTATAAGCTGCCGGGAAGGCCGCCCTCGATATTGCTGCAAGTCTTGACGACCATCAGGGCGAGCACCATGTCCAGGACATCGCCAAAACTATGATTCAGTCAGCCGTTGATTTGTGCTATTCGCCAATGGAGCCCACAAAATCGTACGCTGGGACCAAGCCAATAACACTGCTCCAACCGAATTTTATCCCACAGCAATTGCAAAGACACAGGTCGAGGCGATATGCTCGGCGCTTGACCTTGGTGAGAATCTTTGCATCGTAATCCGAAATACCCTCCGGGGCCGCCTTGCGCCGCTTTTTGGTCGTTGGCCGCCCGAGGAGGTTGGTTGCTGGGACCTGTTCAAAGTAGGGATCCTGGGGACCGTAAATGGGTTAGATGAATCTGCCCGATGCGCTTGCGGGGGACGTCCTCACCTCTTGCCCAAACCGATTTTCAGCAGACTCTTTCAAAACCTTCTTCGACAGAGCGCCGATGACTTTGGATGCCATGTGGAACGAGTGCAGCGAGTTTAAGGGGTTAGTTGAAGGTGCGGCGGCACAAAAGGCGGCAGCTGTCGAGGAGATAATATATATCCAAGGGTTTTGAACGGCAGAGACAAGAAAAATTCAACTTGAAAGGAGCCAGCTGTGAGATGTAGGTAAAAGAGAACACAACAAAGGGGATTGTTTGCTGGGCCGTGAATGTTGAAAGTTGAAGCTTTTTGAATAGGCTTGGTTCCCTGATCCGGGTGATCAGCAAGGGAAACCAGGAGTTAGTTCAATAGTGACATTCTTGTTCTGCAGGCCTTGAATCGCTATTTCTGGCCAGCTTGTTTCAAGTCCATCTTCACATTGGCCTTCGATTCGAGTGCCAGACCTTTTAGATTCACGTCGGCGGCAAGCTGTCTCCAATCACCAGATGAAATCATGGATGCCCATCGAGTTCAGGGGGTGTTTGGCGCTGACGTAGCAACCCCGTGATCCCATTGGCTGGAATGCTGACAAACACTCGACGGCTAAATTTAGCGCGGTCCGGATGCCCTGAAGATTGCTATTTTGAGACACCGTCCGTGGATTATGGGGTTATGGATAACATCGTGACTGTCGAGAGCTGCATGGGCATTCCCAGCCAAAAATACGCAGACCAGCTAAGCGCTGTTCATGGACTGGTCACTCTCCCCGAATTGCAGCCTGGTGTTCAGTCCGACGGGCGTTGCTGACGTGATCACGGGACTAGGCCTTGTACGGGATAGTTCGTGACTCCCCAGCATCATCAAAGAAACAACACTGAAGCACATCACTCGCGACTCGCCAGTGTTGTATGAGAGAAGGTTGTCAGCCGCATTCATTCCCTGACAGAAGCTAGAGCTTGCGAGCTCCCATAAGTGCCTTCAACACGGACGGACCTTACAGCCTACCTTAACACCTGGGCTCGCGTACCCAACATCGCATCGCAGCTTCGGCCTCGAACGCTCCTAGAATCGACGGCAATATCCTCTCTTGACTCAAACGCTTTCTTGCTGAGATGCACATATATCGAAGAAACCATGGCAGAACAAAAAATGAAACTCGAAGACTGTGAGCAACCATCTTGACTCTGTAGACGCATGGCAGCTGATGGCAATATTTCTTGTAGGGCTGGATGACCTGTGTGTCCGCTTTATCATCAACCTCCCTCGAGAAGAGTTGGAGTCGGTTGAACGAATATGCTTTCAGGTGGAAGAAGCACAATGGTTCTACGAAGACTTCATTCGGCCATTCGACCCCAACCTCCCCTCTCTGAACCTTCGTAGCTTCGCACTGCTCATCTTCCAGCATTGCCCGCTGATGTCCCAATGGTCCAGCTACCACCACTCTACTGCCTTCTCCGAGTTTCTGGCCTACAAAACTCGCGTTCCTGTCCGTGGTGCGATTCTCCTCAACGAAGCTATGGATGAGGTCGTTTTGGTGAAAGGATGGAAGAAAACTGCAGGCTGGAGCTTCCCTCGCGGAAAAATAAACAAAGACGAAAAGGACTTGGACTGTGCTGTCAGGGAGGTTTACGAGGAAACTGGATTCGATATTAAGCAAGCCGACCTTATCGAGGATGAGGCCAAAGTCAAGTATATTGACATCTCCATGAGAGAACAGAATATGCGGTTGTACGTGATTCGGGGAGTATCAAAGGAAACTCATTTCGAAGCGAGAACAAGAAAGGAAATCAGCAAAATCGAGTGGTACAAACTCTCGGATCTTCCCACTCAAAAGAGAATCAAGCAAGAAGAAGGCAATGCTTCTAACTCCAACAGGAACAAATTTTACATGGTTGCTCCATTCTTAGGGCCCTTGAAGAAGTGGATATCCCTTCAAAAGAAAAGAGATCTTCAAGCGACCAATTTAACCGCACAGATGGGTGCCGAAAACGCAGGCAACGAGACAGCCGAAGAGGGCCCAGAACTGCAAATTAGTGGCGCTCTGCCAATCGACCACGCCATTGAAACGACCTATCCGACGAGTTTATCTGGAGCTCCTACAAATACAGATCCTTCTGTTCAATTAAAACGACTTCTAAATATCGGAACAACCAACACGCCAATTCAGCCGGCTCTCACATCTGAGCAAAATATGCCTGGCGCCACACCAGGCTCTGCTCTCTTAGAGTTACTCAGAAAGGGCTCAGATGTTCTTACCCAGTACCCAGAGCAAAGATTTGCTCCTTTACCGTTATCGGCAGAACCAGCAGGCCCGGTTACATATCCCTTCCATTTACCTGCAATTCACCCAACCAACAACAACAATACCCCGCGATCCACCGCCATGTCTGGCTCAAATCTTGGGATTATTGGACAGGGTGTCCCAAATCGGTCTAACATAACACACTATAATCCTCAGGTTTTCGCACCAGCTGCGTTTCCTCCTGGAAATGGCTGTCCACCGTTTCTACCTGAACAGTTGCACCGTTTCCCACAGCCGCCTCCACCGCAGCCTCCATCGCATTTGGGACCTGGGCCATTTTCAGGTTATCCACATCATCTAGAACAACGCAACAGGCCCTGGTTGGCACAAGGTCCAGCCCCATTGCCAAACCAGATGTTCGATAATATACAGCGAGAGACACCCACAAAGACAGAGCTTCCTAGATACCAGAATGGATCACAGTCGGAACGACCTTCAAACTTTCAAGCCCCGTCTATTCCGCCTGCAAGCAAACTTCCACCGCCGAAACTGAACAGTCACACTCTTGCACTGCTAAATGTGTTTAAAGGCGACAGCTCGCAAAAGTCGCCGGAACAGCCCCCCAATGCCCCCCGAGAAACCGGGGCTTCTAGATCTGACCGAGATAGCTTGTTGAAACTTTTGACCACAACGACTCCTCCGTCGGCGGCCCCCGATTCACTACAGCAAGGGAACATTACGACAAAGCATCCAGATATGGCAAATGGCAAAGCAAGGGTTACTCAAGCAAAAGGAGACGGATATCTAGGCCCTCCGCAAACCGTGGTATCTGGACAAAAAGGTCATCCAAGGCCGTCTATGAAAGCCCAGACGAAATCTCCAAAAAGCAAACCACCTGCTAAATCAAATGCAAGACGGTCTCCGCCACCATTGTCATCTGAACCTCAGTCTGCCCCTAAACATAACATCATGATTCTTCCTCGACCAACCCCGATTGCGAAAGAATCTCCTCCGACTATACAGCCTTCCCAAACACCCCGTTCTCCAGTCAAGAAGCATGCCAAAATATCAGAACTTACAAAGCCTTTCAAACCGAAAATTCTCCGCCGGCCTGATAAAGACAATTTAGAGGCGTCTTTGGCAACTCATACAGTAACTGTTAGCGCATTTACTAAACCTCAAAGAGAGACGATGTTGGATGTGCCAAAGGTAACGGAGGAGCTTCCGAATCCTCCGCCAAATTATGATCGCCGCCAGACCCAGTCAAATGCACACAAGGGAAAGTTTACTTGCTCTGTTCGGACAGCCAAGCACACCTACTGGACGGCCTGTTTCGAAAGGCAAGGAGGTCGAATCCCCACAATTGAAGTCGCCAGCGGAATCCACCGCGGCCAGCTTACAAGGGGGTTCTTTGGCACGAAGTCATACTGATGGCGAGTCCAGGCCAACGAGCCGGGGGAGAACGACATCGCCTGTCGATAAAGCATTTTTACTTGGGTATTTGGATGGTGTTGTAAAGGGCAAGCGGTAGTAATGGGCAAGACTTGGCGTCGATTGAGTGAGCTGGGTTCATGCACACTTTAGCGGGACGTGACATTTGTATGAATTGATAGTCAATTAGCCAATTTATATAATACATATGGAGTACCTTTCCTTCGCACCTGTTTCAGCTACCCGCTGATGGGCCATGGTAGGAATTGTACATACATAGCTGGCGGGTAATTTTGCCAAGTTTCACCGCCCGCGTTACTCTCAGTTAACATACGAGATGGCGGACAAATTCATTAATTCAATCAACCAAACAAGAATGCCGCCTCGATTGCCTACTCGTTCGGCCTGCGCGAAGTGCCTACTGCAGCGGCGTGGCCTATCGTCGACGGCTTCCCTCCGCCAAAAACAATCCGACCTCCCTCCACCTCCACCCGAATCCGGGCATGTCCGCCTCACCAATCGCGCTCTCATCTCCCTTACCGGCGTTGACAGCACCGCGTTCTTGCAAGGCCTGATTAGTCAAAATGTGGTAACGCCCAAAAACCGGGCGAGCCCCACGACGCCATTCTACGCCGGATTTCTCAATGCGCAAGGACGGCTGCTGCATGATACGTTTATCTACCCGACATTTGCGCCGGAGGGGTCCAATGGGGCTGATACCGGGTCGGAGCTGGGATATTTGGTCGAACTGGATAAAGCGCAGGTTTCGAATCTGATGAAGCATTTCAAAAAGCACAAGCTGAGGTCGAAGTTGAAGTTACGAGCGTTGGAGGAGGGGGAGAAGGATATCTGGGCCGTGTGGGATAATACGGGGAATTGGGAGGCGAAAGATAGCGGAGATGTGTTGAGGGAGGTTCTTACTTGTGTGGATAATCGTGTTCCGGACTTTGGGCACAGACTGCTCTTGGATGAGGGCAGTTTGCAGAGTTCGTTGGAGCTGTTTCCCGGGCAAGAAGCTTCGCTGTCTACGTACCATCTCCGTCGAATTCTTCACGGCGTTCCGGAGGGACAAGACGAGTTGGTCCGTGAATCTGCCTTGCCGATGGATAGTAATATGGATATCATGGGCGGAATTGATTTCCACAAAGGCTGCTATCTCGGCCAAGAGCTAACGATCCGGACGCACCATCGCGGCGTGGTTCGCAAACGTATATTACCCGTGCAATTATATAATCTCGACGATACAAGGCCCTCCAAGTCGGATTCGGGACTACCTATTTACTCGAAGGATACCCAATTATCATCCCTACCTCCCGCGGGAGCGAATATAACGAAATTCAGCGCGTCTGGGAAGGGAAGAAGTGCTGGCAAATTCATTTCCGGAATCGGGAATGTCGGGCTGGCCTTGTGTCGATTGGAAGCTATGACGGACATTTCACTGACGGGAGAGTCGTCTCAATATAATCCCGATGAGGAGTTCAAGATTTCCTGGGAGGCGAACGCCGAGGCGGGCGTCTCCGATTCTGGGGAGGTAAAAGTAAAGGCTTTTGTTCCACCATGGGTCAAGGAGTACATTTTAGGTGGTGGAATAAGGCAGCGGGCGACGAGAGAGGACGTACAAAGAGCTAAAGACATGGTTGAGCAAATGGAGGAGGAAGTTCAGCGGTAAAGTAGTCCTTTGGGACTGTGATCGTCCTATCATCGGACGGTTTAACAGACTTGCGTATATCTGTATTAACGTGTATATAAATCTTGGATATTTTGCTAATATCAACGCTCCACGCCCCGATAAATGCCGATTGCCTCAAAAATGGGGTATCTCCCGTGTGCAAGAACGCCGTTAACCCGTATGCAGAATCAGATTGACCAACCTAGTCCAATCACTATTCCGGAGTTTTACCGTTCTCTGGCTCTACCGCCGCAGCTTCCTCGTCCTCCTTTTTCAACTGTTCTTCTAAACGCTTCCTTTGCGCATTTTTCAGTCGCATAAGTGTAATCTCCTCGAAGCTTGGACTATTTGGCCCGAGATTAGCTTTAGTAGTAGAAGAAACATTGGCTGCGGAAGAGAACGAGGCGAAGGATGGCGCTTTGCCTGTGCCACTGCCAATAGTAGCTGCGGGCGTATTTAAACCGGGAAAATTAAAGGATCTTGGTTTGGGAGCAGAACGGGGTTTGGACGGTGACTCGGGTTGGGGATTCGATGCGGAAGACGGGGCTCGATAGGATTCCAGGTCAGGCTCCTTATTCGAAGCCCAGAAAACAGATTCAACGGTGTCCCAGTCGCTGCCAGGTTGCTTCTTGCTGTCTTCCACGGCCGCATGGGCGCCGACGATAGATGAGAAGACGATGATCCCAGTGCCGATGGTCTTCTTTTCCCGTCTCTCTCCAACCCGCTTCTTCTTGTCCTTGAGGATTATAACACTCTCGACGTTCCCAAAAGCTGAAAACATCTTTTCTAAACGCTCCTTGTCGAGATCTAACCCTTGCTCCTCTCGGATCCAACGTATCTTGACCGCACGCTCGATTTCCGGAACTGCCGTGCCCCCGACACTCGACTGGCCCTCCCTCTCTTTCAGCGCCGCACGCTCACGCTCTTCCCTCTCTTGCTCGCGCCGTTCCTCTTCCTCCAAAACCTCCCGCCTCATCAGCTCCTCTTTCTGCTGTCTCCTCCTCCTTCCATCCTCCGCTAATCTCCTGATCTTCTCCTCTAGCTGTGCCTCCGCATCGTCCAGATCAACGGGACGCCCCAGACCAGTTGCACCAAACGGCCTTTTGACTCCTCTCTCCCTAGCTTCCAAGTCCTCCTTCATCTTCCGCCTCACACCTTCCAGCATCTCATTTTCCCGTTTCTTCCGCTCTCGCGCCTCCCGCGCATTGTCGTAAAGCTGCCGTATAGACGGATCGGACAAGACATCGTACGCAATTTGAAGTAAATGGAACTTTTCGATGTCGGCTGGTTTGGGGTCCTGCAGTTTATCCGGGTGGTATTTTAGAGCGGTCCTGCGGTATGCGCGACGAATCTCGGTGTCTGCAGCGGCGGGAGAGATGTCGAGCAACGCGTAAAAGTCGTGAGATGAGGCCGCATGGGCCTTGAGATCATCCGACGGCGCCATCAGAAACCAGGCAGTGGATTTTTCAACGTTCTCCGTATACTGTTGCGAGATGGGACGCAGAGCTGAGAGGTAGTTAACTAGTTAACGTTTTCGACCACCCAACGAATTTTACCCCTCAACGATCAAATTCGACCTTCCCTACGAAATCCACCAACAACATAAAATATTCAAGTAAGAGATTCGTAGCTAGTAGATTGAATAGGATATTATATACAAATCTCTATAGACAACCTCGAGCCCTACTGGATAGCCTAATAATGCGGCCGAAGTAAGTTCAAGTCATATAAGAGGATCAAAAGTAATATCAGCCACATTTGTGGAATTCAGCTCTTGGGGTGTTCTCTGGGTTTAGTTCTATAGTAGTAAGGTCTATAACAGAGGTCTCGAGTCTCCTGGCTCTCTGAGCTCATAGGAGCCCTTGCTATCTTCCTATTTTGGCAGATGAATTTGGCCAGCTTTGCCTGCCATTTCTCTCACTTATAAACTTGTTCTTCCTCAGTTAGCAGTCTGTTCCTAGCTTTCCTTTCTACCCTCTGAGCTTCTTGCTGGGCAGCTTTGGCAGCTTTTTCAGCACCGATTCAACTGGATTTCAGACAAAGACTATGCAGCCAGTGCTGTCATCTCAGTCGCCAAATGTGCTCTTTCTCTGGTGCAACACTATACAAACAAACAGTTGATGACCTCATGAGTTGCTTTGACCATGATGGACTCGCCTAGACTCTATATGAAGATATTCATAAGAATTCTTCATATGCTTCTGTAAGAGCCATACTCTGTCATCCTATCACCTTACAAAACTAACTTTTCTCACAGCGGTATCACATCTGGCCATATGCTCAAGGCCTTGTTGCCCTCTTATTATCATCGGCGCCGCCACTGCATTTCAGACTCGTCCACACCATCGGGGACGCAGTCCAACACACTCAGAGGGCACTGGTCCCAATTCTTGGAACAATCTTCATCTTGATTGTGATTATGTGTGTGTTCTATGCCTTGAATGGGCATGTGGCACGATGGTTACCCGAAATGTTTTGTTTTCATGAGTACTGCATGGTGTTCAACTGGGCATTTTTCCTCCGCATGCTCCATGTCTTACGAGAAGTACAAAACACCTTGTCTGCCCAACAATCAGATCCTTTGCCATCGGCGACCACCACAGACAGAAGCAATTTATAAGATTAAACAGCTATGTTGTTTGTCCTGAAGAGCATTGAATTTTGATTTTATATTGATGGATCTAGTATTAGGAGGACGCCAAAAAAAGACACCCGAAGAAGGAGGACGCCCGAACGAGGAGGACACGGCAAGAAGGACACGAAGACAACATCACTAGAAAGACACACGAGAAGGAGGCCTTGCAATGATTAATGACAATCTCACATCATGCCCGGCTCTTCTTTTGAACAGGTATCTTCCCTATCTCCTTCAATTTATCCCTAGCTTCATCTGATGCTCTTTTGACCTGATAATCATTAGGGATGTTTGCATTCTGGTTGATAAGTCCTGAAGAGGCAGTGAGAAGTTGTCATGCCAGGCCCTAACACTAAACCCCTTAGGCCTTAATAGCACACACCTCACTTGTATATAATCCCTCAACACTGCCCCCATCCTTCCACAGGTCAGTGATGAGCTCTATCTACTCATAGCCTATACTATATACTTGCTTCTACTGCATATTCCTTCATATCCTCTATGCTAGTAGCTCATTCCTGTTCTGATTATACCTCCATTAGACCTAGCTCCTCACAGTTCTCATCACTTTCTCTCATCATGAGGGACAGCCTGTCAAACAGACTGCTACCAATACTTGCATTGAACACTGATGCAACACATGACTTTCCATCAAGAAATACAACACAAAACACTCTCCATTGACAACATGAGCCAACAAACCTGTGGAAAGACCCCTGGAGGTACTTGCCCAATGCCTGACCTCTCAATACTATCTGAATATCAGAAAACCTCTGAACAGCTGGAGTCATCCATGCAACCTCTCCCAGGGGCAGATGAAATTGAAATTGTGCTGAGACAGCTGAGTCTAGCACTCATGCCAACTCTTCTCCATCTGAGCAATGGGATGTGTCTCAGGACAACAAAACTCACATAAGCTGCATCCTCACCACATCTGCAAATAGTCTGTCAGATACTGAGGACAATGAAGCCCAAGGCCAGGGCCACTGCCAGGTGAGGTCCTTGGTATTTATGTCTTTGAGAGCGTGTGGCGTTTGGCTTAAGAAATCGGAAACAGTCTCATGGTCTCTTGGTTGGTGGAGCAGGCTTGCGGATGAATGAAGGCTCTATTCCATTCAACTTGCATAACAAAAAGAAAACAACGGATAAAAGCGCGCAGACAGCTTTCTTCGTCTTTACCAAATTCCCTTCTCCCAAATTGGAGGTTTGATAGGCTGCAGTCCACGTAATAAACATTTATGTTGAGTAAGGGCCTGTTCGGTTCGAGGTCGAATTCTTTTAACGGACTTTATATTGTAGGTAGAAGACCGTATTTTCATGTTGAGATCAACTGGAAATCATAATGGGAGATTGATTGCAGAGATATGATCTGCTTTTTCTGAGCTGTCTTAGAGTTTGATGGCTGAGAATTGCTACGACGCCGATTAAGAAGGTTTGTTATGTCTGGGGTACGGGGATTCTTCGTATGATCCCCAAAGAGAACTATTAACGGCTCCTGAGCGATTGTCATAAAGCCTCCTCCTAGCGCTGTCGATCAGCAGCAAAGCTTAAGCAGCCAAGGGATCCGAGGGCACGGGCCTCCGAATTAAGCATCCGGACCGCCGGGTCGGGGGTGGAGAAGCTTGACCCGGGATGGCGGACGAACCAGATTATGTATGTAAGATATGTACTCGGCCGTCGCGTCTTTGCTTTTTGTGAGAGAGGTGCTGTCCCCTGCATGTTAGACCGGTCGCATGAGTCTATCATATATAGCTGACAGTCTCATCACTTCGGGAATCACCGTTGGCCGTTTCTTTGTTTCCTTATCGCAACATTTCTGAGAACCATTGACACAATAATGCAGAGAAATCTCGGGGCCCAGCAGGTAGAGAATTGGAGGACGAACGGCGACATCAGTGACCATGCCGCTCGTAGACAAGATCCAGTGAACATTGAGCTGGACGTCGTCATTGTTGGTGCTGGGCTCTCTGGCATCTACCTACTGCACCTCCTTTCGAAAGGAAGGCTTGAATGTCAAAATCGTCGAAGCTGGCCACGGCCTGGGTGGCGTTTGGCACTGGAACTGTTATCCGGGTGCACGAGTCGACATCGCGTATCCCGGCTACGCCCTGAATATTCCCGAGGTCTACAATACCTGGACATGGACCGAGAATTACGCCAGCGACAAGGAGCTCAGACGATATTTTCAACATGTTGACGACATCCTCGATATCAGCAAAGATGTGATTTATGGCGAAACCATTACCAAGGCCACGTTTGATGAATCGACAAACAAGTGGACTGTCGAGTCAGACAACAAGAGCACTTTTACTGCCCGTTTCTTCTGCAGTTGTATCGGCTTCGCGTCAAAACGCCTCTTTCCTGACTGGCCAGGCCTCGAAGATGATTACAAAGGCCAAGTTCTCCACGCGAGTTTTTGGCCCGACAGAGGAATCGACCTCCGTGGCAAGAAAGTCGCCGTCGCCGGTACGGGCGCAACAGGCATCCAGCTCGCGCAGGAGATTGCCCGCGAGGCTGGAAAACTCACCTGTTTCGTGCGCACCCCAAACCTCACCTGGCCCATGCGCCTCGAGCGCATCGACCCGGAGCAAGCGCAAAAGGACAAGGGATCACTCCCGTACCTGCTGGGAGAAAAAAGGTACACCACCATTGCCGGCTTCCTCTATGACGATACCACTCGCAGGGTCTTCGACGACACATCCGAAGAGCGCGAGGCGCGTCTCGAACAAGAGTACCGGGATGGCGGTTACCGGATATTCTTCTCCGCGTACTTTGATATTTTGTTGGACCAAGCGGCTAATGACGAAATTTACAATTTCTGGCGACGCAAGGTCCACGCGCGTATGACAGATTCGCAAAAGGCAGAGATCCTCGCGCCCCTCAAGGCGCCTCATCCGTTCGGGGGCAAGCGTCCCTCGCTCGAGCAAGATTACTACGAGCAGATGGATAAACCACATGTCACGCTCGTAGACGTGAAGAGTACCCCCGTCACGCATCTAGTCTCCAACGGCATTGTAACCACGGATGGAGCCGTGCATGAAGCGGACGTCCTGATTTTGGCGACGGGCTACGATGCCGTCACAGGGGGATTCAAAGACATGGCGATCACAGGGCTGAATGGGCTCACGCTCGCGGAAAAATGGAGCGATGGGACCCAAGCGTATCTAGGTTTGACCATCTCTGGATTTCCCAATTTTTTCTATGCCTACGGCCCATTTGCTCCCACGGCGTATTCTGCCGGGCCTGCCGCTATCGAGTCCCAGGCGGACTGGATCCTGGAGGTCATGAGGAAGATGAGAGCGGAGGGGGCGACGCGGATCGATGCCACACAGGAGGCGGAAAGGGAGTGGAGGGAAAAGGTGCTGGCTATTCACGCCATGACCTTGAGGGAGAATGTTGAAGGAAGTTGGTATCTTGGGTATATATGCTGCTACCCCTTTTACAGGTGTGCATACTAACACAAGCCCAGATTAAACGTGCCAGGTAAAAAGCGCGAGCCACTGAACTATGCAGGCGGGCTTTCAATGTATAGGAAAGAGATCCAGGATGCTATTGCTCCGGATTGGAAAGGATTCGTCGTGAGCTAGTTGGCGGTTGCATCTTGCAAGAGCCGTCTGGTGCCAAGATACTTATTAGTCATTCATTTCGGAATATAGTTCACCCTAATTCAGCTATGCTTACATAATATTTCAATTGGTCCTATTTCAACCTCACCTCAAGCGACTTGACGAACATCACCTCCTTGATATTTGCCATTGTTTACATGGCTGCCCGCCCTGGACACTTGATTCACAGGCCATTAAGATCTACATTCAATGCCACAAGTCTGCGGGCTCGAGACGGTAGGTAGTTGACAGCAGCGGACTAAACTGGCTGTGATCCCACTTGTCACTGATTCAGTGCTGGATAGGCTTTCACGTTTGGATTGCTCTGATTTGGGATGATAGCTCGCCTAGACATATTCAATACCTCTATCAGCTCGAAGTCTATTGAGAATTCTGCGAGCATGAGGTTTCGTCTTGGTCTCGCCTTTAGGCCACCAGGCAGATATCACGGCTAATAGGTGCCCTTTGCTGTACTCTCAGGTTCAGGGTCTACACTGGACAATACAATCCCCATCTATCCAGCACCGAAGACTTGTCTTTTGTCCCTGTAAACCGGAATACAATATCCCTGATTCTGTATTAGTACCCTGCAGCCGCTTATACCATTAATTCCTACCAGACACAGTTCTAAGACTCGTTCCATTCGTTACAATTGGCGCGACTCTTTGGCTAGAAAGATTTGCGTCTAACTTGACGAATGTCCATTTCCCTACCCCGATCGCCACGCTGCCGGAAGAAATCAGGGCAAACGGAGAGCATGCTCAAATATGCTCCGGAGACGATCTTTGCGGTCTTGAGTCGTACCATAACCTCTTCAAACCATCACTCGTGACGGAGCTAGAGATGAGCAGGAGAACTTTGCAATCGACTGGAATAATCTCCAACGTGGCCTTTAGTAAACGCCCTTTGCCTCATTAACAAGTTTCAGGGTAGCTCGCCCAAGTCACAGCTGATCTCGCATCCGCTTAAGTTGAAGCTACATAGGGTTTATAACTGATTAGGAGCCGACTCCTGCATACGTTCTCGCACGGCAAGCTCGATAGAACAGGGTCGCCAAGCTTTCCCAGACAGCTTCTTCATCGGCAATGAGCTGAGAATCTGATATATCAAACCTACTTTTGAAGTACGACTCCAGGCCTGACGAGAGCCACACAGTGCAAGGATTTCTCTATAAGAACCCGTTCGCAGTGCCCATTCAGGGATAGACTTGGTGCTAAGCTGAAAAAATGAAGGAAAGAGCATAGTGGACCTGTTAAGGGTACTAACTAGAGTTTGCTATCAGTCATAAGATACCATCAACTTCCCATGGCACTCTGCAATGGGTTCCTCCACTTCCGTGCACACCTGGCCTTGGACCCAGAGACTCTTCCCATTTATCTTCTCTAATGGCTGAGTAACGACAGTCGAGACGGCGGAAGCGACATCACGCGGAGAACTGACTGGGATGGCCTTTGAAATCGCCTCCTGAAAGATTCCACTAGTCACCCGTGTCTCTGTCAACCAAGGCGCCACCATCGATATAGAGATTCTATGCTTAGAACATTCTCTTCTCTTCGAAGTGGACCGTACCAGACCCAAAATACCATGTTTCGATGCAGAATAAAGTGCTTGATCAGGCACAGGAATATAAGAAGCAGCCGAATCTATCACAACAATCCTTCCACCCCCATCCCGGCTCAAGTGATGCATCGCAAGTCTCACGCTATAAACCACACCGGTGAGGTTAACGTCAAAAACCTTGGTTTGTGGGCGTAGATATTCCTCGTCTCCGTCTTCCAGCTCAACGAGATAATCACATTCCCCGCCGACCATGAGCTCCGGGTTGATTCCCGCATTGCACACCACGAGATCCACGTGGCCAAACCGCTTGATCGTCTCCCGAAAAAGTTGGACCTGGTCAGTCCACGAGGAAACATCGCACCCGATGAAAACAGCACCATGTTCGATTCGCTCCTTGGCGGCGATACCGAGATTTGGGTCGAGATCGGCGATGATCACTGCTTTTGCGCCTGAAATTGCGAATCTTTCAGCGATGGCAAAACCGATGCCTTGCGCTGCGCCGGTGATAATGACAACTTTACCGAATGCCGCAGCGTGAAATTCCGCGGGTGTTGGGGCCGGGATGTGGTAAGGATGCATGGTTGGCTTTGGGGTGCTAGAGGTATAAGCTTCTTCTTTTGAGGTTGCTCGAGTTTGGTGGAATCGTTCGCCTTTGTATTTGGTGACAATGAGAGAGAGTGCGGGGTGCGGGATGGATGGATGTGATCTGCCAACCAGCATATATATCAGCTATTGGCCTAGGGGTAAGAATGCTGAATCATTCCCAAACATGAGGCAAAATCACAGCTAGCTTGCCATATGAGCCAATTTATTCTCTCAAATTGCTGATTGATCTGCAGACACCAAATACGGAGGTTTGAGTCAATTCCCTTGCAGATTCTTCCCAACGGCGATGCTCTAGACATTGGCTACGCTACACAACATGCTTAGGCTCGTACGGTGTTTCCAGGAGTGTTTTCTAACTCGCATGGCTCTATTATACGCACATGATACTACTATTCTACCCTATCCCGTGCAAGCACCGCAACTACCGTCTTTGACGGCTTCAAGTCCACATTCCAGCTATACTTTTCAAACCCAACCCTATTTCGCACTTCCATTTCTAGCTCAAAATCGGGCGATGCGACTTGTGCGGCCGCGTTGCTGTTGAATGTAGTCGGCAACACCCATTCACTGCCATTAGCAGGCCGCATCTCGTAGCGGGACACAAACAGAGCGACGATCGCAAGTATCTCGTTGGTAGCAAAGAAGCGGCCAGGACAAAGATGCTTGCCGCCACTGAAGCTGCGATATCCGATATCGTTGGGAACTTCTTTCATACCTGTGTCATCCTTGAGGAATCGCCGCGGATTGAACGATTTTGCGTCCTCACCCCAGCATGCCTGGTCGCTATGCACAACTTGAATTGGGACCTGTAACATTGCGCCTTTCTTAAGCAGGTAGCCACCCAGCTCGGTATCTTCAACAACCTCTCGAACAGCCACTCCCATGCCTCGGTAGCGAAGGCTCTCTTTAAGGGTTGAGAGAAGCAGCGGGCATCGACTCTTCATGACGGTGATGTCAATCGTGATGTTATTTTTTAACGGGTCGATAATTAGTGCGGCATCGATCTCGGCGCGGAGGTCAGCCAGCAATCCAGGCGCGACATACACCAATAGCAACGTCCAGTAAACTGCTGGATATGTGTTTGTTAAGATCGCAACTGTGCCACCGATTTCGAAGCGGCCGATATCTGGAAGAGCCACCTTGTTCCTGACGGAGGTGTCAAATCGCGCCTTCGCCACCTTAGAGCCGTGGTCAAAATGTCGCTCCGCGAAATACTTCTCTAGAGCCTTGGTGACCTTGTCACGCGCGAGAATGTGCTTGCGCGCTGTGTAGCTTGGGAACGGCGCGGCTAGCATCAACATGAGACCTCCTTCGAACTCCCAGAACGCATCTTTGATCTCCTGACTCTTGTACGGGTTATGAGGGCCGTACACGGAGTTGGTCGTCGCCACTGTCACGATTTGCTTTACCCAGGCTGACAGCTGGATGGTACTATATCCCTGCCCCGGATCCGGCTTTATAGCATCCAACAAGCAAGACACTTCTTGCGCCATGGCTAAACTGATATTGTCGAGATCCTTGCCCGGCTTCAGAGCCGCCCGTATCCCAGACACCATCTCCTCGCATAAGCCCCAATTGCCATGCTCGCCGAGAAGATTGTGATTAAGGATCTTAGTTGCTTCGTTGCTGGTTCCGCAGGTGATGCTGCAGAATTCGGAGACGATGGGCGCATAAGAGATGCTCTTGTGCTTCCTATCCGCCCGCGAGATGAGTTCTGCCTTGGTGACGACGTATATTTTACGGCCCAGCATGCATATTGTGAAAATGGGTTGACGGACCCTGTCGTTCAATTTGTTGTAGTAGTCGAACCTGTTGCGCATGAAGCCCAGCAAGTGTCCGAAGATTGGGATTCCCGGAGGTACCAGTGGAGGTTCACGCGGATCACGTTTGGGGTTTAGGAGATAATGCAGAGTGACGAGAAGGGCAGTCGCACCGATGACTATAAGTGTGAAGCCATTGAGATTCTCCATATTTGCTGCCTGGACTGAGGGAAAGGTGAAATTTTCCATCCGGGGGATTGAAGTTGGAAGGGAAGCGTTTTCAAATGAACAAAGAACTTAGAAACGAAAATACGTGTCGATCAAGGGATACAAGCCAGGAGATGTTGCACTGCCTGTGCTGGTGCGAGGGTGATTATGATTCTTATATACAGGGGGAATTGAGGTGAAGGCTCCTGTCGATTCTTCCTTTCACCTCATTCTTACTGATCTGATTAGTTAGGGGGCTACGCCGATCTACTCCGTACAGCTGCACCAACTCTGCAACCATTGCATGAATCATTGAGTAAATTGTATGCTAACGCTGAATTGTATTTTTCGAAATTTCGGAAAGGGAACTTTGCATCCTATTGTACTAGACGATTTTCTCTCGCTGCCAACTTATGTTGTTATGTTCTCAATGCGTTCGCTTATCAAATACACCATCAAGGTTCATTGCCTTCTCCTCAGCAACAACGTCGCCTCCGGTGGCACCGAAGTCGTGTTTATTGTATCCAGCACCCGGAAACTGCCGTCTTTGACCCTGATATCAAACTTGGAGAAAAGCATATACAGCATGATCTTGATCTCATGGATCGCCAGCTGCCGGCCTGGACATGCCCATCTTCCCAATCCAAATGTCAAAAAGTCTGCGCCGCCCTGCACGGCCGGTCGTCCTTTTCTCTGCCACTGGAAGCCGTCAAACACTTTGCCCTCTGACCCGTAATTGTCCGGGTGCTGATGGGCGCGGGAAATAAGAACGATGCACATTGCGTTCTTTGGAAGCACATACGGCCCGATGCGTACGGGCCTCGTTGTCTGTCGTAGGGGGCCCCAGGTGTCACCCTTGGTCCGGAAGACTTCACGAATAAAGGAGTCAAGCAGCGTGAGCTGACTGAGTTTTTTCACGCTCAGCGGCTCGTTTGCGGGAGCCACGGTATCCCATTCCTCACGGATCGCGGGCAGATACTCATCCTGCTTCTGGGCTAGCTTGATCAGAATCCAGGAACCGGCCACAACAGTCTGATGGATCGAGGCAAAAATTAAGCCGACGCAAAGAATAACGCACCAGGCGAAGCCACCCAGCGCGCGGAAACCGGTTTTCTCGTGGTAGTGTTTTACTAGGAGGATGTCGAATAAGGGGACGTATTCGCCATGGCGGGCGGCAAGGCCAGTTGCCAAGTGCTGTTTCCGCATTTTCCAGAGCGATGGGACAATGCAAAAGAAGAAGCGAGGGATGATGGTGAAGAAAACGGCTTTGAAGCCATTGAGCAACACCCACAGCCAGGGGAACCAGGCCCATTCGTGTGTGTTCTCGTGCATACCGGTCATGTTGGCCATGGCAACAGCGACAGCAGCGAAGTGGCCCGCCGTCACTGAGGAGGAGTGAGAAGGCCCAAGAATCATTGTTACCATGGCGTGACCAATAGCTTTCTGAAGGCAGGAAAAGATGTTGTAACATTCAACGGGAGTCTTGTCGTTGGCTGGATTTGGTAGCTCATCGGCCATTCGGTCAAAATACGACTGAAAAACGGGAAAAATCCGGTCTATTATGGCGTTCATGCGCGGCTGAACATTCTTCTCAACTAAGCTGTCAATGTCGCGAACAAACATGCCATTATCGAAAAGCGCTATAAAGCCCAGGTGAAGCAGGTCGAATGCGGCCTTTTCAAATGTGAAATTCTTAGTGTCTGTGAGAATCTCATGGGCGTATCGGTGGTCGATAACGTATTCGTCGCGGCCGTGTCGGGGGACGATGATAACGGGGCCATGTTCGTCCAGTGCCTGGCTGTAAGCATCGTTGACCTTGTCTGACCGCCGTACTTCCCGAGTAATGTGAATGATCGGAGGGGAGGGGCCGTCGAGGGGAGGTTGGATATCAAGTCGCACGTCTGATGCAGCCATGATCACAAGCAACGGGCAGGGGCAGTGCGGTATTGAGACAGAGACCCAGGGCAAAACGTTCTCACTCGGCCCAGATTGCGTCACAATAATGACCACAGTATCTCGCAACGAAACCCATACTCCACCACCGTTTAAATAAAAGTGGAAGATAATTGTACGGAATTTTGGTTTGCAGGTCCAGTACCTTGGCTGCAGGCGTTCTCATTTTTCTTTGTTGCCAGAGATGGCCCAAGTGTCCTATCCGAGGGCCGAATCAATGGACGAAACGAACTGTAACCCTGTTTGATGGCACAGGGATATTCATAGGTCAGGGCGCCAGGGTCATGTTCCAGGAGGGCGGTGTTGTCTGATCAGTGATCACAGGATCCTGGAATTCTTTAGGGTAAAGCAACAGCTCGACTTCTGACAAGCAGACTGCGCATAGTATATAGCCAGCTTAACTTCATGATCTGATTTCATGGGAAGACACAAACACACTTTGCAGATGCTCATTCTCTCAACAGAGAGACATTGTTAGGCAATAGTAGCAAGCCTATCTTCCACGTGACCCATTTTATTTCTCCCATGTTCATCATTAGTTAAGCATCCAGACAATGTTATTAAGCCCCGAAAGCTTCCACAAAAGAGAGACGGAGCCAAGAATAACGTTATTCTTTATTTTACTTGCTTAAAGTACTCCGTAAGTGGCATGAAGACTCTGAAATGGTGCATGAAAGAAGAATCTCTGATTATGTAGGCAGAAGCTGTGCTGCAGCCAAGCCCTGCAACAGATCAATAAGACTGAAATCTCTGAAATAAAGGAGAAAGTGATGTGACTGATGCTACGCCGTATAAACTGGAAAATCACACTAACTAATTAATAGTTCTAGAAGGCGTTCAAAGAAGCTCTAGTGCCATGTGCCACAACTCATACGACATTACAAATACAATGGCTGACTAAGCATTGTAGTTAGTTACAGCTTCTCTGCTAGACTTCCAACAAAACATTTGTGTTGGTCCTTGGGAGTTCTTTGGAGCTCACATCAGTGATGGCACAACAAGAGAATTTGGTTTACATGTTTCTGAAAACCTTCATTAGCCGTCTTCGAGGATATGCGCAGTCTTTTCTCCCATTTCTCCGACCGAGGACAAAGGCGCGCATAAACACGTATGATCCAGTGAACTAAACAAACGGGCCTTACAAAAGCTGCAGAATGCTCTAAGATCCGATCCTGCAGCCGATATACGGAAATGGTTACCAGTTAATTACGATTCGGTTATGAGGGTTGTGTCTAATGCCAAAGCCAAACAGGAGCAGCTCAATCAACCTCCACCTCCCGAATTTCGTACTAAAATTGATCCTGTCGATAGCGCCGAGGTTGTATTCCCACTCTCTGACGACGTCGTTAAACTCCTCTCGCGATATTCTGATGAAAATAGTGAACTCATGGGAGAGCAGCTTTTGATCTCTTTAAAGCAGCTAATATGGGAATCACCGAAAATCTGGGAATCTGTTATACGAGGGGTAGTTCTCAAATGCAGTGACAAGATTGCTCTCAAAGTTGTTCGACAACGGCCGGACTACACCGAGTATACAACATTGCAGTACCTAGCTGAGCATTTGCCAGACATACCCGCTCCTCGCCCTCATGGGGTTATAAGATTGAAACCGTTCACGGCTTTTTTCATGTCGTATATCCCGTCGATGACTTTGACGGAAGCATGGCCGAAGTTGGACCATGGGGGGAAAGCCTCCGTACAAGAACAGCTGGAAGAAATTTTCATAAAACTCAGAACCTTGAGGAAGGATGATGGTTATCCATTAGGAGGAGTCGCAGGCGAAGGTGTGAAAGAAGCGCGGATAAGCTGTTTCGCACAAGAGAAGACCATCGATACGGCTGCATCATTTGTGGATTTGCAATTCTCACTCTCCAAATTTCTCGGCAAATCATACATTCAGCTTATTCAAACTCTTCAACCCCCGCCCACCACAGGATCGGTTTTCACTCATGGAGATGTTAGGAAGGACAACATAATGGTAGAGATTGGAGAAGACAATGCGTGCAAGGTTACTGGTATAATTGACTGGGAAGATTCAGGTTACTATCCTGACTACTTTGAGAGTACTACCTTGACACGTACTTTGGATTCCAGGAAAGAAGATGACTGGTATAACTATCTACCTCCTTGCATTGATCCGGCGCGATTTCCTCACCGATGGCTCCTTGATCGACTGTGGGGAATACACCACCTTGTTTTTTGACTACAATCATCCCAAAGTCCACGTTATTCATACTGAACAGCAAAATATGAGCCTGTTCACCATTCTTAGATCTTATGCACTTAATCTGGTAAGTTCATATTCAGTAGGATCTTCAGATTTGTCCAGTATAAGTTCTATAAAAATTCATAAACTAGTTGATTGACCTGCACTTGCTTGTGCTGAGATTGTGGCCTGTGGTCACATACATAGTTAAGGGGCTAGCTGGATAGGCTATTTTTAGGAACTAAGGAGCATTCGTTGGGGACCGGCTAAGGTTTGACTCCATCAACAATACTCCGTATGCCGACGTTGCTTAATTAGCATGCTGGGAGACTGCCACGGTGCCACCCCTCAAATGCCCGAGATGTCTCTATCTACCCCGGACAGAAAAACAAAACGCGTTCAAGTCAAAAGGGAACAGGTTAGACGCGTTATTTCTTTCTTTCAGGAGGGAGTTGGTCAGCCACAGCCAAAGAAAATAACAAAGGTGGTGATCAGCTTTCTGTGACAAAGAGCCGACACCGAGGGACAAAATCAACTTCAAGCGAAACTCTCGGTTCATGGAGACTCGCCTGCCAGCCTTGTTTCCCCTGCGCTTCGCCTGTGATCACTAATAACTAAAACACCATGCTCTGTGCAATTTTGCCTGTCCCGCTCAGCTTCGTATCGGAAGATGACTACAACCATGATGCTTGTTAGCCAAGGAGCCCCATCAGCATGGAAGAGATGAATCTTACCCCTGTTCATAACTCCTGTCTTTGGTCAACAATAAGGTTGAATCAATGCTACGCCTTCAGCATGTGCGGTCCGGTATTCATTATGATAAGTGCAGGACAAAAAGACGCCTGTGGTCGGCCAAGCGGCACAGTGCGAAACGTAAACGCATGCTTGTGAAAGAAAGGGCTCATCTGCAAATGAAAGACAAAAGACTGTGGTCGATGAATCGGCTTGTGGATGGCTGGCGGTGCAGCCAACTGCATGATCGTCGAGAGCAGTCTGGATGGTGGTTCGCCGGCTGACTGCCGTTCTGGGACATGGCGGGGTAACCATATCTCGTTTTCCGGGCATCAATGACGTCTGCTTCCCGCTCAACAAACATCCATTATCCAGGCTGTTGGTGTTGGTCCATTTGCCGTGTCTTTGCTTCTCCCGTTTTCCCGATGGCTGCAATGCCGTGTCCCGATGGATGCGCCCCACCCTCTCAAGCGCAGTTGGCGCTGGCGTTGGCAATTGTGAAGTCGAAGCCATCGCACCTCAGCATCAAAGGCCAGTATCCGTCAATCCCAGACCCGCTTCACTTGCTCACTACTTCTCAGACTATATTCTCGGGGTTAGAAATCACGTTCAGGCTGGGAAAAGAGACGTAGTCGAGCCAACCCAGGACCGCCATCTGGACAGTGCTGCGTTTTGGCGGGAGGCATACGAGAAATCTGAAGCCTCCCAGAGCCGGCTCCTTGATAGGATCTATGAACTGGAACAACGAAATGAAGCTGCTGCTCTGAAAGCAGGCCTCGAAGTGAAATCAAACGTTCCCATATCGAAACGGAAAGCCAGTGCCAGCATCACGTCTGCGGCATTACGGTCACAAAAGAGGCCCAAAACCACTGTTGACGCAGCGAGCAGCCTTGGTGAGGATGCCATGCTCAATACATCTAAGCCAGGACCTGCATTTCTTGAAAATCGTATGTCGATGAGTCCTGATCTTAAACTACTTTTTCTAAACTACCTTGATAGCTACAACACCTTTTCTGCGACGTTTTCACCTACTCCAAAAGCTATTACGGCGGAAGCCAGTGCCGGAAATACTGGCAACTACCGTTGCTGACCTTTGCGTAAATGTCGAGGAGCTAGTGCTCTCCTCGATGGCCCCAAAGAGGGCCAAAAATGTGGGCTTGAGCAAGTCGTCCTTTCTTCAGTCTCAAAGTCTGTGTCTCTCGGACATCTTGGTCGCTTTCGAAAAGTGCTATCCCGTCCTGTTGCAAGCGCTTAATAACGGTTTCCCTGAACAGCTCTG